AATCATGCACAACTACTCAAGTCAATTAATATTTAATGTTTCAAGCAAGGCTAACAATTTAATCATAAAATTCACACATATGCAAGGTTAACCTTCCTACTAAAAACATGAGGCCAATAACAAAAAATGCCTAAATCAACAAATAATACTCACGTACAAATAATTTATAATTCTGTTTTTTTGGGCTAGAAATAACCAATAATTTAACAAATACAAATATGCTCCTACTATTGACAAAATAGTACTAATTATACAATAACCAAATTAGAGACTTTACAAGCATATCTTTAGTTCTTTGACAATGATGCTTCTCCTTTTCCCTTAGCCTGATCATCTCCTAAAAAGATATTAATAAACAAAAGTGAGATTAAACAATTTCAGTAACCAAAAAATCTAAGCAAAGCATATTACATTGTGACTATTACAAACAAATAGGCAAAATATATTATACAAGAGCAACCATAAATTGAGCACATCTAATATAGTATAGTATATCACATGCTCAATAGAATCACCTTATATCTTTTGTTTGAACCCATGGAATGTTAACTCGTATAGGTTTAGTTCATGTAACTGAATTATCCTCGCTCTCCAACTGTGAGGGATTGCCTAGCCAAAAGTTTCCACAATCACTCTCATATAATAGGTTTTCCTTACTCAAATTTTAAGATATCATAAGTGTAACATCCTGATTTTTATATAATAAAGAAATTATGGAATATAGGTTTTGAGAAAAAAATGATAATAATAGGAATTTATATTATTTGAGGTTATTTAGAAATGATATTATGGTTAGGTATTTAATTATAAATTTAAAAATTTAAATTTAAAATTACATAAGCAATATTTAGTTAAGATATAATACATAAATAATTTTTTTTATTGTGTGTTAAAAAAAAAGAGAAGGTAGAAGGAACAAAAAAGGGGGGGTGGAAGGTTGTTGTTTCTAAGTCCCACATTGGTTAGATGAGGGAAGAGAAGAGGTGCCTTCATGTATAAAAAGGAGGGAGTGTGTGCATTAGGAAGCATAAGAAGCTAAGATGCAATTTAGAGGAAATTGCAACTTTTGGCCCAAAGGTTTGAATAATTAAATTCGAACCTATAGTTTTTTTTTAAATATAATTTTAGGACCACAATCCCATTTTTATATTATTTTTCTCTCTTCCTCTCACGTTGCTCGACGTTTTTCTCGCAAGGGGGGATTATTTTCTTTTTCTTCAGGTATGTTCTAACTTTCCTGTTTAGATTAGCATTTAAAAATTTATTTAATTACAAAATTAATTTTATAGTTATTTTCTAAATAATATTAGCTTTCTAGTGATATGATTATTTTGTAGGATAGAATAAATATTTTGATTAGGATTTTTCTATAGGATAGTTAATCTGATGATATGATGGATTAAAAATATAGGTTAAAATTTTTAGGGATGTAAAAAATATTATAGAATATTTTTCTTAAGGTTAAAACTCATGTTTAAGAATTTTTAAGTTAAAATCTAGATCTATATGGTTGAATTTATGTGGAATCTGAGACGTAGGGATAAACCTATGATTATTAAATATTTATTTAAGTATGACTAGGTATTTTTGAGGTTATAGAAAGGTGATTTGAGGCTTCAGGATAATTCTAAAAATTTTAATTTATTTTTGGATGAATTTTTAGAATATAGAAGGATGAAATTGTGATACTAGAAGTGAATTGAGGATAAAAAAAAATAGTTCATTAGGGTACGAGAATTTTAGAAAAGAATTTGGGAAGTTAAATGAGGCATAAATCTTAAATTAGTGTTAATATGGACTATAGATCTAAGACTTTCTAACTCTTTAAATTAGAGTTATTTATTTTAATGTAAAATTAATATATAGTATTGTGAAATAATTATGTAGATTATATTGACAAAGATAGTGGTGAAAAAGGAGTTGTGAAGGGGAACTTATTATTCAAGACATAAGGTAACCATTATTAATGTGTTGTGATGGGTGTGTTTGTGAATGGTTATGAGTTGTTTTATTGTTTGGAAAAATTATGAATTATTGAAAATAAATACTGTTATATACTTCTGTGAAATCATTGCCAAGTGGGTTAAAAATTTATTTTTGTTTATCATGATGAGATATTATTGTTCGGATATATTCCTGTTTGGATATTTGAATGATGCATGACTTGTCAGGGTATTTTAATGTATGGTGTTAATGGGAATTTCTGTTCGGTTAATTATTACCACGTGGTAAGCCCTCATTGGACCCAATGAGTGGCGTGTCGCTTGGTCCAACTCACCTTTGGCCGGGTGATTTGGCGTCCGAGCATGGCGAAAGGAGGATATAAGGTGCAGTCATGTAAATTAAATACTTGTTCGATTTGTTTGAAAGTATTGTTCGGTTAAATGTTTTGTATGCCCACTTAGCAATCGCATGATTAGTTACATCCGCATGCATCATTACATATTAATTTTTGGTTACTGGGACTTTTAAGTCTCATTCCCCGTGGTTAATATTTTTACAGGAACGAGTCAGGCCGAGAAAGCACCAGAGGTGTAACTATGGTGTATTAAACACCATCTTTTACGTTGCCTCTTATTTTGGATTATACAATGTATCTTGTGCCAACTTAGGACATATCTTCTTTGTGAAGCATGTAAACTCTAATTCTTTTTATTAAAAGTATTTTTTTGACCAAGAGGATTATGTTTGTCCCTCTTGATTCATGACCTAATTTAAATATCATGCCATGAGGATCCTGACTGTCCCTCATGGTTCTAATTGCTTTTTGAGATATTTTAAGACCTGTGGTATATTATCTTGGATGTATTATGGTAAGAAAATTTTCTACCATGATAATGGTTTTAATAATTTGTGAAAAATCGGTTTGTAAATTTGAGGGTGTTACAATAAGTACCCAACCCACACCATCTAATTTTAGATCGATGATACTGAGCATCGTATTTGACCTCTGTCACACCCATGGGTTATTGGCAACATCAAGCAAATTTAATAATAAAGTATGCCAATCATTGTACGCAAATTTAGTGGAGGCCACATCAAATATATGCTACTAATTACAAGTCATTGATTTTATAACAACTAATTATAGTTACAGACATAATAATATGTAATAGTTTAAATGTCAATTATCTCAACTTTTGGATTTACCACTCCAGGAGTATAACTTTGGATTTTTAGGGAAACTTCTTACCAGTGTGAACTCTAGCACACTATGCTTTATAAATAATGCTATAAAACAACATTAATACTAATCATCATTAATTAATCCTTAATCATAATTAAGGCCTAAACCCATCATTAAGTATGATTAAGCCTAACTAATCCCAAAACTAACTTTCATTTTTTTATTTAGCTCCCAGTAAGCTTAATAATCACTGCTAACCACCCTTATTAGCTCAAACATAATTATTTAAGATTATGGTTAACTTTAAACCTCTCATTAATGGTGTTTATTGCTATCAACTACTCAAACTCAAGTTTATATGCATTAAATAACACTCATGGACTCCATCAGAGTCATAGGAAAGGCTGGAATGTAACTCTTAATTTAGATATCAAGCACCGTAGCTGTCAAAAACTATAATAGATGCTTGAAAGGAGTAGAGGAATAAGAGAAGAGGTTTATACAATGATTTATAAGCTCCAACCACTCCAAAATGCCCCCAATATAATATAAAGCCCTAGAAGAGTTCTAATCTCTCTTTCTCTAGCTCAGTTTTGTGCTTTTCTCCTCTAAAACCAAAATTAATCACGTCTTTTATTTCAAAAAATTTTGACATGTCTGCCACAATAGATTTGTCAAAATGGCAAACCCCACTATTTTGGGTTCAAGATGCCCAATAGCTCTCCAAGCCTTATCTTAATCATCCTAAAAGGTCATCCTAACTTTCTAATTAACTTCTAATCACCTAAATTATTTAATTAAACCCCTTGATTAATTATTATAAATCTTAAATTAAAATTTAGGATGTTAATAAATTGAACTATACTCAACTCGATAATCATAAACATCTTATTAATTAGCTATATAAAAAAATACTTCCTCTATTAAAAATATAAAATATTTTTAATCAAATTTGACCCCCTTACAAATTAATTTACTATTTTTAAATTAAAATATATTTTTATATTTATCTTTATTTAATACTAGTGTCTCATTTAAAAATAAATAAACAATGATTCATTTATTAACAAAATTTTTGGAAAACATATTAATTACACCTTAAAAATATAAAAATACCTTATATTTTTTAATATACAATCCCTCAAAAAATGCCTTCCATTTTTGGGGGAGTATTTTTATTTCATTTTTCATTTTTTTTCATATTGAGAGAGTTCCAACTACCAACCTGAAACTGCACTAATCTATTATATAATTTCATCTCATCTTATCCTTTTGAATTTCTATGCTGCTAAGACAATAAATATCTCTCGACAATTGAGATTGGGAGATATTTTATTTTTTAAAAAAACAAATACATATTCTATTCAAATTTAAGTTTTAAAAAATTACATCATCGTTAGGTTTCTAAAAAATTTTTGAGGATATTTTAAGGATGATTTTTTTTTTTGCACCAAAATTTTAAGGATGATACAATGATAACGACAAATTGTACCAAAAAAAAAACGATTTTTCACAACAAAAACGAGTCACCTTTTTTTTGCCCACACAATTTCAGCGTTCAAGATTATATTTGTATCACTCCCTTAAATTTTATGTAGATTTTCTACTTTTTTTTTGAAACAATTATAACTTACCAATATTATATTTTTAGCTCAATTTTGACGAGCTAAGAAATTTTCTCTTGTTTGGCCAAAAAAAAATATTTTCTTTTGTACTACATAGAATTAAAAAAAAAGCCACTATTTATATTTATAATTTTTATACTTTCATAACTTAATGAATAATATGACATGACTTGCCATTGACAACAGGCTTTCTTTCATTAGATGACCTGTGAATTCTATCCTGCGGGCCTCACCAGTCTCAATAAGCATTTTGATTTTGTGAAAAGCTCCAAAGCCAACCCATCAATCCTAGGGCACTTCACGCATTCATTTGATATTTCTGATGGACTTGTTTGGACACGTGACATCACGAGGATGAGAAGAAAGCTCATGGCAGGAATAAATTATAAAAATGGGAGAATAAACTCGTTTTTAATCAGAAAGATCCAAAGTCAATCAATAACCAATCCATCAATCATTGGGCTGTCTTCTTCTCTTGAGAAGTTGGATCTAGCTCGGCTACTTCGACTGGGTTTCTAGCATCTTCCCTAGTAGCAACACTTCCTTGAGGTCTGCCTACAAATCAACAAGGTTCATGTTATTAAGCAATCAAACGAAGAAAAGAAACAGATAGATTTGCAGCAGAGGAATACCTGATGGTGGTGTAGTGATGCGATCAGCAGAGGGAATGGCATGAAGCTTCCCAGTTTCAGTGTGTGAAGTATCATGAAGCAGCTTCAAAGGAGGCTTGGGCGAGCAAGTACTTGTGGACCAACTCCCTCCATTTGACCCTGCTAAGCTCATTATCACATCTGCCTGCACACCACATTCATCCACATCAGTTGCTACTGCCACATCCGCATGCACATGCATATATTCACACATGGAACCAAAATATCGAGCAAAATTAGTCACGAATAAGTGAAAAATGCTAGGGAAATCACTATCAGGTCCTATATAAGGAATCTAAATGCAGAAAAATCTCATGAAATTATAAAATTACTCTGATGTTTCGTGTCCTTTACTGAAGTTGTTAGTTTGCCATATTGAAGTTGTCAATTAATGCTTGATAGTTGTCAATAAAGTTGTTTAGTTGACAGCTAAGCAACAATAATTAGCAACCATCCAACAGTAATTAACAACTTCAGTAAAAAGATGTGAGATTTCAAAGTAATTTTGTGATTTCATGAAACTTTTCTGCATTTAGATTCATTGTATGGGATCTGAGAGTGATTTTTTATAAAATATTTGCCACATCTACCTAGTAAATTGTAATTGTCTATCTGCATAATTCATATAGAGACTTGTAGAATATCAGTATACCACTCTAGAAAGGAGTCGGCACACAATTATGCTAAATATCACTACCATCTTTGGAAGAAAGATACATGTCCAGATTGTCTGATACTGATGTCACAGCAAAAGTTCAAGATGATGAGACGGTGTGTCTTGGCCGAAAAAGATTAAGGAACAAGACTATGCTCAGCACCAAGCCATCTTGATTCTTGACAGAGAACATAGCGGTTACTCTTAACTATATAGTTTCTCTTGTATAATTCTAAACTCCATGTGCTGCTCAGCCTATGTCATTTTTGCTCTAGTTCTTTGATGAATGCCAAAAACATGGTTAGAAATGTGAATGCACGCAGGTTGAATATAATCACCAAATTTCTTTTACTAGCTACTGCCAAATCAGTAAATAGATCGAAGCATATTGTTGTGTTTTCGTTTTTTTTTTTTTTTTAGTGTCACTATTCGCATATTTGTTTAGATTGAAGTTAGCAACAAATACGTGGATAATAACACAAAAAAAGAAAAACAACAGCAAAAAAATGCTTGATACCATCAATCCTTCTAAGGAAAAGATGGTAAAAGAGAGATGGTGCAAACCAACATGGAGTGCCAAAAAGTTGAGAAACTTGAAGCAGTAACTGCGATTCCAAACCAGCATTTTCAAGCACCAACTTGAAACATAGAAATGCAAACCTACTAAGATAAAGAGCATACAGCATGCTCATCATCATCTGTAATGAGTATTACCATCAAAATATAGAAATGCAAACCATCAAAGTACAATTAAAGCTTTAATTCCTTTCCACTACTTTTAAAAAGAAGCAGCAGCTTTGATTCCTCCTTGGAATTATGGGAATTGTGGAATATGATTGGCAGTCCAGCATTGATATTTTACTGCCAATGACCCAAATTTCTTTTCATAGTTGAATCAAGTATGTCACAGACGGTTTTGGCGAGCACTTCCATGCACAAAAGTTCCACTGGATGAAGATTAGTAACTTAACACAAACAAACCACTTTCTTACAGCCAGTCATAAATTAAAAAAAAAAAACTTACCAAGCATATATTATTTTATCTATTCTTGTTATCCTACGCTAGATATAACCATGGATAAACAAGCATTATACTTGTACCAGTAAGTGAAATAGGTAATCTTCAACAGTGACTTTCGCCTCGTCAATAAGCATTTTATGTAAATAGTCACCCAGCTTTTTTCCAGCAACAACTACAGATTCAGCATGGACACAAGAATGTGCAGGAAGTAGCTAAGTAAATTATTGCACCAATAACATCAACGCAGCCACGGAATGAACTTAAAATATCAATCCCAGACATCATTTCCAATTAAATGAGAAACACTAAACAAATTCCTGCGTTTAAACGTTTCATGCTACGGGGATCTGCAAAAACAGAAATGCTTTCCTGCAATAATTCATAGATATACACCAATTTCTGCCTAAAAACACTAAATGCAATAGAATTATATCACCACTAATAATCAAAGACCAGACCTTGTTAGGGTGGACATTATCGAACACATGAGCTCGACCTCCATAGAATATGGTCATCTGGCAACTGGCAGATCTCAACTCATTTTGGCTGCGGTCAATGACAAATACATATAATCAAATAGCTTTCTTTTCAGAGTTAAGAAGTTGAAAATAAATAGATCATGGAGCATAAACTGATAAGTGTATTCATAATATTTACCTTGTAGGTGTGGATGATTCTAAGTCTATTATATTCATCACACGCTTTGGCCTGCCTCCACCCAGCACCATTGCAGATGGAGTTTTCTCAGTGGCAGCAGTTGTGATGTTTATAGAGCTCAAAATTCCAGGGCCCTTCATTCCAGTTCTAGATCCTTCATCAGCAGCTGACTGAGAGATAAATGAAGGACCAATGTTAGCATCCCTGACCTTGTTTGAAGCTATCTGGTGCACAACAGGTGTTAATGGAGCCCCATGTGGCGGATGATGCATTGAAGGGCCAACATTCATAATAACAGACCGTTCCCATCTATTGGCATCAAGCTTGGTTCCAGTAAGAGGCTGAAATATCTGAGAAGCTGAAGTTGGCTTCTGTGACTGCGTACCAAGAAAAACTTCATCGTCGTTAGATCTTCTATGATGCTCTCCTCCAGCTGTACTCCGGAACATCTAAACATAAACTCAGCTCAGTATCAAAGAAAAGAAAGCAGGAAAATTACTGGCAGCTATATTGAATATAGGAGAGGAAAAATTTGATCATGATTCGTACTTTCATCAAATGTGAGTTTTGAATAGAGTCAGGGACCATTTGGAAGGCATCTCTGGAAGATCCCATGAAAGCAGAATCAGAACTACTTCTCTTGTTTCCTATTAGCCTGTTGCTTAGCCCAGTGTCAGAAAAATCACTCCTAGGTCCATAAAATGGAACTCCCTCGAGATGATTTCCTACCTTTCTTTCTATCAAACCGATGAGGAGAAAACATCAAACTCTTTTAGAACTAAAATACCCATAAAAGACCACAGAAGCTTTCCATAAATATTTCGATAAAAAAACAATGAGATTGAGGACTAAGAACCTCCCATTTTAATCTATGAAATACCAAAATAAATAATAACAATACAATAAATATGTGGGGACGAACAATAAGTGTCATCATTACTCAATTCACAGGTATTAACAAAAACACGGCAGTAAGCTACATAATTTTTACTGTTCAAATTTCAAAACTTAGTGTTGTCTTAGCACGCATTCAGTTCTTTTCTCCACATGTATTTGAAAGCAGAAAACCAAAACAAACAAGATTTGCAAAGTTAAATTATGAACAAAGAAAACTTAAATTTAGAAAACTTCCAGAAAATTATCTTACTGACACTAGGCGAGTGCTTGATGGAATAATGAAAACAACTTTCAAGGGGAAAAGGTTAAAACAAATCATATCATGCATATATACTGTGTACAGGAAAGGATGAAAACGTTCCAAGATAACCAATCTACTCCAATTCTGAACTCACTAAGATCAGTCTATCAGAAGGATTCCGCGCTATGAAGGAGCAAGAAAGATAGAGAAGAAACGGATGGCTAGAGCGCATAGTATGTGAGAATCAACACAGACACATACGAAAAATCAGGTCTTCCCACAAAAATTTCTAAACCTCACCCACCCAAATGCTGGAAGGATAGTGTATGGTACAAAAGAAGTTTACTTTTCCCCTTTATACGGTAATAGCTGAAAATTTAGACAAATGGGGGGCTTACTCACCAGAACCGATGTCAGATGTGGTTGAGAAGGGACCACGGCCACCGCTAGATGAGGCGGCAATGGACATCGATGCCGAGGACGGCGACGCCTCGGACAGCCTCACGTTGGCGGTTTTGGGTTCCAGAACGAAGTGGGAATCATTGGGCTTCGAGCCCAGAAAATCATGGAAGACTGGCTTCACTAATTGTTGGCTTGCACTGTTGTTGTCATTGCTATGCTGAGCCATTAACAGCACGACTGTAGCACAGCCTTCTCGTTCTCGCCCTCCATTGCTGCTTCGCTCCACGCGCAGAGAGATAGAGATGTAAGCAGAAGAGAGCACGATCTCCAGAAAAGATGAACAGAGGGAATCAGAATCCTCTTATGAAAGAGAGAGAATGAGAAAGCAATAAAAAGCAAAAGGTTCTCTAGGCTGCTGTACTCCTCTGCTCAGCTAAATAGGCGCATGTCTGTTTATCTCTCTCTCCCCCCTTCCTCTTATTGTCTTTTTCCTCAATTTTTATAAGATAGAAGCAGGAATTCAATCATTTTTTTTTTACGATCAAATTATAATACCTTTTATCTTAAATTATAAATATTTTTTTAAAAAAATTAACATTACAAAATATAAAATATTTTTTAAATATTAAAATTTTATTAAATAAATTTATTTTAATATTATTCATTCTTTTTGTATATTTAATTTTTACTTTTTTAATTTATTAAATAAAAAATATTTTTAAAAATTTATATTTTTATTTAAAAGAATAAAATTAATAAGTGTATTTAATAAAATTTATTAATATATAAAATTTTATTTAAAAATATATTATAATTTAAGATTGATAGAGCATTGAAAAGAAATTTAATGTCTTTGATATTACAGGTAAGATATACATTAATTAATCAATCAATAATAACAACTTAAAATTTTATCAAAAAATTAATATTAAATCAAGACTTTATTATAATTTAATTTCTCAAATTCAATATTAAAAATATCGATTTAATATTAGTTTTTTGTAAAACATTTTTAGTTATCATTCTCTCTTGATAATAAGATGCTCTCTCTCTTCTTGAATATGCGAAACAAATGACTAATGTCTCATTTTTTTCAATATCAACACATAATTAATTTGATTGGTTAAATATTTTAAATATGCTTTAATTTTTCCCTTCAAAAAATACTTCTAATAAAGTCAATGAGCAAAGTCATTCCTTAACTAATTCATGACGATTCAATGAATGTGCATTAATCATATCACTAGCTTTCTCCGGTTCTCTTATAAATGGGACGGAAGGAATGTAAAAATAAATTACGGTATTTGCTATTTATAGATATTAAACAATGCATATAAATTCTGTTTTCCCTTTTTTAAAGATTTATTCAGTGCGCTTCCTTTTTAATATCACATTAATATTAGATACTTCGCCGGTTCTAATTTATAAAATTTTTTTTATAGATATTTGATTTGATATTAAAAAAAATTTATATACTTAATCTTGTATATTTAATATATTTATTTTTAATTGAATCAATGTGAATCTTTTATAAACATTTTTATAATAAATTATTATTATTAATCTAGTTGACACATTAAGATACATTTATTATAATTTAATTTAATTTACACATATTAAGTATTTAATGTTAAGTACACGCACATTTTCCTATCCCAAGACAGAAGACCTTTTGTTTAAAAATAAAGTTTCATGGATTTTTTTTAATGAAATTATTCTTTTCATTATATTTTATTTTTTAATATTATTTTAGTACAAATGAAGTACTCCCTGATTTTATTTATAAAATAAAAAAGAATATATATCTTAGTCCTATTTATGAGATATATAAATGATTATTATATATATCTTCACCCTTTTATCCTTGTTAAATGTTGAAAATATTTTTAAATATTAGAGCATTTTTTTAAAGCGTTCTAATTAGAGTAAAATTGAAAATTTGTTGTATTTTTAGAAAGCTTAATAAGGTTTAATATTTTTTTTAATTATGATAAAAATATTAAAAGTGACTTATAAACAAGATCAAATAAAATATTAAAAAAATATTTTTTTAAGTTATATTTTAAATAAAGTTGCAAAATATAATTAATAAATTTTATTGATATAGGTTGTTTTGTTTAAACATGTCTTGCGAAATTAAGATAAATGAAGTAGTATTATATTGACCGATTGAAATTGTATAATTAGATTTGACCTTGGAAAAAGCAACCAATTTTCCATTTATAAATAATCAATTCTCTTTCCCAAGTCCGTTGTAACGCAGATGTGAGGGCGTGTGTGTGTATGGTGGGAAGAGTTGGGACAGCAAATAGGACAATGGCGCTGAAGTAGCTTGGTGAATACTGGCTTATGAGTTTTGAGTTGGCTCGTAAGGCCGTGTTTTTGAAATAATTACCTCAAGCTGAAAACTAAACTGGTCAGAGTAATAATTTAAAATTAATAATTAAAATTGTACTCCCTTCGTTATAAAATATTTTTAAACAAGATCTCACATATTATAAAATTATATTAAATACACTTAATAATTTTATTTTTTTTAAAATAAAAATATAAACATTTAAAAATATCCTTCATTTAATAACATTAAATCTACACTTAATTAGTATTAAATAGAGAGAGAAATGATAATATTAAAATAAATTTATTTAATAAAACATTAATTATTTTAAAGTATCTTGTGTTTTAAAACAACAAATATCTTCTAAAAGTATCTTATAATTTGAGACGGAGTGAGTATTTGAATTGTGACCAAATCAATCATAAATAAAATATTTCATCAAATAGGTCCATATAGTGGTTCAAAAGTTTACCAAAATAACTAGACAAATAAACCCGCATTTCAATACTAAAATTTTAAGATAACTTAAAATTTTAAATGCAAATATTTAAATTTGGTCATAAATTATTTTCTAACGACTGTTGAATATTTCATACTATAATATGATAAAAAATAATCATCAATTATAGAAAACGTAGCATCCATGACCTTCCGTCCATTTTATCTAATGTTCGTTTATTATGTCTACGAGATCCACAAATTTTCAGTTGACTCACTCTTCCATAACCTTGAAATCGAACCTTGTCTTCTTTTCACCATCTCTGCTGTCTCCCATGGTCGAATGAAAAGTGTAATGGATATCTAGTTGAGAGAGGGAGAAAGAGGCCAGATAAAGTTGAAAAAGGGCATAGGCAAAATCAATCCATCATCAACCAAGTGAACGAAAACTAGAAATTGAACGAAAATGTAAGGGCTTAGTGGAAGGCAAGAAGCACAAGCGTGGATAATAGAGCACATGAACACAGAAGCAACAATTTTCCTGGAGCTGGTGCTAAACCCTCACCTAGTTACGAAAGGTTGAACCCAACAATATTCGTTTTCTTAGTTTAACGAACACACATCGAGCCTCATCAAAAAGCCAAAAAATGCATACACATGCAGAAGTAGAAGGATTATACCTTTTCTTAGATGGGCTTGAAAGTAGATTTTACCAACTGAAATATTTAAAACTTTGGAGATGTGCATTTGGGACGCCAAGCAAAGGTAGCGTCTGACGGCTTGGCATGAGATTGAGTTTCCCTACCCATATCTAAACCATTCAAATTAATTGAATGGTACAAATTTAAAGTATTATTATATTATTACTTATTATATTTATTAAAATAAAAAATTATAAAAATTATAAAATAATTTTAATAAATTTTTTATTTTTAATTTGGTCTATTTTTAATTTTTTAAGATTTAATTTAATATTAAAATTTTATAATTAATGTATATTGATTATTTAAATTTATTTTGCATAATTCAGGACTATGCAGAGTGCATCTGAATAATCAATATACATCAATTATAAAAATTTTAATATTAAATTGAATCCATTAAATTAAATTTAAACCAGACTAAAAATAAAAAATTTATTAAATTTATTTTATAATTTTTTTTTAATAAATATAGTATATAATAATATATTAAATATGAATCATTCAGATTAAAATTTAAATGGTCCAGATTTCATTCAAGAATGAGCAATAGAAACCAGTCCTGCTTGCATGTGAAGGCAAACATGCATTGTTTTCTCTTCCAGGGAAAAATACAACAACATCTTTCATGAAAAAACTATAATAATACAATAAATATAATAAATACAACCTAAGTTGTCAATTACATTAAAAAAAGTAAACGATCTTAGAAAACAATAAAATAGTAAACCTAAAATAAATCAAATATTTAGAATTTAAATATTAATACAATCGACAAGTCAAATTAACTAAACCGATCTTGCACAAAAATTAGTAGACAGTAGAATTTCAATTTTTTTATGATTTGTTCGTACATATTATTTAAAAGATTATGTTAAACCACTAACGTGCTATCGTTTCAAATTTTTCTTATATTTTTTAAACATTTTAAATTCAATACATTCGTGTAATAAAAATTACAAAGCATTATAAATAAATATTTTGTATGGTAATTATACATTTAAAAACACATTTCATTACAGATAATCTACATAATTTTTGATTTACCAAACTGATTTTAAAAAAAAATACCCAAATATAAATTTTATTATAATAATTGACTTTTATTGAATTAATTTTTGTCAAATAAATTATTGACAAACTAATTTTTGATCAACAGAAAACCAAACACAGAAAATCAAACACACATATTTCATTGAAGAGGAATATAATCCTTTATTGCAGAAATTGTTCTCCTTTTCGAAAATGAGCTAATAGTTGCAAATTGGACAAAAGAAGAAGAAGAAGCAGATGGAGGAGGAGCTCCCGCTCTACCTGAAGAGCAAGTGCGAGGTTTCTCCTTGCCTTTGATTTCACCTATAACGTGCTGTCCTGGGTCATGCTTTTCAGTTGCTTCCATTTTGTGTTCAATATTGTGAAAATGAGGATGAAAAATATATGAGGAAAAGAGAAGAGATTGGTTTGATGTGCTAAAAGGTGGACAAAAAGTGAGCCCCACAGTCATAATAAACAGGTGCTGGACAAGAAGGACGGGAAATTATAGATGATACAATTTTTTATAGTTGATAATTTTTTTTTGCATAACTTATAATATAAGATATTCAGTAATTATAACAAAATAGTTCGCGATTATACTAAAAATTTATCTTAAATTTAGAATTTAGATTTAGAAATTATAATAAAAACCGGTCTACCCGTATTAACTCATATTTTCCATCGTTCCATTTACTTCTACTTTCATTCACAAAGTACTTTTATATTAAAAAAACTGTACGAAATGTCGAAATCAGGGGAAGTTCCTAATATCGCGTCGTTTTGGTATTTTTGGAAGAGGGGGTCTAGTGAGCGAAGCTTCCAGGTTCCAGCAAAATCGGAGAATGGGATAAGAGGGCGAAAATAAATACAAGTCGTGCAGGACATGAGGATGAGGGAGGGTTAGTGACTCGTAAGTTGTAAGGATAAAGCGTGCGCTCGAAGCAATTGAAACAAAAGAATGGCTTCGATTAACATATTCTCTACCATTTCGCATCCTTCACCTGAACTGCCCGCCGGCGTCCGAACCTCTCGGAATCCAATTGGCTGTTACCCCCTCCGGCGGCCGCGCTCAGTCCCGTTCGCCGGCAATTCCTCTGGAATTCCATCCGAGAAGCCTGAAATCGAGCTCGAATTCATTGGGGTACTAGTTTATAGAATATTATCTAGATATTTATGCGCCTTTATTATTCTACAATAATGCTGAATCGTAGGACGTGAGAGGGCTTGCAATTTTAGTTGTATTTTGATCTCTAAGAATAAGCAATTGAAGATTCAATCTGGCAGCCGACGCCGGGAAGTGATGGGTCGTATCCTGTAGAGAAAGCTAAAGCAATTAGTGGAGAGAAGCTGATGAGGAACATCATGCTGGATAACAAGATCGAGCTTTATGCCACGTATGTAAGTATCAAGAGTCAAGATGATGTTATGGTGGTGCGGCGTCGTTTTGGTGGTTTCTTAATCATTTCGACAATTACGCATATGGCAACGCAGTTTTGCATTTCGAAAAATTCTTAAATAAATGTGGTTTAGTTTACAAACCAATTTAAGCAACAGACTCGTAAAATTTACAGCTGGGATAAGCTTTTATGTGTGTACTGTCTTTTCAAATCGATTACATGCTTCAATGATTCCTTTTCCTTTTTCTATGAATCACAACTAATCATGCTTACTCAATGGTGAGCATTCTTTTATGCATGTTGGCGTTTTTCATGATTGCAAACCGGTTTTTACTGTTCCAATAGGGGAAGGTGATGAACTGCGGGGGAGGTGGTAGCTGCGGAACTTGCATTGTAGAGGTACAGAACTAGGGCTTTTATTGGAGCCACATTGTGAAATTCTAGCAGTACTAGCCCAAGCCACCCCACAGCTTATAAGTAAACAGAGTGAAAGGTTACTGGTATTACGAATTAGATCCCATTTGAAAATTGGATTTGTGGCTCTGAAGCTCTCAAAATTGTAAATATTTTATCGACGTCTTATTGAAAAAGCAAGAAGGCATTTCGTTGTGCGCCTCTTGCATCTTATTATATATCTGCTTTATTCTGTTTACTTTGATTGATTGATTGATAGTGCAATGAAAAGTGCTTGGAATCTCTGAGATCGATCCTTTATTTTATGGCTACTTATATATTACTTGGTTGAAATGGTATGAGTAAAACAATTTCATTCATACACGAAACAACCTAGATGTGTAAGATGATTTCTAAATATTAGTTTTTAAAATAGGTTTTGTATTCATATTCACATTGAGCTTTTCAGTTCTGTGAACAGTGCTCAAATTTTATTGAACTACCTATCCATACGTTGTCTCCATCAAATGAGCATTAAAAATAAAATTTTCGTCAGTAGGTAGTTGTAAGCAACATTGTTGTTTTATTTCTTCTATTGCAGATTGTTGATGGAACGGATCTTTTAAATGAAAGAACAGATACTGAACTTCGGTATCTTAAAAAGGCATGTTCTGTCTCTCTCCACACCTCTTGCACACGCATTGACAGAGACTCTGATGATTCCGATATTATCATTTATTTTTAAAATCAGCTACTTATTTTGTGGCTACAGAAACCCGAATCTTGGAGGCTGGCTTGTCAAACAATTGTTGGAAACAAAGAGAATTCCGGCAAGGTAGTTATTAAAAATTGATTGCTCTTTGTGTAGTTATTTTTCATATTTTTGCTGTACTGAGTGTTCTATGGATGATGTGTTTTACTTGAAGTATTATTAGTGCAGAACATTCGAGGATTGTGATCTTCTATGATAAAACGGATTTTTTCCCTCCTCTTTGATTCTTTAATAAGTCTACATTGATTGGATATCATGTTTATCACTATGTTATGTCTATAAATGGACACATACAATTTGACGGAAGTCAATTTGCGTACTCTCTGTCATCTTAAAGCAAACAAACCTGATTAATTACTGGGGAAACCCCTGTTGATTTTTGTGCCTGTCCTAAAAGATGGGGTATAATAATATGTTGACAGCTAGTTATATAGCAGTTGGTTTTCAAAAAGACATAAACAGATCATGCTAGTTGACTTATGTCATTGCGGTGATGAATTTTTAGGTGGTTGTTCAAAGGATTCCACAGTGGAAGAAGTAATAAGCCATGCCAAGCCTGAGAAAAGCGAAGCCAAGCAGCATCTCTTGATGCTCAGCCAATAGCACCATATGTTTTCTTATGGGAAGCAAGTTGTTTGAGTTGGAGGCGACATGGGAATATTTATGATTTTATGTGAGATCTTGCCTGAAGCATCACTGCAGGTCATTTATCATAATAAAGTGTTCGATGCTTTAGAATGTAAATTCGTAGATGTGTGTAATGCATTTTTCCTTCTAATGTTAATGAACGACTGCATAATGCTTTCTACATGGTTTATCCATCACAAACAAAACTTCGAAAGCTATGTTCCGAGTGTAAACGTATTTGATCCCGAGAGCAACGATGAGGAAGTTCAGAATTGATATTTTCATTATTATTCCCTGGTTTCAAGACGGGGAAGGCGATCAAAATAATGCAAAATCCAGAGACGTGTGTTTGCTTCAAGTGCTTTTTTCCTGCATCAAGTGAAAGTGCCGTACTCTTAAATACAGTCTTTAATTTGACGATTAGGACACTACTGATGAGCAGTGGGAAAAAAAATCATACCTTTGGGGCTGACATTTAGTTCAATTAGATTGGAGCAATGTGTTATGGGATTAGTTTTTTAACCCACGTGGTACTTAGACATTTTTCACTGAAAGATATTAAATAACCTTGATTTGTAAAAAAGGAAAATGTTTGGCTAAATTGAGAAAATAAAAAACTTGAAAGCAAAGATAGTTGAAAGAATTTGAAAAGTGTGAAAGTTGTATTGTTTGAGAACTCAATAATGTTTACAAATGAAAAGGGATAACGTATTTATAGGTTTCTCTTTGAATTTAGAAAATTCTTACTTTCTTAATAAATGGTAGAGATAAAATTGATCCTACAATTATCGTTAATTTTTTAAAATTCTCTCCTAAACATTTACATGAAAATATCTAGAAATTATTTCAAGACATGTTTAAAACATTTTAGAACATCTTAAAATATCTTAAAATATTTTAAATATTTTCACATCCTTTCATAAACTTTTAAAACTTTTTAGATTGATCTAGATATTTCTATATTATTTTATATATTTTTAAATATTTTAAAATATTTTAAATTTTTGTTGAGTGCTTTGAAATATTCTCTTAAAACTCTTAAAATTTATGGATGTGACAAATGGCTCGGATCTTGACTCTGGCGCATACAGCTGACCAGCAGAAACTTTCTGTGTCCCCCATTGTGAACATGTTTTTCCATCCAGTGACTGTCATCATGGTTAACTTGACTGTGGTTTTTTTTTTTTTGGCCCCAATCTTTAAGTTTATTTAAAGTTATATATATATATATAGAGAGAGAGAGAGAGAGAGAGAGAGAGAGCAGCTTGATTTTCTGAGATTTTCTTTGTGCTCGTGTTCAGATTTGAAGGCCCACGTTCATTCACCGCACGGTGATGTCTCTTTTCACGAGCAATGCCAATGGCCCACACTGGAGCGCTGAATGCCTGAAAGAGCTGTGCCCGGTATAGTCAATGTTTGCTCTCATCTTTTATATTTGAAAAAGTAAAATGAAAAAGGAAAAATGAAAAAAAAAAAAAACAGTGCGACAGTAAAATTGGAGCCTCTGGCATCTGCGGCAGGTATTCTTCATCTCGATTCATACCAAACAAGCAGCAATTGTTGAAAAGAGCTCAATCAATCTATACCCGTATTAGTCATTACATGCTGTTTCAAATATTTCAAATTTACGGAGATGTTACTTTTCTCTATCTGGGAAAGGAGAGATACGTCTGAGAAGGTGCTTTTACTGAACAAAAAGAGCAGAGGGGTTGCTTTCAAATGGGGAGAGCGTTTTGGAGCTTTGTCTTTGGCCTTTTCTCTTGAAGCGAAGAAGCCACCTAGTCCAGAAGAAATGGCTTTTTTTGGTTTCTGTGGTGGGATATCTTTGGGCAAACTTTGATTCTTTTAAATTTTTATAAGGTGGGAACGAGATATATTGTCAATAGATTATTGCCCCCACCTAGTCCCTTCAACTTTTGAGATTGCACAAATGGCGTGTCGTCCCTTTGTGATCCATTTCATTATCCTTATTATTAAATTATACATAGGGGAGCGGGGAAGTGAGACAAGACCAGACTATTGTGTTGGGTTCTTGTGAAGTTTCCTTTATGGTGGCTCTGCCCCTTGTCAATGTCTACATTATGGTCCTTTGAAACATATTTTTATTCTCAATTAAACTATTCGTTGCAGTTGGGAGGGCAGAACCTCGCGGATTTTGTTGGAACCCTTGCAAGTTGTGGGTACGGAAATATATGTGGATTCCAATCCTTTGGTTTTCAAGTGGTCGTCCCCATTCATTCGTCAGTCGTCACCATTTCCTCTGGTGGTCACGTCCATCAATGGCTTTGGTGGGCCAATTTATGGTATTTGCACTTTACATCGGCCCCAAATGTAGTGTAATGCACCGAGCCACCAACCCTTTTAAGATTGAGAGCCAGTAGCAAGGGCTGTTTCATCATCCTGAGCATTTGAATTTCGAGCATTAATTAAAACCTTGTTTAGTTGTTATAGTCGGTGGGAGTCTGGGTGAAACTGTAAGTCTTGAATTGCAAATTCAAAGATCTCTTCTAGATGAACTTAATATAGCATTGCTATTGCTTGCAGCGAGCGTTTCAGTTCAACAATTCAAAATTCATAACTTCCTTTGTACTTTTCCCACTCATTAGTCAATCATTTTTTTTTAATGAATGAGTTTTAATCTTTTTCCTTACATCTGCTGCCCGGTTCACCAATGGGTAAAAGTTTTTGGTAGTTTGACCTTTTCCTTGTGGACTGTCGGAGTCATTATCATTACAATGAGGGTTTTGATTGAAAAAAATTCCCTCGTTGGGGCTTATTGTGTTAGCATACTATAAAAGTTTATTGAATTATTGTTCCTAGATATAGCCACGAAAATTGCACTAACAAGTAAAAAGACATGCATGATTGTCGAAAAAGTTAGTCGCCAGGTTTTGAATAATTTTTTTTTGAATGAAAACTAAAATTCATAAAACAGTCAGCAGATAGGACAATACAGCAAAACAAATACAAAATTGAAAAAAGTCAACTGAATCATCATATACCTCCCAATGTAATATTAGGTGAGGGATGATTAAAGAAATAAAATGAACTCTTCATAAAATAAGTTTCACTAGCAAAGATATGGGCATGACTAATGACGTTCCTAAAAACAAAAATTAATAAAAATAGACCAATCTTTATGAATAAAATTACAAGTAGTTTGAATGATATCCCTGTAAGGGTGTTCCTCATGGTATCCTCTCATGAGGATATGAGGAGGTTGATTGCTTTCACATTATCCAAACATACTTCAACATTTCTCAACCCCTTAATCTAGCAAAGATTAAAACTTTTAGAAATTGCTAGAACTTCAGCAATGGTGGATGGATAATTCTTAAACTTAGAATTAAAGCCCATAACCCAAACTCCTTTGTTATTTGAGATACATCTTCCATAGGTTGCTACTTCATTTAGACAAGAACCATCACTGTCAAGTCTTGTAGCTCCTTGTAAAGGTGGGTGCCAAGACTTCGTGCCACTAGATGTAAAACGACCTATTTTGAGTTTTCCTAGCCATTTAGAATTAGTTGAGGCTTTCAACAGACATATCTTAGGGTCAAGTTGAATAGTTTGGCTCTAATTATCAAAGACATTTTTACATCGTGTAACCCAAAGCTCCCAACACATGTAAGTGAAGACTATTAGTCATGGGAGGTGCAAATTGGAGTAAGAACCTGCTTTATTTATAGAGTTCCATTTGATCCATTTTAAGCAATTAAAGTTCAAAAATTGTATCCAAAGATCACCTTTCACAAGTTATTTCCATGATTCTTGAGCAATATGACAGTCACGTACAATGTGCATGGTTGTTTCTGCTTCACCACATCCTATGAGACATTGATTGGAATCTGTGAATAAATTTTAATGATATTCAAAATTCAATCGTGGAACAAAAATAATATAGAAATTATTGTTATTCCTGAGTAGTATCATATCATAAAATGCTTTTAAAACGCGAACTTTAGAAAATTTGAAGGGGTGGGGGAGACGTGAAAAACAAAGCTTCATTCACTTCTTGCTAGTCATTCATTTTTTATAGATAGTAATACAACAAATAATATCATTTTCCAAAAAAAAAAAACACACAAACAGACTGGCAAATAGATCACTATAACCATCTCGGGCAGGGTCATTCAAGAATCAAATAGGTTCTCATCACACGCAAGATTACAATTTTTCTACTTTCCAGTTATATGGATTTTCATCAACGCTCATCGTGAATTTTGTTTCAACATTTTATTAAAATCCTGTGAGGAAATATTATTTTTGGTTAACTAGATAACAAATTTCCATGTTTTTTTTTTTGGTGGGGATGGTGTGAATTTATTTATTTAGTTGTGCAGCAATGAATTTAAGTCGATGTAAGAAGTTACATATCAAATAAAATTAGACCATCAATTAAAAAATTTAAAATATTTTTAATCAAATTTTATCCCAATAATATAATTAATTATCTTTAAACTAATACCTCTTTCTATATTTATCATTATTTAATAGAATGTTTACTTTAATGTAAATATAAAATGATTTATTTATTATAAATGCTTAAAGAAAAACAAGTTAATATTCTCTCTTTTTTTGGCTTGATAATTCATAATTCTAAAGTTTGAATTGCTTCTCTTATGCCTTGCTTGTTAATATTTTTTTTTTTTTGGGCCAGATGCTTGTTAATATCAAGGTTTGCCTAGTCTCACTTTTGCTTAAGAAGTGGCATCTTTTTGTTATTTTTTGCTCACTTTGCTCCCCCTCATTTAGTTGTATTGGAATGGACTTGAGTGATATAAGAAGTTACTTTCTCTATCTATACATAAAATATTTTATAAAAATTTATTTTGTTCTTAAGTATATAAGGTAACAATAATATTTTTGAGTAATAAAATAATTTTACCCTTATCTTAAAAAATAAAATAAATTATTAATTATATATTTTTTCTACTACCATCATGATATTAATTATGATATTATTAGAGGTAAAATTGAAAAATTATTGTATTTTTATGTAAGTTTAACTGAATAATAAACATTCATTAGTATATAGAATTCAATTAAAAATATCTTATATATAGAGAAAGAGAGAATATATATCAAATAAAATTAAATAAATTTAAAATATTTATAATCGAATCTTACTCAAGACGATATAATTAATTGTCTTTAGACTAACACCTCTTTTCATATTAATGTTTATTTAATAAAGTGTTTACTTTAAAATAAATATAAAGTAATTTATTTATTATGAATACTTTAAAAAAGCCTATTAATATTTTTTTCATTTGAGAACTCATAATTCTAAAGTTTGAATTGCTTCTCTATTTCCCCGCTTATTAATCTCCATGTTTGCTCAATCCCACCTTGGCTTAAAATGTGGCATTTTTTATTACTTTTTTCTCACTTTTCTCTCCTTCATTTTCTAGCGACAAAAACATTTTCATTTTTAATGACTAATGTTAGAGCCTAAATTTATTAAAAGATAAACATAGTTAGAGCAATACTGTTTTTATTTGGAACATGAAAATATAGCTTTCCATTTAATAAATATTAAATTCAATTCTTAATATTTTGATAAATTTCTCAAATCTATCCATTCAGACAAATTTATCTACAATAACTTTAAAATGAGTCATTTATTTTTAAACTGATACTTATCCATATTCTACATAAATCATGGAAAAAAGCGTCCTCAAAATTCAAACCACGTCATGAAAGTTCTGTACATGATATAATTACTCCTCGGCAAAATTTTTTTTAATCATTTTCATATTCAATTAACTGAAATTTTTACTAAAAAAAATAATTGAAGTCGAATGTGCTACAACATGATAATTATGTCTATAATTTTTAGAACTAATCCTTTCAATTTATTTATAAAAGGAAGGTAAAAATATTTCAATCGTAAAGTTTGAACGAATTTAGAAAGAAAAGCCTAAAAAGTAAAACTTAATTAATTAATTAATTTTAACATTAGAGGGCTCTAGGACAAGGACGGAAAAGTCAAAAGGGACCTTGCGGAAACAGCAAATTCGGGAGTGTAAGAAAAAACAAATTAGTTTATTAGTATTATTTTTTATTAAGAATTCGGAATTTTGAAGTTTGAACTGTTTTTCTTACGTCGCGCTTCCGCTCCGCTTATATCAACATCAATGTCCGCTCACTCCCACCCTCACTCTATCTTTCTCACCGCTCCTCACTTCATTTCATACTCTCTCACCTCACCCGCTGTCTCTTTCTCTTCCTTCTCTACCATTTCACCAGAGCTCTCACACGCCGTTGTTAGGGCTCGAGAGCTCCCAATAACTTAGTAAGTTCAGCTTGCACCCTTCTCTGTGGACGAATGAGCTTCCCCCACCCTTTATTTGAAACAAACAAAAAAAAAAAAAAATTCTTTCTGGAAATTTTTATTTTGAGATGTAGCTTATTAATTTCCGGTGAAGTGGAGTTTGATTGAGAGCTGCTTCCGAAAATGTTGGTAGCTTTTTACTTTTAGTTTGTGGATCTGGGTTTGAGTTGCATTGCTTGGTATTTTCAGGAATCCTGTCCTCCTTTTGTCTCCTTTGACAGGGAACAGAGAATCCATTTCGTGTGGTTAATTTTTGGAGAATTTTCCACTTGCCTTCTAACTTACAGCCGCACTTGATTGGAGATAAATGCTCAAGAGTTGTTCTCATTTTCGTTAATGTTTGATGATAAAACTTTTAAGAAGTTTGAATATGCTTGGGGCGGAAATAGCACGTGTGATCGACATTAGGGCTCTTGATTTGGTTCTGGAGAATATATTCAGAAAACCACGTGGGTATTCGTGTCAGCAAACATTCTTTTAGGTTGAGTACTGAAGAAAAGTGCGAACTGATCAAAGAAAAACTAGACTTTGACCATTGTTGCTCTGTCGTATTTCTGTTAATGAATCTCATTCTTTAATTTTTATTTTTGGCCTTAAGTTTCTTGGGTTCCAGCTACCATTCAAGAGATATGTAACCCTGATTCAGATTCTAACTATTGTGCTGATTTTTAATATTGCCTTCTTAAACCATTCTCTTTTGTTCGTAAATCTACTATTCAAGTGTTTACAGTACACCCTAGAAAGAATTAGTCACAAGGGCTGCATTGAGGAAAAATAATTTGTGCAGAAATACGTGTCTGCCGGAGTGCACTTGTATATACCATTGATTGCATTCTATGATCAGTTATCAACAAAAGTAACATGTCTGATAAGCAAGATAATATGGGGGGAAAAAAGAATTTCCGCTAATAACATTCGACCAAGATACGTCCAATGGATGGATAAATATCTGATTGGACTATTAGATCATGTTGAATTGACACTTGCAGCTCTTCTTTTCCTGGCAACAACAAGACTTTGTTTTGTGGAATTGTCATATCTAGTTGTGTTTCATCGCTGCTATCTCATGATAGTTTTGGTCTCTGAAGAGCAGGCATGAACAAAGTTATCGTCTGAAGCAATCAGGTTGCTTTTCTTCGAGGCACGCAAAATGAATAAAGGAAGTACTTTTTATGCTGAAGATGAGAAGTTTCCTTTCCGAATCACTAGAGCAAGGGCAAGAGCCTTGGGATCACTAGGAGGAATACCCACTTCCTCGAGGCCATCCTTTAAACAAGAACAGAAGCGTGCCCATCCAGCAAAGTCCAAAAGAGCAGCATCTGATGAGAGCAAAGCTTCGGTGGTTATTCCTGATGGTCTTCAGAAAAAGAGGCGGGCAATGCTCACAGATGTAACAAACATTTGTGAAAATTCATATCATAAAAGAATTGATGCACCCAGTTTCCAGGTATGCATGAAACAACTCATACGATGCAAAGGCAAATGCCAAATCATCAATATTTCGTAGATTTACTGTTTTGTTTTGTTTCATGAACTATTCTTATCTGAAAAAGTAAAAATGCAATGTGTGTACGTTAAATAAGCAAGAAAACTTCTGTACTGTCTCTTATATGGTCACTGAGTATTTGTCATTTACTGAGTTACAAGATTCATATATTATTATAAGTAGTTGATGATGCTAGTTGAATGTCCATTACATAGGCAAAAGGAGGTAAAAAAACAAAGTCAGCTTCTGTTGTGTCCACAGAAGTTTCTTCAACACAAGAAGACGATAAAACAAAGTTAGCTGAAGAATTATCCAAAATAAGGATGGTGGAATCACGCAACACTACTGATGCATTAAAGTTGGAAGACAAAATGCCACCACAACAATGCATGTCCAATGGTGTAGGAGATTGTCTTTTGGCAGATCCCATGCTTTCAACGCAGGACTCTGTGGTGTCTGATGAAATCCTGACCGCTCCAGATAAAGGTTTTCTAATAACTTTATGGCTCACCAGTCATCCCTATTTTGCCTTTATGCATTATGATAGAGGTCTATGATATGACTTTAGATGAAATTTTCCTATACGCATCTGTGTCGGTATGTGAATATTATTTATTTAATTTGATGGTGCAAGCTTTCAGTTTTTCTTCTGCATGTTTTTTCCTTGATTTTGTTTATTTGCCTTTTTAAGCAAAGATCATTTATATTTATCCACCACCTAAAATACCTGGAACTAGAACTACTAAATGTTATTTGATAATGGCTTTAACATACATGTAATTGGAATCTTTACACGGTGACTCCTGCTTTTCTTGCTCACAAATATTTTAAATTTCAATTTCATGAAGTCACTTTTTATTTTATTTTTTTAAAGAAAACTTTACATGGTTTCCCTTTTTCTGAAGCATAAAAAGTTACAAAAGAAGGCTGAAGCAACCCAGTAAGTCTGAATATGTCTTAATTGGTTAATGCAGAAATAGAGAAACTAAGACCCTCAGATGGCTTGGGCATTGTAGACATTGATTCAGAGTTAAAGGATTCTCAAGTTTGGAGTTTATATGCCCCAGACATATACAAAATCATACGTGTCACAGAGGTTTGTGTTGTAATGTTGTCAGTTTGACATTTTCTTCTGATTATTGCTTCTATGCTCTTCTGTATGTGACAAGTAATGAATATTCCTTTTCTTATGTCGTCCCAGTCTGACAGTATTATACTATAGCATTATGATAAGGTTCTTTCAGGACATAACAATTAGAACCCACAAAGTTTTCTTCTAGAAATATTATGATTTTGTTGCCTAAAAATCTTTACATGACAAAATGTTTTCAGTTGTATGAGAAAAATAATAAGCTTCAGCAAAAGTAATTTGATGTTAATTGTTGGTAATCCAGCTTGAAAGAAGACCATCAACTGATTACATGGAGAAGTTACAGCAGGACGTCAATCCCAACATGCGGGCAATTCTGATTGATTGGCTTGTGGAGGTTAGTTCCTCCCGTGTTATGCATCAAAATCTGAAGGATGTTTTCATTTTCTCCTCTAACCTAATTGATCTAATATCTTCTCTTTGGAGTTTAAAAACATCTGAATACTGTCTCAACTGAGCTTAGCCATCAAACTTCATTGCTTAATATTCTCTATATTGCTTTCAGGTTTCTGAGGAATATAAACTGGTTCCAGATACTCTTTACCTTACTGTAAATCTCATCGACCGGTTTCTCTCTATAAGCTTAACTACGAAACAAAAGCTTCAGCTTGTTGGTGTCGCTTGCATGCTGATTGCATCGTGAGTTCCCTTCTTTGTGATGGTCCTCATTCTTTAATGTACAAATTCCCTCATGCTCAAATTTAGACACTGTATAGTTGATAACTGATGGCAATAATTCTTTTCATCCTTGGTCTAGTATGGAGATGAATACAATGACGACTATTATTTTAGATGGCTCCTCATTTAGCTTTATGAAGACTGTTGTCATTTCACAGATTATGCTATATTCTGTGGCATTGTATTGACTATTGAGCCTTTAACGTGATATTATCGAGAACCAATAATTGTGTAACTCCCTTGTGCGTAAGGCACAAAATTGAAGCTGCAACATTTATCCTGTTTTGCTTTGGTTACGTGGCTGTAAAAAGTTAGAAGAATGTGATATTACGGATATAATCTGGTCCTGAAACTTTATAGAGTGTATGTGATACTACGTGCAAGTGGTGATGGAATATATCATCTCTGTTGTTTCTTAACCTTTTAGGGGCCTCTAACGTTTTCTTATCTTTCTTGGCTTGAAGAAAGTATGAAGAGATTTGCGCTCCTCGAGTGGAAGATTTCTGCTTCATCACAGATAATACATACACGAGAGATGAGGTATTTACTTCTTGAGATATATACACTTCAGGGTAGTTATATTTGTTTCAAAGAATTGCCTAGCAGTTTAATCAAACTTCAAACGTTAATCATCAAAACTGGTATATAAGACCCCTAAATCGCCGACACTTGACAGGTATTGAAAATGGAGAGTGAGGTTTTAAATCTTCTGCATTTTCAGTTAGCTGTTCCCACCACCAAAACATTTCTCAGGTATGCATTACAAATCTGGATTTTATTTCTGGAAAATGGCGTTCAGTTAAATTGAGGCACTGTAATCTTTCAGGAGATACATCCAAGTAGCACAATGTTCCTACAAGGTACTTTTTTTTTTTTTGGCTAGTGAACCACAAAAAAGGAAAAAAAGAAAGAAAACCAGTAATATGCTAATGCCTATCTGTTCTGCTTGTCATATAGGTTCCATGTGTTGAACTGGAATTATTGGCAAATTATTTAGCTGAGCTTACACTCGTTGAATACAACTTCCTCAAGTTCTTACCTTCCCTTATTGCTGCATCTGCTATCTTCCTTGCCAGATGGACGCTCAACCAGTCAGAACACCCATGGGTCTGAACTTTGTCTGACTCTACCTTGAATTGTTTTGCGTGTCAACTATTCTAAGAGGATTTCTACTTTGTGTACCATTTGCACTCTGCAGAACCCAACCCTGGAGCATTACACAAGTTACAAAGCACCAGCGCTTAAAGCTAGTGTTCTTGCTCTGGAAGATTTACAATCCAATACCAAGTCATGTTCCCTGAATGCGATACGAGAAAAATATAGACTTCAAAAGGTAAGAATCACGCAAAATAGGAGACCGATTCGTTCTATATCTTTTAATGGTATACTCCATCCGGTCCTATTTATAAATCATTTCTACCAACCTCATCAATACCAATACAATAAAAGTACAAGGAATAAAAGTAAGTAAAATTCCAAACATGCCCCTATATAACAAATCTAAAAAGTAATGTCCTGTTACTTTTTCTCTCTCATGAAGGGTAATTTTAGAAATACCTCTCAAATATTACCTAAAAAGACGCACCGTGACTTATAAATGGGACCAAATACACCTTCTAAAATTGGACTTATAAATGGGACCGGAGGGAGTATATTTTATCGTAGTTTTGTGGTCCTAGTCTCTTTTTATGTTGTTAGTAGATGTTGGAATCAATGCGGTTCCTTTGAGCTGGCCTTAAGATGGTGACATGACGGTGAATTTTGCTTCTGACAGTTCAAGCGCGTGGCAGCATTGTCTGCAAAAACAGTGCTACCTCTTTTCGAGACTCAATTGTAGATGATACAGAGCTCTCAAGAAGGATCACATCAAACATCGACGTTCAAGTTCAATCAATTAAGGCACTTGGAGACCTCATAGTGACGTGAAATTGGTACAGCAAGATAGTTTTCAAACAGTAGGTCTGCCCTTAGAGCTAAATATTTTTTTTTGAAACTCGCTAGCCTACTAGCAACTGCTAACTTCAGCTACACCCTTCAGGTTGCTTTCTTGCAACAAGCCTCGTTGCTTTATCAAGATTACTTTTGTACCCAAACTGTGTAATGAAAAAATGCCAAAAATATATTTACAATCCATCTTCATCTTCCATTTTTCTAGTTTTGGCGATGGTAGACTTAGAACCATCGAATGCCGAAAATGTTGCAAGATATTTATTTCCCTAATTATTTACTAGGACACGTCAGGTTTTTTTTTTAAAAAAAAATCAAACGGAATTTCACACAAATAAATATTTGAATCAAAACTTAATCCAACATCCTACCAGAAAAAATTCACATTGAACCTAAATGATGAGTAAAATAAGAATTTTAAGAAAGACTTATTGATCATATTTATTTAAATTTAAAATCTTTAAAATTTTAAAATTTCACTGCAATTTAAGGGTCTAGATTTAATATTAAATTTCTAAAAAAATGATAATTGTTTGATATTTAAATTAATATCAAAATTGTCTTATTTTACTTGTTTATTTACTTATGAAATTTTGTTAATTGCCCTACTTTACATGTTCATTTTCTTAGAATGAAATTAAGTAAAAGACTGATAATAAACAAGTAAACTAAGGTAATAAATAACAATTTATAGATAAATAAACAACATATAATATGAAAATTAACAAGTTATCTTAAGATGATTTAAATACTTAAAATAAAAATAAGTTAAGTAAAGCAATTAACAATATTCCATAAATAAATTAACAAATGAAGTAAGACAATAAATACATGAAATAAGGAAGTTTTAATATATTTTTAATGAGGCAATTTTGTTATTTTTTTAAAAAATTTAATATCAAATTAATATTTTTAGATTATAGTAAAATTTTAAAAATTTAAGAGTTTTAAATTAAAACAAGTGTGGTGAACGAATCTTTATTGAAATTCTCCATATGTGCTCTTATTTGTGTCCCACATTTGACTTGCCGGATTCCATTACACTCAGTTATCTAAATTTTTTCGTCCTGTGACGTGTTCCTCGAAGCATGAAGCCAAGCCAGGAACTCAACCCTACAAATGTACTATTTTTAAATTATAGTAAAATTTTAAAAATTTAAGAGTTTTAAATTTAAACAAGTGTGGTGAACGAATCTTTATTGAAATTCTCCATATGTGCTCTTATTTGCGTCCCACATTTGACTTGCCGGATTCCATTACACTCAGTTATCTAAATTTTTTCGTCCTGTGACGTGTTCCTCGAAGCATGAAGCCAAGCCAGGAACTCAACCCTACAAATGTACTATTTTTAAATTATAGTAAAATTTTAAAAATTTAAGAGTTTTAAATTTAAACAAGTGTGGTGAACGAATCTTTATTGAAATTCTCCATATGTGCTCTTATTTGAGTCCCACATTTGACTTGCCGGATTCCATTACACTCAGTTATCTAAATTTTTTCGTCCTGTGACGTGTTCCTCGAAGCATGAAGCCAAGCCAGGAACTCAACCCTACAAATGTACTATTTTTAAATTATAATAAAATTTTAAAAATTTAAGAGTTTTAAATTTAAACAAGTGTGGTGAACGAATCTTTATTGAAATTCTCCATATGTGCTCTTATTTGCGTCCCACATTTGACTTGCCGGATTCCATTACACTCAGTTATCTAAATTTTTTCGTCCTGTGACGTGTTCCTCGAAGCATGAAGCCAAGCCAGGAACTCAACCCTACAAATGTACTATTTTTAAATTATAGTAAAATTTTAAAAATTTAAGAGTTTTAAATTTAAACAAGTGTGGTGAATGAATCTTTATTGAAATTCTCCATATGTGCTCTTATTTGTGTCCCACATTTGACTTGCCGGATTCCATTACACTCAGTTATCTAAATTTTTTCGTCCTGTGACGTGTTCCTCGAAGCATGAAGCCAAGCTAGGAACTCAACCCTACAAATGTACTATTTTTAAATTATAGTAAAATTTTAAAAATTTAAGAGTTTTAAATTTAAACAAGCGTGGTGAACGAATCTTTATTGAAATTCTCCATATGTGCTCTTATTTGTGTCCCACATTTGACTTGCCGGATTCCATTACACTCAGTTATCTAAATTTTTTCGTCCTGTGACGTGTTCCTCGAAGCATGAAGCCAAGCCAGGAACTCAACCCTACAAATGTACTAGGGCTCCCCCAAAAGTTTTCGTCTCTATCAAATTCCTTCTTTTTTTTTGGGGGAGGGGGGGTTGTGGGTTGTGTTGGGGGCATGTTTTGAGTTATTTTCTGTTTCTACCATGATTGTTTGTTTTTTTTTTTGACCAACATGATTCTACAATGATTAACTGATCTTTTTTTTCCCTTGTCTTCATAAATGAGTGCATCGTAGTGTCAAAATGGCTCCAATTCCAAAGGACCAGATAGTCATAAAATAGATATGACTCGTCCTCCTCAATTCTCCCCACCCCGCAGCCCCACCCAAAAGAGAGAGAGAGAAAGAAAGCAAACCCGGAAGAGGAGATTCTTGAAACATATTTTACTTTAAATATCCACATAACTATTTCCCATTGTCTTCTGCAAATCACATGTTTAGGAGACACCCTATCTAAGAACAGTACTTTGGTTTGTTAATAAGATAATGCAGAAAATCGTTTCGATCAGCTGCGTGGTCCTTACATGAGTTAACTAGCATTCCACACAGTCGCAATCAAAACCCTGATATACAACATCAGGCTGGCAGCCGCATATAGATATCACCTAAAACAAATACCTTAACGCCCCCATTAACGGCCATTTCCACCACAACAGCGGAAAAAGGGAAAATAAAAAACATGGAAATATAACATGCAACTTAGGTTGTCAAAGGACACACTAAAACAGCTGTATTCCCGATCACTGGCCGGAGACTGGCTGCTTGCTCTAGTTGTTCCCACGCTTCTTTTCGCTTCTCGGCCGCTGAGATTAGGAAGGCTGCTTCCTCCTTGAAGTGAGAATGGCACGACAGAAAGAGCTTGTCATCCATCTCTATGAACATCTTTCTAATATTAAGGGTTAAATTGAACACAGGTTGGCTCCAGTGGCTCTGAGAGTTTCTCTCTAGTGCTGGAAATATGATGGGCAGGATCACCTGACGGTTATGTGCAATCAAGTTCACAATATGATCATTGTTCCATAAGAAAAGGGCCCTTTCAGCTACCTGAAACAATCCAAATTGAATAGAGTTGTGACCATTCAGGCAACCAGCAAAAGGGAGAACATTGCAGGGATGTCTATGGAATGAAAATAACTAATTTAAAGAGAATCACAATAGGGCAAAAGTGATAAACGCATTAAATACAGAGAACATTTAAGAAATCAAGTTACGATTATAAATGTTGCAAGCAGGGACAAGTTCAGGCCAAAAGAAAGGGTTCAAACGTTAACAACTACTTCCAGAAGAAAACTACTTCAGAAACTACTAGGTACACAAAAATCTAATAAAGCACCTCCACAGAAGAATTTCCCAACACAAGGTTATGAGATATGTTTCAAATTTGAACCTTGAACAAAAATACAAAATACTATCAAGCAATGGCCGTTCAGTCTCCTATCCACATGGGGTTAACCTTTCAACCTGAATTTTTTATTCTCGTTGAGAATTTCTCAAAAGATAAGAGAAAACCTTAATTCCAACAGAGTCAAATTACGTGAGTGATGAAAAGAAACCAAAACTCCTTGCTGTTTCCATCTTCCCCCTTTACAATTCACAGCTTCCAAGTTTACGAGTCTAATTAAGAACATATCATTGCCACCATAACTCTATATATATCAGCAAGTCAGTGACACGTGATTTAACTTACACCACAGCCATTGCAGGTAGACAAAAATATTTGACAGAAATGGGAGGCCCAAGAATATTATGATAATTATCACAATTCACTTTATAATGGGGCATACAACTTAATTATCTTCTACCCTATATCACTCTCAATCTCTTACAATAACTGTCACGATAACCTAGGAAATAACAATTTACCTGCTATAGCAGAGAGCTGACAATCAACCCAAAACATGCTACATCAGAAATTAGTAACCAATCTACAGAAGAGCTAAGAGAAACTTGAAAAACAACTGAAAAAGAAGCATTTTGATGACATGGACCTCCAAGGTTGCAAATAAAGCAAAATGGTAATGCCACAACATAACTATAATAGCAAAATAGATTATCAATCTTGGAAGTACCGATGTAGTTTATTCAACGTGGACAAACAAACAGAAATAAGCTAATACGAGAATTCGGCAAACAAATGAAGTGTATGGCAATTTACCTGAAAGTGTAAGCTGTTAATGCAGCAACCAATCCGCCAAAACAATGGGACCATAACCCTCTGGAACTCTACCATGTTGATTACTTCCAAAATCTCTTCCATTTCGCCCAAGAACATGACCTCCTTCTGACTATTTGTTATTGGCCAATATTTTAACAAACCCCTTATAACAGTGCTGGCCAGCTTCGGCTCCTTCTCCACGAACTGTATAACGCAATTGGACAATTGCTGGAAATAAGCACCCATGGATTTTGGCTTGTGCAAGGGGATCAAAACTCTCCATAAAAAGATTTTGTGCTCCTCTTTCAAAGGCAAGGCAAACCCACAAATTATGCTCCCAAAAATCTCCAATAACTCAGCAATGCCATTGTGCTTCTCAGACTCATACACAAATCGGTAAAATATGTTGTTAATAGATTTTCGAATATAGGGCCTATGCACCATGAACTTTCCATAAACCCTGTGCAGAATAGTCTTCAAGCAGTCTCTTTCTCTTGGATCCTCTGAATCAAACAATTCAAGCAATCTCGAGATAAATGAATGATCAATATACTTTTTCGCCACCTTAGCATCAAGACACGGAGAATTAATAAAACTAAGCAGCGATTCATACACAAGCTGTAAATGTGGCCAAGCAGGGTCAAATACTGGTTCATCATCGTCATTCTCGCCACCAGCACCACTCCCATGAGACCGATACGGTGGCGAGAAAGCCCTAAAGAGATTAATAGCACACATTCTACTCATAGCAACAATAGCAGGTTCACTGAATTTAGTCGACCCAGAAGCGACAAAATCGACGAGCTCGAGCAATGTTCGCCTTTTGACATCTTTTTCCACGACATTCTTGCCAGGGTCAGTGAAATCGAAAGTCATGCAACAAAGGCTCAACTTACTCACAAATAGGTTCATCTTCTCTGCATTTGGCACATCTTTGAATGGCACCAAGGGTTCGATCCCAGACACGATGCTCGCGGGGAAAACCGCCGACGAAGAAGTACGTTTCACAGCATTGGATCGAGTGGAAGAACTCCCACCGTTCTGCCGATTAGCCCTCCCGGTGACGCGCGGCGAAGCGGCCACTGAGTCCCGATATGGCTCCTCCACATCGGATTTGGATGACTTCCGAGGAAGCTTGCTGAAGAATTGCTTGAGCATAGCGAAAAGAAGCTAATACAAATAGACTACTGGAGCTTCAGATGGAGGCCATGAAGAACCAATCTGGCCGACAGTGAGAAAATTCTAGACAAGCCAGGAAAGCGAAAACATGAGGCAGCATGTTAACCCTAGATCTCGCTCATGAAGGCAGGAAAAATCAAGTACAAAGGGAGCGCTTGCATGAAAATGAGATCCACATACCATTGTATGGATGGGATTCGGGAAATATTGGTGATGCTGCACAAAGCGTTGGTTAAAATTAAAAAATAAAAATTCTTGGAGACTTCTGGGTGCCAAGCAATGGCAACCAAAGGAGGAATTCGGAAGTGAGAACGAAGATCAACAGTTAAATCTCCTACTCCTGGTAACCATTTCGAACTTTGGCCCCCGAATAAAGGGAAGGTGGGAAGCAAAACGCGTGGTGGAGTTGAGAAAATGAGGTTTTAGGGCAAAAAATCAGAAGAGGGAAGTTCAGTGGTGATGAGGATCACGGAGCTACTGTTAAAGATTTTGATAATGGAACCTCGGAGCTGTTTCTTTCTGTTGATAATGACCGATCAGGTCCGAAACTGGAAACCGAACAACATAAACCAGTACCAAAATGTCAAGTACATATCGATTATCAATAGCTGGCAAAAAAAAAAAAAGGAAAGGAAAGAGGAAAGAGGAAAGAGAGAGAGAGTAATATATCAAGTTTTTTTTTTAAAAAAAATCAGAACCAACTGGGTTACGCTCCTCGGGTGCAGATGCAGAACTGGTGGAAAGCTTTGATTTAGTTTAAAATGAAAAATATCTCAATCTATTATTGTATCCTTTAATTTTATAATTTTTTTTTATCATCTCCTATCGATTGCAGATATTACATGGAGTTTTCAATAATGAGATAGTTTCCGGTATAAACATTTACATGGTGCAATTTAAAATACAACACGTACATTTTTTATAAATGATTAATAATTTAATTAAGTTTTACAGATTAATTGTCTAAAAAGAGTATTCCTTCACTTAAAAAATTATTTTTAAAGGGTCGTATTTTTAAAAATGTAATACGTTTTTAAAATAGAATTATGGACTTTTAAGTATTCATAATAAATAAGTTATTTTATATTTATTTTAAAGTAAAGCATCTTATAAATAAATATAAATATAAATATAAATATAAAAAATAATATTAATTTAAAAATAATTTATTATTCTTTTTTGTTGAATTCGATTTAAAAATGATGTGAAATATTTTCTTAAATTTTATTTATGAGTTGTTTGAATATATTTTATCAAAAATAATAAAAATCTAAATTTTATAAACTATTTTTAATAAATTTTTTAAGGGTAAAGGAGTAAAAATATTTTTTGAAGGTTAATTGATCATTGCATAAATATCATGTGAGAAAATATTATTTTGACAAAATATTAAATTAAATTACTTATTTCGTTACAATAATATTGAAAATTATTTAAAAATTTTGAATCTATCACGAATGAAATTGCTTAATGTTGTGACAATATTTTTAAAGTGGGGTGCCATAAGAGGTGTACTTAGTCTCAATCTTTAATTATGTACAACTTATTTTATTATGTTGAATTTCAAGTTTTGCATAAAAAAATGAATGGAGAAGAAGGGAGAAAGGAGATGAGATACATGCCAATGTAAAGAAATCATGTGACATGAATTTTAATGAACTAGTCATTATTATACTTACTAAATTAACATTATGAGTACTCATACGATAATCGATCAACCTCCATAAAAATTTATATAGGAATATTTTTGTCTACATTAACAAAAAAAATGATCAACTTCTATTTAAGTATAAGCTAAACTATCAAATATTTAAAAGATTTGATGAATTAATCATTTTTGTACCAATTTTATAGCTATTTTTGCTCTCGGCCCATAACTTCGTGTGTATTTTTACCCTTTTATTATGGGCCTGTTTGGATACCCTCTTAGAATCAATTTTAAGTTCAAAATCATGGTTTTAAAAAATTTTATTCAAATATCTTAATTTTTTCAAACTCCATTTGAAATAAGTTAAAATTTGTTTCATTTTAAAAAATTAATATCATAATCAATTCTTAAAAATTTATCCAAACACCATCACATTCTAATAATTATTTTTTCTTAATCAATTTTTTTAATTAAAATCCAAACACACCCTAGTTCATATTAACAAAAATTGGCTTGTAGTGTGCACAACTAGCATTTAATATTTAAAGTTAATAATGTTAAGTTAAAATTAATGATTTGATTATTTTTATATCATCTCATATAACTTTATAAATATTTATATTTTTTATCATTATTAAATATTGAGTGCTCTTTACTAACTATTTTACAAATTTTTTTATCCTGTTGCCTAATTTTTAATATCAATAACGTATTTCTTCACTTTCCATGATGCAGATTGTGACGGATAGCAATGAATGGGAGCATCAATGATGAAAAGAAAGAGGCCAGTATATGAATAAACAGGACACACACGCGTCATTGATAATTGGTTGCAGTGAAACCTGTAAATGAAAAGGACTAGACTCGATGATTCATATCCGTGTGACTAGGCTGGACTGGCCTTTCTGCATAAAATCTCCCATAATTTCGGTTTTCAGATTCAGGCGTGGCATCAAATAATTAACAGATAATATTTATATACTTAATTTATATATTTAATATATTTTTTTAATCAATAATAATAATAATAATAATAATAATAATAATAATAATTTATTATAAAATAAATGATTTATAAAAGATATATTTGATGAGAAACAAATGATTAAGAGCGTGTTAGTTTTTCCTTAATTAATGACCTCACCTCTTTAGAGGACTCATGACCCCTACTACGCTCGTGGAGATTAAAAGGCCATCGATCTCGTTTATCCCACGCATGTCCGCCACCTCAATCATATTCGTGCCCAACCTTCCTGTTCACTTGGCACGTCCTTTGCACTTTGATTTCATTTCTATTAGTACTCATCGTCTGCGAAAGCTGGAATCATGAGCATGCTTCTAAAGTTCTGGAGCTGGATTTTCCTTTCAGGTTCCACATCAAACTTGTTTGTCAATGACTTTCTATAATCTTTACCGTTTAGTTGACAATTTTTTTAAAAAATAAAAAATAAAAATTAACACTGCAGTACTGTGTGGTGTGTAGACGAAAATTCAAAACTATCTTTCCCTCTGCAACCCGGTTCCCCAAGCTTATGCTCTTGTACAGCTTCGCACGGCCCCCCAAGAGTTTATCCTCTTGCAACAAATCGGATTCTTAATGAATTGTGTTCTTTATTTTATTTTTTTTGCCGAAAGATTCTTAATGAATTGTTGAGTTTCACAAGTTTGGTATCATACGTTCCCAACTACTCTATGATTCATAGATTCCCATTTTTTTAACTTCCTTTTATATAACAGGGAAAATGACAATTAAAATATTTTTGAAATGTATCAATGATAAATAGGTATCGTGAAATACGATATTATTTTATAGTTTTTAGGAACTTGCTTGACATTTTAATTTTTTTGTGAATGACACATTTGCCCTTTCATTCTCCATTTTCGTTGTTGCCCGTGTACCTACACATGCATGGAAGCTTGAATTTTAACCAAGGTTTCTAGTCACTTACCACCTGCCTCACATGCTTCCACGTCAATACTCAAAATTGCAACCCTATCAGAAAATCCTCCATCTTCACCTTTGGTGGCATCACGTCCGGCCATACACTTCCATCTGTTGTGCGTTCATTTGTCATGCTTAAGGATCTCAATGAAGCTTTACATGAACGGGGATATTGAAGAGATTCGTAGGGCTTGATTGAAGTAAGACTCCCAGTGAGGATGCAAAAGGGAGATGTGTGCTTATCATCCTGATGTGTTCAGAGAACATTGTGAGGAACACAAACGATGTTGATTTGCAAGTCCCTGCCTTTGTCGACATTCAGTTGTTCACATCTTCATCGTTGTTCGCATGCTATTGTCACCATTCTTTCTTCACAGTTCCTTCACCGTCATTGACTTTCATATCTTTTTCTTTATCCATTGTAGATCTATTGAAATTTGTTTCGTTAATGTCTCTATACTTTTAAATCCTGGACATATTGTTTCTGATTCAAAATTTATTGCATTTTGTAAATTATAGATTTTTTTTAATAATACGTGATTATGTCTTTGGATTGGAATATTTCAATGGATTTGATTTATGGGAGTGAGAATATTTGGATTGTGGATTGTAATCGATACTTAACTCGTTGCCATCAACTTTTGTCAACGAGATGACACATTAAAGCATATACATGCAATCACTACAGAAAAAAAAAAGATTATTTTGCAGCAGTTTTGACTTAAACCGCTATAATATCGTAACAATTTGGCTCTCGTCTTTTAATAGGAATCATAGTAGTAGTTACAATAGCAACTTACCGGCTACAAACCACTACAATATTGTAGAGATTTTCCAAAATTGCTACTAGCAAAAGTAGAATCTGGAATAAGAGTCGATTAAGAAACTTTGTTTAAATAAAAGTTCATGCTTGATAAAATATGAGGTTTTTATGGTAATTGAGTTTTTAGGCCTGGCCCCGATAAGTCTTGAAAAAAGGACCCAAGCCTTTAAGACATGTTTTATTTTTTTTTTTTCATCCTTTCTACCTTTAAATGCATCGCTTGAAAAATGAAAAAAAAAAAACTTTAAACATTTAATCATTCCAAGTTCTCTAGCTCTCCTCCTCTCTCAATTCAATTTCTCTTTCTCATCCTCTTCTTTCCCCTAGTTGTCTCCCCTCTAGCCATTTCCCTCTCATTGCTCTGCTTGCCTTCTATATCTCTTTGTCTCTCGACTCACCTCTCCCTCTTGTCTCTTGACTCAACATCTCTCGACTCGATGTCTCTCTCTCGACATTTTGTTGCTTTGGCTTTTTGGCTCTCTTACTTTTAAGTAATTCTCCTCCTAGCATAGATTTTTCTTTAAGCCATTGACGTTCGAGATTTCAATTCGATGCTCGTATTTAAGATTTCAATTTGATTTGGAGATCTTGATCCCTCATCTCATTTTGTGATGATTATATCAATATGCCTCAACTGTTTTGTTTTTTGAAACTTATTGTGAATTACGATGACATCAACTAACATGTATTGAAGCTTTTAAATTTTTTATTTATTTTTTATATAATGTGATACCTTGATTTAGTTTATATTGAATTTTAGAGTAAAATTATAATGTTGAATTTAATTATTTTTTAAAAGAAAAACATTAAATTGTATTATTAATTTTTTTTATTTTTTAAACTGGGCTTTTGGACTTAGCCTCAAGCTTTTTCAATGAGAGTTGGGCCTCAAAATTCAATCAAAATTTAGAAAAATAGGCTTCAAGGCTTAAGAGTTAGGCCTATAAGGGTTAGGTCTTAAAGGGTCTAGCCCGTTCGTATTTCTATCTTTATGTGAAAGGTTGGTATTGGTTTTAGTAGTGAAATTGCTACAAATTTTATAGTGATCTTAGACCTAAATTGCTACCAACTTGCCTCGAGTACTGAATGGTCAATGCCGTAATAGTTTGGTACCAAATTACTATCACTTTGAAAGCATATTAATGATAGTTTTAATCAGACGTTGAGGCTCGTTATGGTTTAGGTGGTGGTTTTTAGTCAAACTACTACTAAATTGGTGAGAACCACTACAACTGTTACATCTATATAAACCTTTACCTTTCTCATTTTTCACATTTGATAAAATTTTCTCTCATTGTGCTTCCAAGATCTCTTGTGTGTGCCAGTTCAGAATATTTTTTGGGATGCCTTCCTTCCTCTTGCTAGTGTTCAACTTGGATAACATATTTGACAACAATGACTCGGAGGAATAGTCACGATAGGAGGGTGATTTTAAAGCTAAAAACCTTGAGGGGTAGAAGTTCCTTGAAATCCCTGTCTAGATGATCGAGGAATTTCTAGACTAAGAGATATATGAGTCTCCTGAGACTAATAGCCATACCAACACACGAAGGAAGGGCTTTAGGTCATGACACGAGGTAATTAATTATTTATTTATTTATTTTAAATTAAATATTTAATTTCAATATTTCATAGCCCAATGGCAATACCTATATTGTAAGAGTGAGAACCTTGTACCCTACTTGAAGGTCATCGTGTGTTGATGAGGTACAACCCAACTGGGCAACTTGCCTCTCAGTCAAGACAACTATACAATATTTCTTGATGAGACTTGAGAAAAATATAATGTTTTTTCATTAATTAGCCTACTTGGAGGAAGGTTAGGCAGCAGTAAGCAAAACAGGAGACTTGGGACAAATTGTGAAGATACTTATATTTATTTAATATTCTATTTAATTTTACTCAGCTATATTAACGTATTTATTTACATTTATGTTTATTAATAATATTTATTTATAATTGTATTTAAATTTTAAATTTTATTGATTTATTGTATTTGTTTAATTAACTAAATATTGAATCTATTTAATTGTTGTCATATTAATTGTTTGTTATTATTTATGCAACAAAAATTTAGAGTGATAAACGATCAGAAGTCATACTGACTTTTAAAGATGGGGTAGAAGAATAGAAAGAATAGCTTGTTCTATAAATACGATGAGGATGAGACAAGGTTGATAGAAGAGGCAGCGGCAAATGGCCCCTCTCAAAATGAATCCTGATGATCGGGATAAATTTAGGTGGCAATATACTCTTGCTTAGTAGGTAATTAATTTTGTTTATTAATAAATGTTGTTTTATTTAAATGTAAATTGATTTTGTTTATTAAATTTTATTTTAAATATATTTTATTTATAACATGAAGTCTCTAGCAAGGTTAGGAACAGCAAGAGCCAATAGCCAATTCACTGTCCCAGTGGATCGAAGGGATTCGCCATTCGCTAGATGATATGGTAAATTCAATTAATTAAATTAAATTAAATTAAATTAAATTTTAATTTTAATTTTTATTATTTTAATTGTTTGAATTGAATATTATAGAAACAATAGACTGCCGTGATAGGGAAAAATGTTGACACAGGTGACCTCTGTGTGGAGACACAAGTACATAGAGATGGGAGTCCTCGTATTGCAGAGGTTCAGAGGTTGATTGCAAGTATTAAAATATTATTTTATATCATTTAATTGAAAAGTTTAATTTGATTAAATAATTTTATATTATTTAATTTAATAGTTTAAGTTTAATTAATTTAAAGTTTAAATTGACAAGATAGGATACCAGAGAAGCAACATGAGATTTGGGAGTCTCAGGCATCGATCGAGCCGGACCCTTACTTGCTAATAACCTTTTAAATCATCTTAGCAAGGTTTGGGGTATGATTTTGGGATCACGTCGATAAAGGTATTTAAAATTTTAAAAATGGCAGTCATTAATGAACTGCTACCAACATTGGTAGAATTTTTAAAATTTTCACATATCTTAATGAATCTATGAACTACTACCAAGTTCGAGCCAAAATTTTCAAACCAATAAACAAAATTTTATCGTAGATTTTATTATGGTGTGGGAGTTGAACTGCTACTCAAATTTGTAGCGTTCTAATTACATTGATAATGGTTTGAAAAATGGTTATTGTACACCTCACTATGTTTGATATAATAACGGTTTGCAAAACCGCCACTAACAACATTTGTAACAATTTAAACTGTTACTAGAGTAAAAATTGTGGTAAGTGTCAAAGAAAGCGATGGATTGGGCAGCAAGGACAACGTAGACATGGATATTGGCTAGGGGTGAGTTTGGAATTTAGTGGTGGTCGTGTGGTGAAAAAAATGGTGAAAGGATGATTTTGTCCAAGAAAATAATAGAGAACAGAGGATCATGGGAAAATAAAGGGCTTCAATATTTTGTTTTAGAGATAAAATGAATTTGTCACATTAAAATTAATTGACAGATAGGTCTCTAGATACTAAAAAATAATTATCATATTTTATAATACTTATTTAATATTTATATGTTTTGGAAGTTTTTTTTAAATTTGTATACTTAACTTTATATATTTAATATACTTATTTTTAAATAAATCAAAATATGTATATTTTGTATAAATTATTTATTTTATAATAAATTATTACTGTTAATTTTATTAACATATCAAGATTCACTTATTATAATTTAATTATATATAAATATATTAAATATATAAATTTAAATATATAAGTGTTATTTTGTTTTTTTTATCATTCTTTCTATATTATATTATATTATATTATATTATTCATTATTCATTATTCACGCTCAGCCATTCTTTATTGTTCCATGTGCATGCTTGTTATTAATTGCTTTGTGTACCACTTCTACGTGTCATTTCAGGTCACGGCAGCCCCTCCTTTGGCAGAATTTTTTTTCCCCCTTCTCTCTTTTTTTTTAAATTAATTATTTAATTTTTATAATTTTAATTAAATTATAATTCAATCTCTCACTTTTTATTTTTTATAATTTAATTTTAAATTTTTAACTTTATTATAAATTAATTTTTAAATTCTATCTCTTATAATTTAGTTTTTAAAATTTTAATCTTTTAAACATTGATTTTTATATTTTTAAAAATAAAATTATAAAAATTAAAAATATTTTAAAATTTATTATTAATAATTTAAATTATTAAACCTCTTTAATATTTATAAATATTATTACAAATATTAAAAATTTAAAATATTTTTAATCTTTATAATTTTACTTTTTAAAATATAGGGGCTATTATTTAAAAGGCTAAAATTTTAAGAATTGATTTATAACTGAGTTAAAACTTTAAAAATTGAATTATAATGAATTAAAATTGAGAGATTTAATTATAATTAAGTTAAAATTATAAGGATTAAATGATTAATTTTTTTTTTTATAAATAAATGAAGATAGTTCACATTAAACTTATTTGAAATAGTATTACTTGTTTTTTTTTTCTTTTGTCTAAGATATCTCTATTGTCAACAGTCATAAAATTAATTTTTCAAAAAATATGAGCACCATATAAAAAGTTATCCTCTCCCAAATTTTTTTCATACATACTTTCAGAAATTAGTACTACTTATTTTATTTTGTATGCATTGAGTTGAAAGTTATGAGTTCAATGAAATGGACATCTGATCTAGGAAGAATAGCATACTTCTAAACATTTCATTATTCATACAGATACAATAATTTTGCTCGTTATTTTAATTGATTAATTATTAGTGGCTATAGGAACATTCTCCGCTTATTATAAATAATTTTCTCGTTTACCCGAAGATTATATGATTCCCTCTCCCCCCATTTAAACAAGTTGCTAGATTCGCCTCACAAGTTGGGCGATGCAGACTGCAGAGTCATTTATTCATTTATTTTGTTGGCAGTATAATTGATAGGCGTCCTCTGAGTCGTCGGTGACAAATTTTTAATTTATTATGATATTTATTTTACACACACGCATATTAAAAGATCACATGGTGTCAAAATAAAAAATAAGTATGAGACTCATAGTAAAAATAAGTAATAGATATGAGATTTATGGTAAAAATAATATATACAGACCAACAATAAAATTACAAATATGATGTAAAAAATATAGGTTTGCAGCTCATTAGAATTTTTATTGTTCATAATTTAATTTACATAGAATTCTGAATAAATTAATTTGTTCCTTGTATTTTTTAATCCAATTTCAAAGCAAACAACATATTAATCAAATGAAGAGTACAAGTGCGGAGAAGCATATTCATCCTTTAAATTATTATTTAGTTTAATATTTTTACTCTGATTTTGTCTTTTAAATATTAAAATATTTCCGTGAATTGCACGATAACTAAATCTGATGACTAAAATGTGTTCGGCGCACTCACTCTTTCTTGAAATGTTCATTGTTTTCCTATTTTAGCCTCAGAAAACGACACTTGGCGATGAAACCGACCCTAATCCGCGCAACTCACAGCGACGGTGGTGCACCGAGGTGAAGACTAACGAGGGCAAAAAGGTCAGAGCATAAAATAACGAGAGAGAGCAAAAGATATTCTCAGGCGACCCTGCAAAGCAGAGAAGGTGGGACCGAGATTTTAAGCGGTTTGACGCCATTCCCCTTTCCCTCCGTCACCGAAGTGGGCCCCATCCCACAACGTCAAGCCACTTACGATACTCCTATCCGAACCAAGCCAAGATCACCGTCATCTCCACGGCGTTGTTCCATCCTTTCCGTCGTTGAGCTTAGCCGCAGCTCCAATCCGGTTTCTTTCTGCTTCTATTCTGGTTTAGTTGCTTCCCATTTCTCATTTCAATCGAGATTTTTGCGCGTTTGGCGTCTTTAGTGGATTTTGATTTTGTTAATCTTGCCGTGGAGTTTGGAAGTCTTTCAGTGTGGGATCTTTTTTGAATGAGTCAACGCGTGGATTCTTTGGTCTTCTTTCTTTCATGTGTTTACTTTGGTGGAAGAACAGAATTGACGTCATTTATCCACCGATATATCGGGCGTTACCTTGAATTCATTAATTTGATTTCTTTGTGAAGAGAAATTTGGAGTCAAAAGAGTAGTAGATGATTGATCCTAGGGTAAACTGAATGTCTAGTGCCTGAGAGTCCGCAAGAATTACTTTCGTCTCTGTTAGTCGTGTTTTTCGTTCAACATGTTCAATACGTAAAATCTACCCAATTGTGCTCGATCAGTCTTTAATGTATCTAAAGCTGCAACATGAATGGAATAAAGATATGATGCTCTAGGTGCGCTCGCTTTCTTTCTTTCTGTGGGGGCGGGGAATTATATCTTCATTAATGTGATAATTTTCCAGACAAGCAATTTTTTATTTTGTTTCTTCCTTGCAGACGGGGATACTTGTGAACTTCATCGGTGGCATCTCGTGAATTAAGTCGTATACTAACAGCTAAGTAGAATTTTTATTTGCGCAAGCTGATATACCTGAGCTGAAGAAGCAGCATTTGCTTTCACTAAGTTCAGAAGACGAGGTGTATTTATAGATGGCATACTTCTTCTGTAATTTTATGCTTCTTTGGTGGTGAGTTGTGTTGGTGGACTTAGATGAACGTTCCCTCACCTAAACTATATCTTGAAGGTTTATACGACGCTTGCCCATTGTTGATGGAGCATTCTGGGCCCTTGAACGGCACTCAGTTCATTATTGACATAGCTGGGAGTAGTGAAGCCTCCACATCTACCTCGCCACATGATAGAAATTTAAATGGCGTTGGTACATCGCGCCGTGAAGACAGAGTTAGCAGTGTAAGAATACCTGCTTCTCTGCCTTCAGTTTCTGTTGCATCTAATGGTACAAATTCTAGGAATTCTTCAGTGTTAAGACGAGGGGATACCCGTCGGCACAGGAGTCCATTGAATTCAGGGTTATGGATATCTATTGAGCTAGTCCTCATAGTGAGCCAGATTGTTGCATCTATTATTGTTTTGTCTTTGTCGAGGCAAGAGCATCCACACACTCCATTGTTTGCTTGGATTATTGGTTATGCATCTGGATGTGTTGCTACAATCCCCTTCCTTGGTTGGAGGTATTATCATCATAACCACAGTAGAGAGCAAAATTCATCTCAGCCACGTCAAACTTCCCCTCGAGTTAATGTTTCTTCTAGGACACTTCTTTCTGTTTCAAGAACTAATGGGGGAGAAGACGATCAGGTTATTGTTTCATCCTCTAGAAGCAGTCAGGTTCCAGTAATGATGAATCCAAGGTATTGGTTTATTACATTGTGGTTAACTAAGTGTGTTTTAATTAATAATAATTATTTTTTTCATTATGATGGAATCACACCCCTTGGGTCTGTTTAAAATTATGTGCAGGATATTTGATGCCACCTAATATCTTGCATGAAGACATAATTAGCTGCTCTTTTTTAGTGATTCTTGCTCTTAATTTGGAAGTTCTAAGCTGAACGAATGATGCCAAGGGCAGTGGAGTTTTTTTTTCCTCCGGTTTTTTGTTTCACTTCATCACAACCTTTTGATAATCTCTTTTTCTCACAAGTTTTTGATGTTTCTGATTGCTCTGTCATTTATGATATCACCTTGAGTTGTAAATGACCGTGGTTGTGCTTGACCTTTCCAGATCAGTTGATCAATACCATCTCATGGTCATCAAATATGGTAATCACTGGTCAGTGGTCAGTGTAACATGTGGAATAGATTTTCCTCTTCCCAAAGATTGGTGTTGGCCCCTTCATAGGCAGAAATCAGATATTTGGAAATTTTATAACGAGCTTGACATAGACATTCTTGTGATAACACACACACACACACACACACCCCCACGCACGCACGAGATTTGGTATATAAAAGACGCAAGGAAGTTAGTTGATAAGGGAGTTATTCATGCTGAATAACTACTTCTTATGTGCTGTCAGTATTTTAATATTGCAGTTTATGTTTCTTATCTTAAGAATGCTGAGTTGTCAAGTTTTAGGATGTCAGTTTGTGTGTGCTGTCAAGTTACGGTTGTAACTGCCACTTCATGGTGTTATTTAATTGTAAGTTAATTGAGGAATGGATATGGATGATTTCTGACTCTTTATTTGGAGATTCTCCCTATTAGCTTTATCTTATTTGAACAAGATCTTTGTCCAGATTTAGATAAAGATTAACTTCCCTATTTTGTTATTAAGACTTAACATTTTGGTATCCGAGCCTGGTTTTCCCGAGGATGGTGAGTACTAGAAACAGTTCTATCGATCTCACTGCCCCTCCAGCAACCTCTAATTTATTAGAATCTATAGTCTAGCAAGTAAATCAACTTCTCGTTTGAATGTGGTGGAGGAGATTTCTACCGGAATAGCAGCAGTAAAATTACAGCAGCAACATATCTTAGATGATACTGGGCAATCTTCTCAAAACAAAGGCAAACAACTCGAGAACTCATACTTTGCAGCAGATGAAGAAGACAAGAGAAACATACCTTGGTGGCTTCAAAACACCACAAGGAGACCACATACCAAAGTTAATTTTCCAAAGTTTGATGGAAGTGACCCTAGAGACTGGATACTTAAAACAGAAAAGTATTTCAGACACTACCAAACTCCCGAGGATGTGAAGGTTGATGTTGCGGCCATGTACTTAGAAGGCGACGCATTAGATCTTTTGTTAACTTCTGAACGCTCAATAATTTATTGGGAAGATCTCGTGTGCACTCTTCAGGAGAATTTCGGTTCTGCAGAATTTCAGAACCCTGATGAATTCTGGTGTGGAATTAAGCAATCTGGAACAATACAAGAGTATCGGTTGGAATTTGCAAAGAGATCTCCTAGAGTAAAAAATTGGCTAGAACATTGTTTGTTGGGTGTTTTTCTTAATGGGCTTAAAGAAGAATTACAGGTTGATGTCAGAATTCAAAAGCCCAGATCTGTTTACAAGGCCTTGAGTTTAGCTTTAGAATATGAGTCCAAATTACAATATGCAAAAATTCCCAAGACTTATGGAACTTCCTAGGGCAGTTGCATGCATGCAGCAACCACGTGGCCTTTAAAAGACACTCTCACGACAGGTACAGCAGCAGTGCAATCTTCGGCCAATTCCTCCACTTTTTCACAGCGCGCAAACACGAACTAGGATGCAGAAAAACAGTTAAGACGAGATAAGGGACTCTATTTCCGTTGCGGTGATAAATTTATTCCAGGCCATCGCTGCAAAAATGCTAATTTGACTCTCATGGAGATTACTAAAGAACCCGATGTAAAAGCAGAGAGGTCTAAAGAACTGAACTTAGAGGGCGAATAAGAAGTGCATGCAGAGATATCGCTTCATGCTATCTTAGGACGCCCTGCGAGTACTACTATGAAGATGGAAGGCATCCTAAATCATCATAAATTGCTTATTTTGATTGATAGTGGTTCTACCCACAACTTCATATCTTCTGCATTAGTGTAAAATTTGTAGATTCCTACTAAACTGGTTCCTTCTTTTGGAGTTCAAATTGGCAATGGGCATATAATTTATTGTAATAATATATCTCCTCAAGTCACCTTACGAGTTCAATCATTGGAAATTATTGAAGAATTTTTTCCCTTCTCTTTAAGTGGTGTTGATCTAGTATTGGGAATCAAGTGGTTATCTTCTTTGAATACGGTTCAAGCAAATTAGCAATTGATGTTTATGGTTTTTTGGGTCAATGGCAAAAGGTACAAGCTCCAAGGAGTCTGCATTGGCAACCAAGCAGAAGCAAGTTTGCGTTCGATGTCTTAACAACCTATTATAAACCCAGACGCCTTCTAACAATTGTTACAAAACCTTCTTGATGAGTATGTTTCTATTTTTGATACTCCTTCGACTCTTCCTTCTCTTCGGCACAAGTTCCATTCTATTAATTTGCAACCTCAGGCTACACTGCCAAATGTTCGTCTATATAGATGCCCACATTACCAAAAGGATGAAATTGAACGCTAGGTGGCAGATTTATTAGCCAAGGGTTTTATACAACCTAGTGAAAGCCCATTTGTAAGCCCTGTATTATTGGTCAAGAAGAAAGATGATTCTTGGAGATTCTGCATTGACTATCGAGAATTAAATAAGCTAACTATCCCTGACAAATACTCTATTCCCAATATTGATGAACTCATTGATGAGTTACATAGGGCTACTGTCTTCTTAAAGATTGAATTGTGTTCCGGATATCATCAAATTAGAGTTAAACCTGAAGACATTCACAAAACCACTTTCCAGATTCATTCGAGACATTATGAATTTACAGTCATGTCTTTTGGTCTTACTAATGCTCCGGCTACCTTTCAATCTGCTATGAAAGATCTTTTTCGACTGTATCTAAGGCATTTTATTCTTGTCTTCTTTGATGATATGCTAGTCTATAGTCCCACAATTGCTGACCATCTGTTCGTACAATCCTCTCAAGACTACAACAGGATGCTTATTTTGCACATGGGAAGAAATGCTCTTTTGATCTACCTTAGATGGATTTTTTAAGGCATGTCATCTCATCTGGAGAGGTTGCTATGGATTCTTCCAAGATACAAGTTGTGTTGGAATGGCCTAATCCGACTAATGTTACTGAATTGTGGGGATTTCTTGGTCTTATAGGTTATTATAAAAGATTTGTGTGTCATTATGGCCAACATGCTCGTCCGTTACATGACCTCACTAAACAGGGTGCTTTTCATTGGTCTTCTTTGGTAGAGCAATCTTTTCATAAACTCAAACATGCATTAATTAATGCACCTGTTCTCCATTTACCAGACTTCAACAAGCCCTTCATCGTAGAATGTGATGCTTTATCTTTAGGCATTGGTGCCATTCTTATCCAGGATACTCATCTCGTTGCCTACTTTAGTAAAGGATTTACATTTTCTAATCGTGTCAAATCTGCTTATGACAGAGAATTATTAGCTCTAGTATTAGCTCTGCAAAAGTGGCATTGTTATCTCCTTGGTCGCCATTTTGACATCTATACTGACCATTATAGTCTTCAATATCTAATAGATCAACAACTTTCAACTCTAGATTAGCAACGGCTTATAATGAAGTTGTTACCCTTTGATTTTACCATCAAACATAAGAGTGGTTGTAATAATAGTGGTGCTGATGCTCTTTCACACCGACCTCAACATGCTGATTTCATGGCTCTTGCTATTCCACATAGTACAGATTTTGATGGCGTAGAAGCATGGATTGATCAAGATCCTTCAACTCAACACATTAAGAATTCCCTTCTTCAAGATCCTACTGCTATTCAACATTATGCTTTGGTCAATGGGAAGTTGTTTTATGATGGGCGTTTAGTCATTCCTGATCATCCTACTCTAAAATCCAAGTTGATGGCAAATGCTTATTCATCTCTTTTTGGAGGGCATGGAGGATACCTTTGTACTCTCAAACGATTACAAACTCATTTCTTTTGGCCTCATATAAAGCGAGATGTCAAGCTGCATGTTCAAGATTGTCGTGAGTACCAAATTTCAAAATATCAGACTTTATTTCTAGCAGGATTACTTCAGCCTATTCCTCCACTACATCGTATTTGGGAAGATATTTTCATGGACTTTATTGCCGGATTACCTAAGTCATGTGGAATAGATACCATATTTGTTGTGGTTGACTGTTTTAGCAAATACATTCATCTTATTGGCCTCTCTCATCCTTTTACACTGCCAAGTCCGTCACTGCCGTTTTTAGTTGTGAAGTAGTCCGACTTCATGGTGTCCCTACTTCCATCATTTCAAATCGAGATCCAGCCTTCCTAAGTACTTTTTGGCAAGAACTCTTCCGTCTTAGTCACACTCAACTCTGGATGAGTACAGCTTATCACCCACAAAGTGATGGACAAACAGAGGTGGTCAATCATTGTGTCGAAGCCTATTTATGTTGTTTTGCACATGAACAACCGAAATTATGGAGTAAGTATCTCCCAAGTACTCTTTCAATACCAGCTTTCATTCTGCTACAGGCTTCACTCCATTTGAGATTGTCTATAGTCATTCCCCTCCACCTGTTCTCCCTATGTGTTTGGTGAAACCAAAGTTGTTGACTTAGAAACTCAACTTTTGGAACGAGATGCCATGTTGCAGATTATTCGGACAACCTCTTTAAAGCTCAATCTAGAATGAAAGCTCAAGCTAATGCTCATAGACGTGATATTTGCTTCAAGGATGGGGACTTGGTTTATCTAAGAATCCAGCCTTATTGTCAATTCAGTTTAGCAAAGACAAAGTATGAGAAGCTGTCTCCTCGCTTCTTTGGCCCATACCAGATTGTTCGTAAGGTGGGACCTGTTGCTTTTGAGTTGCTCCTACCTCCTGATGCCAAAATTCATCCAATTTTTCATGTCTCAATGCTGCGCCTTGCTCATGGCACTCCTTCTCCTTCCACACCACCTCCTCTACCACTTTCAGACACTTGGGAGCTTCAGTTACAACCTCATAGTGTCCTTTCTCATCGCTGGATTTCATGAGGCAGCTCCAACATCCTTGAAATACTTGTTTCTTGGCTTGGCTGTCCCCAAGATGAATCAACTTAGGAGGAATATGACCTGATTCGGGACCAATTTCCTGATTTCAGCCTTGAGGACAAGGCTGTTTTTAAAGGGGGGGATACTGATAGAAGTCCATTATTGGTATATAAATGACGGAAGGAGGATTTAAGTCAAAATACAGCAAGGAAGTTAGTTGATAAGGGAGTTATTCATGCTGAATAACTACTTCTTATGTGTTGTCAGTATTTTAATATTGCAGTTTATGTTTCTTATCTTAAGAATGCTGAGTTGTCAAGTTTTAGGATGTCAGTTTTGTGTGTGCTGTCAAGTCACGGTTGTAACTGCCACTTCATGGTGTGTTATTTAATTGTAAGTTAATTGAGGAATGGATATGGATGATTTCTGACTCTTTATTTGGAGATTCTCCCTATTGGCTTTATCTAATTTGAATGAGATCCTTGTTCAGATTTAGATAAGGATTAACTTTCCTATTTTGTTATTAAGACTTAACACATGTCTGTATACAATGTAGCTTTCTTTCTTTTTCTTTTTCTTTTCCCTTTTCCTGTCTGTGCATGAATAATTTAAATAGAGTAAATTAACAGCTCTTGATTTAGAAGACTTGATCTACCAAAAAAAATTGTTTAAAAAATGTAAGATATTTTTTGAGGGGTTGAATGTTAAAAAATGTAAGACATTTTTAGTATTTTAATATGTAATTATTACTTTTTTTTCAAAAGTGCTCCTATTAAATAAATCACTTTATATTTATTTTAAGGTGAATTCTTTATTAAATAAGGGTAAATATGAAAAGATAGGATTAGTTTGATAAGAAGTAATTACTTTATTGGGGGTGAGATTGAGTTAAAAATGTCTTACATTTTTTAATGAAGGGAGTACTTAAAATCTCATAAAATGCCGCTCTTGTTTTTCTTTAAATTCATCAAGCGATAATGTAATGTTTAATATGTATGTGTATGTCGTGTCATGTTCTTTATTCTTTAGCAGTTTGACAAGGCAACGTGTCTGTCTGTAGCCATGTTATTGTCTGTGCATCATAGAACAAACATCACCAGATTCACAACTCCGCACAGACAGAGGTCTTAATTAAGAAGTTTTTAGCCTCATGCAATTGCCAATATTGTGGACAAAACAGAAGTACCTACTGCAGCAGTTGGTAATATGTATGATTGGCTGACACTGACAATCCCTGTTACATGAGGAAAACCATCTTGCAATGGTATATTCCTTCTCCATTCCCGTTAAACTGGAAGAAGGCTGAAAGCTCAAAATAACAGTTATAGATGAGTTAAGCCACTTGCTACTCTTGAATAAGTTTTCTTGGCAGCTTGTTTTGGTATTAGGGCTTGGTGATGTTGCATATGTGCTTGCCAGATAACATGTCTCTATCTCATGATACTTTGTGTAATAGTACTTTTCAGATCCTAAATAATTTGTGAAGTACATGTGTAATTTACTAACTTGATGGGTGTGGTTTATATTATGATCCCTTTTGTAACCATAATTTGAACATGCAATCTGATTTCAACATATAAAGCTTGGCAGTTTGTGGCCCATTTAGTAAAATTACGATCATTCAATTTTGAGATCTTGATTTACTTTTCAATGTGATTTCAACATATAAAGCTTGGCAGTTTACGAAGCTGCTAAGTGCCTAACTACTTGGTGTTACTTGCTCAGCAGACTGAAGTCGCTAGTGGAATATTTCAAAATGGCCTTAGATTGCTTTTTTGCTGTATGGTTCGTCATTGGCAATGTATGGATCTTTGGGGGGAACTCTTCTGCTAATGATGCTCCTAATATGTATAGGTACTACCATGGAGGAGATATTAAACCTGGTGCTTTATCATAGAATCTGAATCTGTCTGCTTGCTTTTGCTTTGCAGGTTATGCATTGTGTTTCTGACATTCAGCTGTATTGGCTATGCTATGCCATTCATTCTATGTGCAACAATCTGCTGTTGTCTGCCTTGTATAATTTCCATCCTCGGAGTTAGAGAGGATCTGACACAAACAAGAGGGGCAACCTCTGAATCTATTAATGCCCTGCCAACATACAAGTTCAAGGTGAAGAAACGTAAAAACATTGACGAAAGCAACTCAAATGTGTTTGAAGGTGGAATTGTGGCTGCTGGAACGGAAAAGGAGCGTGTGATCTCTGGAGAAGATGCAGTAAGTAGCCAATCTGATCGGGTGGTAGACAGAATACCTATTTTGTGCTTGTTCCATTTCATGATTACTTGTTAAAATGAAAGTGATTATATTTTTTACTTCATGGCTAATGATCAACTTACCATCACAAATCCCTCATTTTGATAGTGTCAGGAGATCCTGCAATCCAGTTTACCTCTCTCATAACCCTGGACTTCAATTTTTTTTCTTTTTGTTCAAGGGTTTTGTCGACCCAAAAAAAAAAAGAAAAGAAAAGATTCAGGCGTTTTGTCCTGCTGGTCTTGACTCTGGTTCTGTACTTTTCTGTGGTTTTCTTCAGGTTTGCTGCATCTGCCTGGCAAAGTATGAAAACAACGATGAGCTGAGAGAGTTGCCATGTTCCCATCTTCTTCACAAAGAATGTGTAGACAAGTGGCTGAAGATTAATGCACTATGCCCTCTTTGTAAAGGTGAGGTTGGTGGGAACCTAGTAGGATCAGTCTCTGGTGAAGGTACCAACCAACAAAGGGGTGAGAGCAGAGTTGGAGTTAGTCCAATCAATAGCATAGTATAATTTCCTTATATACGTAGGTAGTATAGGTTCTGTAAAGGTTTTTTTTTAAAATTTTTTTTGGCTTAGATGGATGGTTAACTCTCAGTTTATCCATTCCATTTCATTTTTGATGATATTTTCCTATCTTGATGTTGACAATTGCATTCAATAGTCCTCTTTTGATGCAGCTGGTTGTTCAGGGCCCGGCCTCGTACTGGCTGTGGTGTGCATCAATGTCTCTTGACTTGAGTAAAATTGTGTTCCAACATTGTAGATGGCAAATAGTTTTAAAAAAAGATAGGCAATGAATCTCACATAATACTGTGCGTGAGCAGTGCTCTATGCGAAGTTTTTAATTCAGTAAGTTTTGTTTTTCAATTATTATGTTCTAGAATCGACACATGAGATCATTAAATACATACAAGTATGGATGATTTAGCATAACATTACAATAAGATGGGCCATGTTACACAAAATTACACTCGAGAATTGTTAAATACCATAGAACAGGAATGGGGGCTTGCAATTCCCAGCGTGCAGACATCAGCCTGTGTAGGTGAGTCCAAGGCAAAGACTTGAAGAAAGAGGATGCTTAACCTCCCAATGCGCGTTTGAGCCCTGCTTGTTGCTCTGGCGTCAACCGTGTTGGGAACTTGACCTCAAATCTGATCTTCAAATCACCCATGTTCCTAGGCTCCTTTGCTATTGGCATCCCTTGCTTTGGAACAAGAAGCTCATAACCAGGGCTCACAATGTCAGTCACTGGTATTGATAGACTCCGTCCATCAAGGGTGGTGAGGTTCACTGTTGTTCCTCCTATTGCCTCTGCTAGCGACACCCTTAGGCTCACAATCAGGTCATTGCCATCTCTCGTGTACAGATCGTGAGGCTTTTCGTCAATCACAAACACCAGGTCAGCTGGAAGTAGATTTGGCTGTTGATTCCCTTTATCTGGGAAAGTGATCTTGGTCCCTTTCTTCCACCCCGGTTTTACATCAATGCTTAGCATCTCTGTTTCTGTGACTGGCCGTCTTCAATTTTTTTTTTTTTTTTTCACGCACAGAGAGATTGGTCAGCGGACCTTCACCATGTTCTAATGACGTTTATCTAAAATGGCATGTCCACACACGCTGCATATCATTCACTGACTGTACATCTATGTAATTTTTTCCACCACCTTGCAACACCTAATTTGCGCAATGAGTTTATGAAATTTTTAATGTAATCGAAAAGTGTCTCCCCATGATGACGCCACACATGCAATCAACCCTTGGTCTATGTTGACTAAAATTAAAGCTTGCTTCCACACCATTTATGCAGTTTTGAATGTAAATACATGAACCGTATTCTAGTATAATATATAAAGTTCATTTTAGAAATGCTATAAATACCACAAAGCATCCAGCGTAGCGAGGAAGAGAAGAATCAAGAGTAATAAAAGTTCAGCATGAAAATAGTGAACAAGATTGTTTTAGTTTGTTCCGCATACCCGTTGGCATCAATAGTCCTTGAGATCTTCATTTTCCTAGTGGATCCAGAGTATAACTCCTCCAGGCTGCAAGGCAGTTTGCTCTCCACAGCTGGTGGTTTTTTCGGCATTTGCTTACCTTCATTGCATGTACGAAAAATGTTGTCGCCTCCGCCAAAACCACCATATATTCCAGGCCCTTCCGGTTGGTACTTCATGGACTTGCCTGGTCCAGACGATCCAAATCCAAAAGGGCTACTCCCAAAGAATTCTGCAAAAATATCCTCAGCGTTTCTGGGATTAAACCCACTTGATGGTCCATTCCCTGGCGGTGGCATATCTTGCAACCCTTCCTCTCCATGCTGATCATAGATCATCCTCTTCTGAGGGTCGCTTAGTACCTGAATGCACAAAAACAACTTTGTGTATTTCAAAAGTGGTTTCCAAATCCAATATGCTTAAAATCTCTCAAACTTGTCATCTTTTTCTATATATATATATATATATTCATAAATTTGTAGACATCCATATTCAGAGAACAATTCATCAGACAAAAAGTCGAGCTATGTTTCTCCCGTCCTTAGGGAGGAAGTCAATCTCAAATGATGTTAAAGGACAAAATTGGTGTTGTGAATTCCCCATTCTTTCAAAAACTTTCTCATATACCAGGGCCCTTTCGTGATTTGTTCTTCCTGACCATTCAAATAATTCTTTTAATTTCCCTTTTCTTTTAATTCTAGAGCACATTCATAAATCAATAAATGAAAGACGAATAGCTTTTTGGTCTTTTGCTTTCCGTCCACCTCTATTATCGCGAGAAGAATAAATATAGGGACAAAAGAAATGGAAAAGAAGAAACTCTTGCCTCATAGGCATCTGAGATCTGCTTGAATTTGGCTTCAGCTTCTTTTTTGTTGTTGGGATTCTTGTCAGGATGCCATTTCATGGCCAACTTTCTGTATGACTTCTTCAGGTCATCGTCTGTAGCATTTTTAACAACCTTCAATATATTGTAGTAATCCACCCCCATTTTTACTATGTGAAACTAAAACGCCAAATGTTGGAAGCCGATCCTTCTTCTATGATCCTAGCTTACACAATCACTGCTTCTTCCTGCTAAGAGCCTCATCCAATCGTTCTTTGGAGTTGACGTTCGACGACAATTGTAAAGGATGAAGGAGACGACGCAATCATCAACACAACCAGAATCGAAGAATTTGCTCAATTACAATCTAGTAGCTGGAGGGGGGACGCAGTGCATGATTTGGAAATTGGAGAAAAAAAATGGATTGCGGTGTTTGATGGATATTTCAGACAATGAAGGGAGAAGAGATATATATTTGAAGATGAGCTATCAGGCTTCGACGTGCATTGTGATTCTCCAACAGACCAAGAAAACAGGATTAAATATTAATTGACCCAATGATTCTGGCGGAGGTGAACGATGGGATAAATGAGCGGGAGTCGCGGAAACTATTATATTTGCTGCAGCTGCACCGAGGGTATTTGCGATTGCGTCTTATATATATATACGTAAGCTGTTTTGTTTAAAAATATAAAGTATTTTTAATTAAATTTTACACTTTAATAAAGTAGTTATTTACTTTTCAACTAACTCTATCTTTTCATATTTATTCCTATTAAACACTCTACAATAAATATAAAGTCATTATTAATAAAGGCACTCTTAAAAAAAGACAATGATTACACTTCAAAAAATTAAAAATAATTTATATTTTTTAACATTTAACTTTTTAAAAAAATTCTTTATATTTTTAAATAGAGGGTATATATATATATATATATATATTGCACACAGAACACAAGCCAAAGCTTGGAAACAAGTTCAAATACAAATTACGCTAACAAAATACATAATTTTAAATTCTTGTACTTTACTCTAGTTTTATAATAGGCTCTTGTATTTTTTTCAATGTTTTAAGTTTATGCTAAGAAAAAAACATAACTTTGGGTAAAAAAAATAATTTAAAATTTCTATACTTTGTTCAAATTTTGTTATAGGTTTCTGTACTTTTTTTGATGTTCCAAGTCTTTATTCTTTTTTTTTTTGATCTTTTAGATCCTTATAGTACTACTCATGGAGGAATGTAGAACATCCAAAAAAATATAAAGACCTAAAACACTCAAAAAAATATAGAGACCTATAGCAAAATTTGAATAAAGTATAGAGATTTAAAATTATATTTTCTCTATCAATTTTCTTTGAGTTTAGGTGATAATTACTCCTTGGGCATCTATTACAAGGTATCATTTAAAACAATTTTTCTTTTGTTCTTAATGTAAGGCACTTGAGACAATATTGATTATATTTTTTAATATTATTTCTATTTAAACCTATTAACTATAAGAAATAATGTAATACAAATTTGAGAATATTTTATTTGAATAGGGATAAAATTAAAAGTTTATTCTATTTTTAGATAAAGTTGATAACTTAACTATTTTTTATTAATTTCGGTGAGATAGTTAAAAATATCTTATAATAGGAATAGAAAGAAGTATGTCTAGTATCAAAAAAAAAAAACGGAAAGAAGTATGTCTTAATTGCTCCAGAATTAAAATATTGGTAGGGCATTATGAATAAGTGTATAGATAGGAGATCATGTATTCTAGCAGAAGTTAGTCTCGGAATCAATGATACAAAATTCGAACACTGTCATTTTTATTAACTATTATTTTAATCTAGGATATTCAATATATACACTCTGAATTGATAGAACTTAATTAATAATCATGACCGGAGGAGTATTGTTTTTCTTCTATTCTGGCCCTTTGGCCCCAAACCCCAAAGAATTTTTTTCAAAAAAATAAGATAAATGTAAATGTGAGTGAAAGTGAAAATACATATTTGGTATTGGCAGACGATTTTGGGTGTGTCCGTCAACAAAAACTGATTAATATGATTATTTTGAATATAATTGATTATATTATTTGTGATATAATAATTGATTTATAAAATTGATTAATAAGATTGATTTTAAGTAGAACTAAAAATCAAGTAAAACCGTCAAGGTTTTAAAAATCGAACCGGTCATTGAACCAGATGAGACACTGGTTCACGGTTCATTGGTCGAATTGTGATCTAACCGGGGTCGAACTGATTGACATTAAATGAATATATTTTTAATTTATGTATCATAATTAAATAAGAAATACATTTAAATATGTATTTTTTTTTCAAAAATATATTATAGATGCTTGATAATATATTTTATTATTGATAAATACATAATTAATATTAATTATAAGTGAAGCTTTTCATTTAAATATCAAGAAAGATGTATTTTAATTTAATTTTTATTTTTTAAAATTTTGTCCGGTTTTCTCATGGGAACTGGTCCGATTTTTATCCAATTTTACTGGTTTCATAATGACCGATTTTTAAGGGTCAATCAAACCGGACTAAGAGCCAGTTCCTGATTCAATTGGTTGAATCGGCCGGTTTAGTCCGATTTTTAAAACCTTGAAAACTATACTTTTTAAAAAATATGTTCAAACAATCTATTACATGTCAAGATCAATCATAAACTCAACAACATTATTTTCTTAAAAATATTCAAATATTCATTGTACATATCAAAATCAATTATGAACTTAAAATCATAATTTTTTTTAAATATCCAAACACATCTATATATACCAAAATCAATTTTGCACCCAAAATTTATTTCATAATATTAATATTACCAGTTTCTTAATTCAATTTTTTAAAAAATTATCAAAAATAAAATAAACTATTTTACACATCATATTTTTAGGTTCATAATTAATTTTAGCATGTAAAAAAGTGTTTTAATATTTTTTTAAAAAATTTTGATTTTGATTTATAATTGAATTTAAAAAAAAATAATTTTAAATCTTGTTCTAATATTGTTAAAGGTGTCTATACTTTTTTAAAATATAAAGGTTTAAAATATTGAAAAAAGTGTAAGCCAACAAAACTGAGAGAGCCAAGATCATGATATGACATGGTGGTCTCCGCTGCATGACAAGGGAGACAGAGAGGAAACTCATGGTCGCTGACCTGAGTAGCGGCTATATTTCAATTCCTTTAGAGTCCTCTCATGTTTATGACCAAAAATAAATAAATAAATAAATCAGGTTTTCTAATTGCAGGTACTTAGATATTTAGTCCAAAAGAAAGATAGAAAGAAACGGAGATATAAATAAAAGTTTATGACAGAGAATATTATTTCGCATGCTAGTCCTAGGTCCGTGTACTATATAAGCTAGCAGATAGCTCTACTTTACTCCTGGAAGAACTTGTGATATTAACGAGGAATACCAACCGAAACTAAACTACTTTATAATCAAAATTTGATATGTATGGTATAGAATCTCTCTTTCTGTGTGTTTTTAACTTTCAAGCACAAGGGACTAGTTGAGACTAGCTTAATAGCTGATAATAGGACCAAACCTACGACTTCCCATGTTTGGAACTAGGCTCAATATAACTAAACTGGGCCACTACGCTCATTCCTCTCTTTCAAGAAGCTATGCAAGTAAAACAATGACACTCAGACTAAAGGCCATTTAGTATAGGAACATGGTTGTGTAGGTATCACTTATATATATATATATATATAGGTCTCTTCCTAGCCATGTCGCTTTCGCTTATCCTTAGTCGTCTTCGAAATTTATGTCCATAGACTTGACAAAAGAAAGAAAATAGTGGTAAATTAAGAATGTTGTATGAAATCTATTGCATAAAGATCCAAATTTACGGACCACGGTACAATGCACAGGCAGTCAAATCCTTCCCCTCCATAGATCATCTCAGATGAATTTGAATAACCTTTTTGACCGTCCATTTCAAAATGGAAAACTGCACAATTCCACATGGGGCATGGCACAAGCAAACCCAGCAAAATAGAGACAATTTAGATCTTATCGCCACAACAAAATAGGAAGCTGAGAGCTATACAAAACCATGAAACAGAACCATGTATGAGAGATGCCTCCCACCTCAGTAGTCCTTTCCTAATTTTACACTTCTTAAAACACCATAGGAGTATGACTTTCTGGACAATTTACGAGACAGTGGCCGATGCTGAGGGACTAGGGGAAGTACTGGCGTCGGCTGCCACATTCTTCAGCTTTAATGAAGCAGAATCAGCAAAATTTCCAGATTCTGAAATATCCCCAATATCCAGTGTCTCTGGAAGAGTTTCAGAAGACTGGACACCGTCAAACTGCAAGCAGACAACACTTCTCAGAAAACAAAGCACATTATAAAACACACCATAAAATACTTTTTTTTTTCCCGAATTAGAGTAACAGACACTAACAGCATGAGATTATAAGTAAAATTGAACTCACAACCTTCCACTTACCGAGAAGCTTACATTAGGTTACAAGGTCATTGACCACCATGATTATTAGATTGCTAATTCAGAAGGACATCAACTCAGATTAAACTAAATCTCAGTTTAGACTTGAGCTGATGTTGACAAAATTAATCAAAATATTATGTTAATTCTAAAAAAATCATATATAACAAATAAACCATAAGCAATAAGGTAACACAAGTTTGGCTTCACCTATTATTCCCAAATATAACACAAGAAAATTTAGTCGATAGTTGATTATAATCAATAATCCGAACTATGGGTTCCTAAGAGGGGTATGCAGTGATAAAATTATGAAATCGAGGAGACAGCTGAAACAAAATCTAGCATGCATGGGGAAATATTTCCAGTCACTTAACAAGCTGGAGGCAGGGACGTAACTGTTATGCTATATATCAGTGACACGGATGAAAGGAATTAAGAATACACAAGAAAATAATTATAATATTACCTCAAGCTGGCTCAGCATGTCAATAGCGGCTTCCAGATCACCCCCGTTGACCATGTAGACATCAGCAAGGGATTGATCAGATATTCCAGGAAACGTCATCCTGAGATATTCCAGATCCATATCAGATTCTTCATCCAGCATCTGTTTATCTGCCACCTGAACTGCACCCTGCGCTGCTGAACTGCAAGAACTAGATTCAGGTTGGCTCTTCACATGAAACGCCTGAGAAGTAGAGAGCTTTTGAGGAGCACGAGTGTTATGGTGAACATGGTGCTGATCTTGTGTCGTGTGCTGAGGAGTCTGAAACCCGACAGCTCCATCATAACTCATGTAATCATTGTCTGCTACGCAAGTTCCACCATCTGCCTGCCTTTTAGAGAGTGGAATATAGGCGGCCGCGTATGGATTCAAAGAAGATACTCCTGGCTTCATGGACTCTGTTCAGATAGACAATGCAATTGCTTCCTTCTTTTTGATTGCGGAGCCCCCAAAATTCAAAGAACGAACTAGACAACATGCCATGAAAAAAAAAAAAAAACAGAGAGAGAGAGAGAGAGAGAGAGAGAGAGAGAGAGAAATCCTTAGTGTCTGACACTAAAGAATTTCAAATACAACAAAAAATAGTGTGTGATTAAGTAGTCTGCATTAGTGACCAAAACAGAAGTTATTATTGGTGATAACTGATACATCAGTATTGAATTTTCTAGGTTAACCATTACAAAGATAATAACTTCGAGGCATCTCTACTTATTATATATTAAATTAGCTGATGAGGCACGATTGGCGCGGCGCTTGTAGAACAAATTATCCTCAACGACACGAGCATGGATTTTTTTTTTTTTTGATAAACGTAAGCATGGATTTTACAAGTAGATCGAAGAAGAGAGAATCAAAGCAAGCCTCAAGATTATAGTTCATAATTCTTTCTCATATCCGCTACTTTGTAATAATCCCAACATCTCTTTTATCTAAAAGATATATATACAAGTAAGGAAAAAAGGACTCGCACCGAGACACCGATCAGGAACATGGTGGATTCCGATTCGATTACTTTTTCGTTGGCTACGATTACGGAAAAATAACAGTGATTTGAAAATAGCACAGCCATGATCTTTTTTTTTTGGGCAAAAAAATAGAGCAGCTATGATCGAGAAAAAGGAAAGGCACAACGGAAAGAAAATAAAGAATTACCAAGAGTAATGATGAAGAATCGGAACAAACGAAATAGATCGGAACACCGATGTGAAACAAAAGCCTAATATTTCAGATCGCTCGAAGTGCAGATGAAAGAATGAAACGCAAAACTTCTTGCAAAAAGGACTTTCTCCTCTTTTGGCGTAACTGCAATTTGGTGGGACATCACTATTTATTTATAATAATAAAAATAATGAAAATATGGAAAGAAATCAGTGACGCAAGGTGGTGAGGGGATGATTGACTGCGCCGACTGACTAATGTAGGAGAATGCTTGTTTGGAAACTCGATTATCGTATGATAGGTTTGGGTTAACGGAGACAGGGCCCAAAAAAACTTTATTAATTAGTACTGATTATTTTTACAAGTTAATTTTTTTTTGATTGATCAATCCATAAATTAAGTACTTCGTTTATCATATATATATATATATATATATATAATAAATACTTATATCATATAGGAGTGTGTATATATATATATATTCTTTTTATTACAAGAAAAAACGATATTTATCATTCTATTAACAAACAAATGCAATTAAATAAATAAATAAAGTTAAAAAATAAAACAAACTATATAATTTGAATGCACAAAGATTAATTTATAAATTAAGATACATGATCATTTATAAATGCATAATTATATATTCATACATAAATCTATTAATGTAACCTTCATTGTTATATAATCTACTAGACGCATATAATATATACTATCATAACAAAGCCATTTTATTCACTAAAATATGATATTAAAAATTATTTGATAAAAAATCTATATATCCTCTACAAAACGTGGGGTTAAAATTTGTTGGCAAAAAAAAAATGGAGTTAAAATAAAAAAAATTAAGTCAATTTACTAATGAAAACTAATTTTTGAAATCAAATAGAGGATATGGGGAGGTGTTGTCATTTCTGGCATGCGCAGTGGCACAAGTAAAAAGGCAAAGAGGCATAGCTAGCAGCAGCAACACTGCAATGGCTTTAGCTATTCACTCGGCGGGCCTTTGTCTCTTCGCCCCCACTGGTAATAGTAACACCAATCTCTTCCTTTTCAGGTACTTACTGTTTATCTCACCCTTCTCCGTTGTATCTATGCTTTCTTCCCCTACCTGTCTTGAAATCCTTGTGCTATTGGTCCTCAGAAACTGTAGCAGGATAATTCTAACCCAGAAGAAATGCAAACGAGAAATTTCATGTTGTTCTCTAGACCCCTTTCCACAAAGGAGGATTTACAGAAGGGATTTGGCTTTGGTGGTGTTGGGCCTCTCTTCGGTGTCTATAACTTTGCCATTTTCTGGTACTGCTTATGCTGCGACAGGAGCTCTTTCTGTTGAATTCGAATTTACATTCTTCTTGGGAAATCTATCCCTGGGAAAATTAACCATGCTTCCAATGCTTTATTCTTCACAGAAGGCCACTGTTATTGCGAATTTGCATGCCTTTTCTTGTTCTTTATGTTTGAAACCAAGCAGTGCGGTGTATAATTCTACACATGTAGTCATGTAGATGAACTGAGATACGTTTGCTTTGTCATTTTTCTTTACCACGAATCTATCTACTCCTAATTCCCCCCCCCCCTCTCTCAGCGACTCTTGCTGATGAAGAACTGAAAATGGCTTCGTTCGTGGATGAAATAAATGCTTATTCTTATTTGTTCCCTGTGGAGTTGCCATCTAAGAAGTTTCTCTTCAAATGGTACGCCATTGACACTGAACTTCGTTTATTTATTATGCATGTTGTTTGGTTCAGATGAGCATTCTTTTTTTATCTTAGATAGTTCATATAGTGTGGCCTTGAATGCACATTGAACTCTAAGACTTGCACTCTTCGCATTTTCTCTAAGACTAGCATTGGTGCTGGTGCATGTCACGAAACTTTCAGCTATAATTGGTTTATAAACAACTGCCTTTTTTTCTGACAATTTCCCTTGATAATTTGCTTTCTTACCATTTTATTTTTCAAGTATGATCCTTAAGTCTAACTTTTTTTAAAAAAATATATTTAAAGGGTAGAATCCAGAAAGCCAGAACGATATTCATCAGCTGCACCACTTTCTCGTAAGTTGTGTTCTCTTTCTTTATATAAGGGCAAAAGTTCATCCAATTAAATGTCCATAATAAGATTGAGGCTGATTCCACTTTGAACTTCCTTACCACCAAAGTTTAAATTTTATTTTAATGAGTGAAGCCTTTAGTGCTTCAACATTTCTGAATGATAAGGCATTTTCTATACCAACCTTGAAAACGATGATGCTTTATAAATTGTATGCAGCTGATGCTCGCTTGCGCATTGTGTCTGAGCGTGTTGATATTATCGATAATCTCATAATCTCTGTTACGGTATGATCTCAATCACATATGTATTTTCAGTTATAAAAACAACACTGTCTAGTTTCCCTTTTGGCCGCATCAATTATTTCTATCTTATTCAGATTGGTCCACCAAATTCAAAGATCATAAAATCAAAGGATAAGAGTATGTGGACTGCAAAAGATGTTGCTGATTCAGTTTTGTCTGACAAGTCCGCGCTGGTAACATATCATTTGATTACTACTTATAGGTTTTGTTATTGTTATTAGTGAAAACACAGTTATTAGTGCCTATAATTTCATCAAGTGTTGCTTTTAGTCCTTTTAGTTTTCTCCAATGTTTTCAGTCCCTATAGTTTCAGAAAGATTGGGTCGCGTTTGTTTTTCAAGTCCCTATAGTTTTCATTTTTTTCAATATTTTTAATTCCTATAAGGATTGAAAACACTGAAAAAAAATTAGAAGAATTAAAAACAAAACCTGATGAAACTATAGGAATCAAAAATTAAGTTTTCCCTTGTTCTTTTTACATATGCGTTTAGAGCTTTTTAGGTACAAGCTCAATTTACTGATCATAGCTAACACTAATAACAAATAGTAGCTATTTGCGCCAAACTATTTGCATCACAAAAGTGCTTTTCCTCCAACTTGGGAGAGAAATTTTTGAAAATTCTCAAGTGATAGCTATAAAACATTTTGCAGCGAGTCACCTCAAGCCAGCGCTTAGCTGAGAGTTCAGTTCTTGATACACGTACTAGTGAAGTAAGCTCTATGACTTATCTCTATCTCTTTTCTCCAATGTTATTTGGGCGTGAAAAACATTTATCAGCATGTTACAGTAGATACATTTCTGTTGATTGAGGACTTCTATTATAAACAGATATTTTCATATAAAGAGTCATGAAGAATTAGCACATTTGTATAGGTTTATGAATACGTTGGAGCTTAAAAAAAGGACCGTGCCCATATTTAAATTTAAATGGAAGTTAATTTCCACGTTGAGCTTATCTTTTGTCACCTCACAGATTGATGGTGAGCATTATTGGTATTATGAATACCTTGTTCGGAAATCACCAACAAAGCTAGTAAGTAATTTCTTGTTTTGATTGTAAATTAATTTGCTCTCACTAGTTTGTTCAGTAGAGCAATAGCCTTTAAGAGTTTCAATATAGGCAACCTTATCTCTTTAATTTTCTGATACAAACGTTTTAGCCCTTTTAGTTTTAAATAATGCTGTCTTGTCCTTTACTAGGTGGGTTGAAAAGTTTTTGAAAATAGTTCAAGTTGTTTTTCTGATGTAACAGAAGTTACTGGTTGTCTTTGTCTCAAGTATTGTTTCTAATTGATTCAATTCGATAATTAGGGTTCAGTATTATTCTAAATCTAGAAGGACTAAGTTGCTTTTATGGACAAACTAGAGGGAGAGCATTAGTAGCCAACAAATGTTGGTATGCTTGTCAAGGATGTGAGTTGTATTTATATCCCTAGAGGGCATGGGTTCAAATCCTAAATATTTTTTGAGCCTTGAGGCATGCCTTAGCTCTGTTGAGCTTTTAGGACCCAACTCACCTAATTTTTTTTTTCTTGTTCTAATGGTTATTTAATTAGTGATTTGTGATCATATAGGCCCAAGAATCAAGTATCTATCGGCACTATCTTTCATCAACAGCTGAAAGAGATGGTAAATCCTCTTATTTGTATTTAATTCTGGACATGTCTGGATTATACCTACCTTGGTAGATTGTCCTTTGCATATTCATACAAAGCACATGAAAGAAGTTGATGGCAATGATTTTCTTTTCTCTTTCCTGCTTTTCCCATTCAATGAGGACGGTGATCCAAAAATATAGAAAATATCTTGGTTTTAATCCATCCCTGTATATTTTTGTGGGACACACACATCGATGATGTTGACATGCCTTGGTTTCTTCTCATGTAACTGTTATGCTCTTCAATTTATATCTTCTTGCCTGGTATTTCGTTTAAAAGTTCTCTTCTGCTGGTACAGGTTATCTGTATTCTTTGAGTGCTTCAACCCTCAGCACACAGTGGAAAAAAGTATCTGTCTCTCTTTCTCTCTCTCACATGGGATGCACATTTTTACATTCATGTAATTTATTGGATATACACCTCAAGCACTAGCATTGAAACCTAAAAGGGAATAGATAATGTCTCACACGTTCTCCTTTCATGTACCAGGAGAAACATGAGTAACTCTTCTGTTGTTATGCTGACTGGAGACAGTCATAGCTGTTCCTTAATTCATTTATTGAAAGATCAAATAAAAGATATATATCAACCAAAAGGGACTATGGCTGAAAACTGATATGATCTTTTGATGATAAATGTGAACTTGCTGGTGTCCACGCTTAATAAACCTTCCTGACCTTGGCTTTAGGTATATGGTATATCCCGGTATCTTCAGCCTCCATGCATATTGGCAATATGAAGTATTGTGGTTAAATGCTCTGTAATGCTTATGAGCAAGAAGAGTTCTGTTGCAAAGCTAGTTTGATATGTTTTGTTGAGTTATAGAAAGTACATAATTCCACTGGTGCTAAATTTCCTGAATAAATTGAAGACCTTGTAATAAGTGCGAGCCCGCGCATGATTAGTCACCTGAAACTATTATCTAATTGAAGCTATTACCTTTATGAATTTTTTCCTTACTGAGTGTTACAATGAAGATCTGATATGATTTCAGAGTAGTTTATATATGTTGCTTCGTTTCATTCCTAGTTAATTTTAACTCTCGTCATTGGTGCAGATGGGACCTTTCCTTGAAAAAGCAGTGAATTCTTTCCGTCTAGTCAGTCCTACAGAAGATTATGTTCCTCCATACAAAGATCCATGGAGATTTTGGTAAACACCCCAAATTTTGTTGATTTTTTAGGCTATCATAATCTCTTTTTGCCCTGATTAATGCAAAAATGAGTATTGTATCATATTCTTTGGGTTCCCACATGTAAAGATTCTTCAGTTTCATCGTTCCCACTACCCATTCAGCATCCTCACTCTTCGCTCAGCTTCTGCATCAAAATGTTTACTCACGCTAAGCTAATTATCATGATTCTGAAGTCCTCAAATAAACGTTGAAATGGACTTGGGATGCACCAAGCACACTGCGGATGATTTTAGTACAATTATCCCAACCAATTATTGCACATTTATTCATTTTTAACAATCTACATGAGGCTGAACATATCCTTTAATTTCTCAATAATAAAAATACCAAGGGCTTAAAATGAAGACGTTAGTTATTCAAAACAAAATTGCAATCCGTGTGCCTATAATCATTCTTCTAAGTTGATGAGAATAAATTATATTTTGGCCTAAATTGATATATTTCCTTTGATTAGAAATTGAATATTCTGTACAAATAGAGAAGCTCAATCCGAGCAAAAGAACAATGAACATGTACATTACTGCGTATCTCTTGTACAAAATACTTGCGGAACACGTCAAATTAATCCTGGGAGGTAGCAGAATACTCGAAAAGAAGGCGTTTGGATGGAGCTGATTGCAAAAGCACTCGCAACCGACTTGTTAGCTGGTAGCTCAATGTCCATTGCAAAGCCATCTCTGATTCCTTCATCTGCCTCACAATCGTAGCCTGGTACAAGAAGATCATTTACTTCAGATGACAACAATAATAAACGAATACTACAGAATACCAGTGCAGCCTGCAGTCGTAGAAACCAAAGAAATCAATTGGCACCATTGGATAACGACAAATTGATCAAACAATCTAATTCAGGACCCGGATCCTCTCAGCAGCCACTTTCCGTAGCATCTCTAAGCGGCCAAATCTGATCCATTCAGATTATCAGAATCCCATCCATGTACAGATGGCTTTTAAAAGTACATATGAATGATTTATTTTTAAATAATAAAAAAATATTTTGAAAAATCATGAAGAAAATATTTTGAAAAATCAGAGGTGAAAATAGGTCAGGTGTAAGTCAAATTTTGACTAAATATGCCTAATTATAAATTTAAGCTTGGTTTTTTTGTTAAATAGGTCAAGTTGTATGACTTTGCAAGCCTGTTTATTTATTTTAATATTATGAGCCTTTTGGTTAAATAGGCTTAGCCTGACCTACGAAGACATACAATCTGTCCTGTTTAAATTTTAGCCAAGTCTATTTAATAAAAGGGCTAGGCTTAAATTTATAATTCAGCATATTTATTTAAATAGGTTAGGCCTGTTTAGTAAAAATCTAGCCCAAGCCTAACCATTTTCACCCCTATATTTTCTTTCAAACAAACTATGAGTCAAAATGTATTTTTTATTATTTAAGAATAAATTGTCCACATGTATTTTTTAAGCCATTTGATCTATACATGGATGAAATTTTGATAATCTGAATGGACCAGATTTGGCTGCTGGGAAACGCTGAGAAAAGTGGCCACTGAGAGGATTCTGTTCCTCAAATTCAAGCTGACAGCTTAATGGAAACTAGAGTTGTCAGGAATGAATGACAGCCTGTATCCCCGAAGACATTTTGCCATAATAACCTCAGAAGAGTCTGATCTCAAATTTAAGAAGGGGTAGCTGTTTCTTTCTTCATAAAGCAACATTATACCTAATCTTTTCCCCTTACTACCAATCTATTTGATGTCTTCTTAATTATTGAGAAGATGGGTAAAATAAATAGTCCTGGGGACAAATTTTGACAGATTTACGATCTCTATCATGCTTACCTGAAGACGTTTCCCCAGCTGAACTTCAACCTCTGTACCAAACGATATATTACTGGCAAGTGACTTGAGAGGATCCACTGTAGGATCAACAGAAACCAAACTTGGTATCTGTGGTGCATATACTAGTCTCCACCTTGCCTGCCCAAACTCTCCCTTCCCTTCAATTCTAGGCATTAATTTTTCAAGAGTTGCAGTTGCAAGTTTTTCAAATGCTAGCTGACCATTCCCTTCCAAAATGGATTCAGCCAACTGACTCTCAAACCTTCTGGCAGCCTGCGCATACAGAAAGTTAGAAACAGTTACAGGACCATGATGCCTGGAGTTCTGACCATGAAGAACATCCTAGTTTCCCAGATGAAAATATTTATGGAAATTTAGATTTTAAAGCCATGATGCAACTTTTAGGTAACCAGAGCAGAGTGAATCTAATAAAATCAAGGGAAAACACTGCTTTTAGTCCTACACTTTGCTCAGGTTTTGGTGTGGGTCCCTACACTTTCCTCCCATCTAAAACATTAGTCCCTACATTTTCAGGATATTGATGCTGCACAAACAATGTTAATAATACTGACATGTCAATTACAAATGTTAATTTTGTGCTTACATGTCAAATTGATGCTAACATGAAAATTTCAATAAGATTTTTTTTTTTAAGAAAAAAAGTCTACATGGAATTTGTACATTTTGCTGATCATTTAAAGAGTCTAGGTCAGCCTTTTTATTTCATTTCATGTAATTTTTAAAAAAAAATTTTGCTTATTAAAAAATTCCATGTTAGCATCAGTTTAACATATAAGCACAAAATTAACAGTGTTAATTGACATGTCAGTATTATTAAACACCATTTAAGCCACGTTAGCATCCCTCTGAAAATGTAGGGACCAATATTGCAAATGGAGGAAAGTGCAGGGACCTAGAAACCGAAAACAAAGTGCAGGGACTAAAAAATAATGTTTTCCCTAAAATGAACTAAGATGATCCACGGTACTTGTTTTCATCACGTTCTTTCATTTTGGCTTCAAATGTATTCCCTTTTTTCCTTCTCTGTGATGAAGCATCTCTTATTTAAAGCACAACGGATTTCTCTTTCAATGATGGAGAGTTTCTAAGGTTTATAAAGGCTTCAGAGGGATGACAGTTTTCTTTTACCTCAGTGGGTGATAATGCATCCTGTTCCACAGAACGTGTTGAGGTCACCACAAGTTTGTCCTGCCAATTGCTTGCTCGACCTAGAATCCTAAACTGCCACTCTGATCCAACCAAGGCTATATCCAGCATGGGGTCTAGTCCATATTCAGGCTCAAATTTGGCAACATTTAGATGCTCTCGTTTTAACCTCACCTGCATTTGAAATGAGTGATATGACATTGACAATGAGTAAAAGAACTTGAAATCCAAGTGAACGAAAACAGCTTACAAGACTCCCAGGGGTTACAGTTTACACTACAAGAGCTAAGAAGAAAACATTGGAGTTTGGACAAACCTGTGTTGCAACTAGATCCACTTCACCATTCTCAAATGTCAGTATGCCTCTAGGTTTTATCCATTTGGGGTCAGCAAGACCATTCAATTCAAGCTCTCCACTAACACCAAAATTAAGAATCAAAGGATAAACTATCTTCAACTCAGGTCCAAGCACAAGTTTCAAATCACTAAGACGAACTTCTACATTTGGTTTAATCTGCACTTGCTCCATATCCTTTTCAACTTGAGTTGACTTAACTGCATTGTGAGATTTCTAAAGAATTGTCATAACATGCAGAAAAAAACTATTCAAAAAAACTATTCTAAAATATAACGGTATAACCAGAAACCCTAATAATTAATTAACAACATAGATAAGTGTCAAAGATTAATCAATTCAATTGGATTTAGCAGCTCCAGCAGTTTGTGGACAGCTGTCCTCTGCAGGTAAAAGTAGCCTAAAATGTAAAAAAAGAGAGAGAAAAGATTTGCATAAAACAAAAATATTTACCTAAGAGGTACATGGTCAGCTCCTACAGTTTATGATTTCTCTTGCAGAAGTGGACATAAAACACTTAATCTGATCAGCTACTTCTATCCTCCTACACCTATTCACACTAGAGAAGTATATGACTGAATTGCTAAAACTAATGAAATCCTAACCACCACATTACTCGCCTATGTGCAGAAGATGCAGGACAGTTACTGTCACAGAATGTTCCACTTCACCCACCCCTCTTTTGACTTGGTCAGCCACTTCCCACTACTCTCTATCCTTGCATGTTTGATGATCCACTGTACGAGTGTCGTGGCTGCTGTGGTAGTCCATTGTAAGATCTCTCTGACTCAATACTATAATGCAACTCACCAACCTTGGACTGTAGTTGGACACCTTTGAAATCTCAGATTGGTGGTGTCCAGTAGATGCCAAGAGATAAGAACTTGGAGAGGAGCAAATATTTAAATCCCTCCTGGGTCTTCCAAAATCACAAGATGAAAGGGGAGAATTCTGAGTTTAAATCCCGCCACCATCAATCAAAGTTGTCTTATCAAAATTTAAAGGGAAGAATGTCATACAAAACTCATGCAGCCCATCCCCACTGCTGTTGCTCATGAAAGCTCTGCTATCGGTGAACCTAGGTGCAGTGATAAGAAATAGAAGGAAGGTAGACCACGATGCGACCACGACCATTGCTGCTTGTAAGGCCACACACGGGGCACTTGTTTGAAGATCTTTGGCAAGTCCCCAGATTGGAAACCAAGCAAGGGAAGGAAGAATAGAGGGCTAGGGGCTATGTTGCCTCCACTGAAGTCTGAAATGCCGGCCAAAGTTCCTGTTGAGCCTGCTCTATTTATTTATTTATTTATTTATTTATTTTGGGGGGGTGTGTGGGACAATAGGAATGCTTACAAAAATTTGTCAACTCAAGTTCTCCCACCCGGATTCTGTTCCTCTGGTGCCAAATTTGTCATGTAACTTTAAATATGTCTGAGGAAATCTTGTTAGTTGGAGCAGCCAAAGACACTCAGCAACTTTCCAGAATGGTGGCAAAGCTAAGTACAGGACCACGCCATGAAATATGTGCAGGAATTAGGCTAAAAAGACTACTCTTAGAATCACAACTTCATCCTTAATATGCATGAGACCGTTCCATGACACTCAGCAGCAATAAGCAGAGTCAAGAACCAAGTCCGTCATGATAAAATCAAACACACCAGAATTAATTATCACTTCATCAAAGGGAAGGTTGGGCAAGGTGTTATTGGGCTTGTTTACATATACGCTTGCCACCAAACTTTTCATATATTGACAAGTCCGCTCCAATAACCCAGATTTATATTTTATTTATCCACATTATGTTATTAATTTATCCAATTTAGGTATGGTTGATATTTACTCACTAGATTGGGGGGGGGGGAGTGAAAATCCTTTCTTTGTCTCCCAATGAATCACAGATTCATTGATTCATTGGGATGTCCATTCGTTTCTTTTAAACTGACGAATTCAGAATTAATTATGGACAGATTGTATAGAATTATTATTTTCGAATTCTTTACTTTTCCTATTTGACTGAGACTGAAGGAATTTTTTTACTCCTCATCTGGTTCAATTCTTCCTATTTAAGCTGCACCCATTCATTGTCCTCTATTCAAAAAAATAATACAAAAGCTTCGAAATCAATCTTCGGCAATGTCATTGTGCATCATTCCATCTAAAGTAAACTAGTTCATTCATAATTTGGCAGGATAGAGAAACACATATTGGTTTGTGCACGCTAAGGAGTCTGGTCAGGAAAGAAACATCACCATTTTTCCAATTTCATAGGATGGCCTTGCTTTCCTGACTGGGTTTTGCTTCTTCATTTCAGGAGGATATCTCATGATTATTCTTTGTAATTTTCTCTCCGTTAGTTTTTAATTTCTCTGATTCAGAAAAAAATACAGAAAGAAGTAATCACAAGGTAAAATAGGATTACCGGAAGACTGAGAAACTTTGGTCTTTGAAGCCACGGGTTTTGAGCTGAAGAATCGTGAAACATATCTTGAAGCAACTGCTTGACTTACACCACCAGTAGGAAGCATAGACTGATTTGACGGAAATCTATCAGAAGTAGTAGCACCACCCCTATCATGCGGTAAATATGCCTCTCCATGGCTAAGTTTGATATTCCCAGATATATCTGGTTGCAATATCGAACCAGTTATTTGCACCTGGGAATCAACTTGACCACTGAAAAAAATCAGGGAACGTACGTTAACAAAATTCATGTATTCAAAACAGAAAACATTCACAGTTTCATAAGTCAACAGTACAAATGATTTCCAAACAAAATAACATTAATGGTTTGAAGGTCAAATCAGTAACATATACCCGCAAATAAGTCAAGAATAACTTAAGAACCCTTCTGGAGAAGTTAAGGATAACAACCTCAAAATATTTTTTGCCCGCACTTCCAAAACTTCACACTTCAACTCAATCTTGTCGTCAAGGGCTGCTTCACTAGTTCTAAGAGGAAGGTTCCCCTTTACAAGCAGTTTTCCTTTTCTGCTGACCCTACTCTCCAATGAGGTGATGCATAACCTGTTTGATTTCACATAAACAGTTCCACCAAAGTTGGTGAGTGGCTTCCGTAGCACTGGTGAAGTTATAGATGCCCTATGGAATGATGCATATCCATCAAGAACGGGTTGATCAACTGTGCCTCTGACCTATTAAAAATGGAAATAGGAGCATAGGACAAACCTTAGATAAGTAAGCACGACTTAAATAAATACATCCGTGAGGAGACAATATTGAATTTACCCACCTCAAGCATGACATCAGCATTGCCCTGGAGCCAATTGGCATAAGGAGATAAAGCTGTCAGCAGCATCATTCCCCCATCTTTTATATCAGCATCAACCCTGACTTCTCCAACATCCAAAATCTGCCAATTTAATCCTTTAAGGCTTTCTGCTAACTTAGTATTCCAACCATCTTCGTTTCTCTCTCTAGAAAGTTTTTTGTCACTACCATCATCAATATTCCCCTTATTCTTCTCCTTTACCCAGTCAGGAACCCAAGCAGCCTCATTTTTATCCAATTCTACATCTTCCTGTAACGTGTTATTCTGTACAAAACTGACAGGAACACTTCCTTGAATAAGTACATGACCATTTTGGATTATGGGTTCACATTTTGCATTGAACAGAAAACGACTGGATGAGGTAAGAGAAGCAACTACTTCTGCTCGCCCAAGATCAATACCGCCAATGGCACCATCCAGAAGCCTTACTTGCACATCACATTCTGGTTTTGCTAAACTTCCTCTGAGATCTCCTTCCATATGCAATATACCCTTTATGGGTGCTAACAATTGCCGCAGAGAATGAACAACATCTGTTGCCGTAGATTCAATGACTTGAACTAGAGTTGGGACCAAACTAACAGGAAAATTTAGGACAGCAAAATGTAAATTTGTTTTAGACCCCAATAAAGTTCCATCTGCATGAATGGTGGCATTATCATTCTGGATAAAAATTTTCTCCAGGTGGAGCCCATCATCATTACTGTAAGCGCCAACTGCCAAGACCCGCTGGGTTTTGTAATCTCCCCACTCCCAGTCCTCACCATGAAAGTCAAATTCTGCCTGATATCACAAAGAATGAGAAAGCAAATCTTCAAACACAAATAATTCATACCAACTGTAAGGAATGTAAACAGAACAAAGTTTACCACAGTGTCTCCATTTCCTCCACCACTAGCATCAAGAGAGCCATGCCAACGACCTTTAAGTTCAGATAAACCAGGGAGGTCTAAATCCTCCAGAACAACGTCATTTGATGGAGCATGATGCCACCTTGTTATCTGCAAGTTGTCCAAATATCCACTTAATAACGATCACTAGAGACTTCAATCTTTCCAGTGCCAGCTAGAGACTCTTAGCTAATATGATTATTGTTTGGGGGGGGGGGAATGAAAGAAATACATATCAAATGCAGTTTATGTTAAATTACGAGCATAAACTCAGATGCACCAGGTATTGCCACAATTAAGAGGAACTAAAATTTTATGATCCCTTAAAAATACCTCAAGCAGTTGTTGAAGGCTTTCAGCATATAATCCAACTGACTGCAAACTCTGAATAAAAATATCCTGCATATGTTTGACATGGCAGCATGCAGAACTTTTCATTAAATATATATATATATATATACAGACAGACTCACAGTACTACTGATTGTCGAAGGAAACAACAAGACCATCACAGAAATACTTGAAAGTCAGTGCCCGTACTTTAACAATGAAGCATAAAAAACTTGTGGATAACAATCAGCTTACAGAAATGTCTGGCAATTGAAGTATTTCATGGTATGTGTCAAAAAAGGAAAAAAGAGGGGAAAGCCACAGATAATGAAAATTTTGCAATTAAAAAGACTAACGAAAAAGCAGTTCAGTAGGGAACTGTCAGAGAAGTACATGCATATACAAGTCCTATATATTCAGATTCTCCATGGCACAAAAGTCATCCTTATAACATCTGTTTTATCCTACAGTAAATTCAAATTTCTGAAAAATTAAATAAGAAATACATTCATTCTTACTTACAGGATTACTTCCACAAAATTCATTCTTATTTTAAATTTTAACAATGGCCGTCATACACTTGTCTATACAAAAAAGAAAAACATAGTGGGAGAAATAATAATAATGAAGATAGCTGAAGTTACAATGCTTTAGACAAATAATATTATCACTAATGATCTTAAGAAAGTCGAAACAAGAATGAATGTCTGAAGACAATGCCATAAGTAGCTCAAAAGAAAGCATTGATGACCTTTGATCTTGAATGATCAGCAGGATCTGCACTCCGAGAAATAAGCCTTGCAAGAGGAAGCATCTCAGCAACCTCAGCTCTACTTACTTCAAGCTTCATTCTCCACCTGCCCATTGAGGATATAACATTACCAAGATGCCCAGACATGAGCTTTTTCAAAAAGCCATCTCCCTTTCTGCCTACAGGGCTTCTATCTCGAGTGCCAGGCAACACATATTCACCTTGAAGTTCATAACGACTGTAGTGTTGTTCCAAAACAGTTTTCTCAATAGTGATCTGAACAACAGTGCATCAACTAATAATCAGCATTGAACATGAACATCACAATTTTCCATTTGCACAAAATCAAACTAAAGACAATAACACCACAACTCATACAATTCATGGGGTCTAAAACCCATGGTAATAAAAAATTTGCAATCTGCATTAAAATAAAAAATGTTGAATTCATTACATGGTGTTTAAAATCCCTTGCTATTTAACCATTAATGGCAAAGATATTCTATACATACCAAAATCAATTACGACCCAAAATCATGATTTATAAAAAAAGAGTTTATATGGTATTTGGATAAATTTTTAGGAAAATATAATTGAAAAACAAGTAATGGTAACCTATAAGATAACCACAGTTTTGGATTTATAAATGATTTTAGCATGTGTAGGGGTGTTTGGATATTTTGAACAAAACTATAGTTTTGAGTTCATAATTGATTTTAGCATGTAATAGGGGTGTTTAAATATTTTTAAGAAAACCATAATTGAGTTCATAATCGATTTTAGCAGGTAATAAGAGTGTGTGGATATATTTTCATAAAACCATGGTTTTACCTGATTTTCAATTGCTTTTACATTATAATTATAATCAATCTCATTAATCAATTTTATAAATAAATTATGCCACTAAACTTAATCAATTATATTCAAAATCAATCATATAAATCAAGTTTATTCACAATCAATTTTATCAAATCTTAATCCAAACACACCCATATTTTTGCACGGGTTTTGCTAGAGGCAAAGATTGAAAAATATGAAGTTAGTAGACTCAGACTGTTACACACCACTGACACATTCACAATCAACTCTGAGACATGCTAAACAAACTTAATCCTTAAATTCCCAGGACAACCAAAAGTCAACTAACATGCAGCTTAAATTCAGGTTCCAACAAATAAAAGATTGGGCCAAGGCACTCACAACATCTCCACTCCATCTAGCCGCCACATCAAGGGCTTCACCAAGCAGACCACTGCACTTTGGTCGAAGAACAGATAGAACTCCATGTCCTCTTCTTTTCTGAAGATTCAGCTGGATTTCTGCCTGAAAGCAAATAATCTACCAGCTGAGAAACAAACTATATTTCTTTATATGAAATTTCAATAATAATGCCTCAACCCATTCATTGATATATACTTCATTCTTTCCCCCAAATCATTGGTCTACAATCCTCGATTAAATTGAAGTAACTTGGCCAATCCCAAGTGATCCAAGGAGCAGGACTTCAAATGCTAACAGATAATAATTATACATGCTATTTGAAATATATATTAGTTAGGACCACTAGCAGATTTTAAGCGCACTAATTCCTCATGGTAAGAAGAGGTGCAGCTCACAAATGGAGATTTTGCAGAAACATTAATCTGCACAAGCCTACTTTCACCAATAGGGGAAAAAATTGGAGCAAAATAGCCAATATTATACCAAAACAAACCATCAATTTAACCATGTCCCAACATTTTCACATCTCAATGCAAAGGAAGATCACGAACCAAAAAGAAAAGACGTGAGGCAAGAAATATAATTCAGCATTACACCTCAATGAATTTCTCAGACAGATAAGAGAGTAAGAAGTGAGAATCTTATGGACTCTATTCTTCCTAACATAATTGGACTAACTTCAATATAATTGAGGCACAGACAGAAGATTACCACAGTGCCGGGGAAAGAAATTAAAAAAAAAAAATAAAGTAGGGAAACATTGAGTCATACTCTTTGTATAGTTCCCCTGAGAGATGCAAGCTCCAGCTCATCAAGTGGAAAATGCCGTACCTACAAGTGAGTGCCACAGGGATGAAGAAAAGGATGAATTTCTATGGCATCTTCCGGTCCAATATAAAACAAATCAAAATTTTGCAAGCAGAAAAATTAGCAGACTCCAAAGAATGGACCCAAAATTAAGACAGGGATACCTCCAAGTTTGCTGAATGAAATGGTTGAAAACGAAGATTAGCTCTTAAATGCCCCCTCTGAAGGAATATGGACAACAGTTTTCCACTTTGTGGACCATCTTCACCACTAGGCTGTAGTGGCCCAACAAACTCAAATGCAAGACTTTCATCAGGCCGGCCAGAGGCATCCAACTGTATACCAAAAAAGATGGTTAGGAAAATTTATATATTAAAAAGGACAAAATAATGTTAGGTAGCAATAATACAGAAACTAAAATTAAACTCCAACTCATTTAATTTTTACTTGTTCTTGATGCTATTGGCCAAAATAATAAAATATCTAGATAGAAAGATTTTTAAGAAGAGAAAGTTTATTGACCTTGATACACTCAGGAGAAACTCTCAGCAACCCAAATAGCTGAGGTGCCAACATCAGTTGATTCAGTTTTAGACCGGCGATTGAAACCTCACCAACAAGGCTATCTGCACTTCCTTTCTCCGATATTTGTTCCTGATGCCTGTCCTCAAACTTTTGTTCCTTATCACCAATGCTAGGTTTCAAGACCTTCCCCTGAAACTTAATCCTTCCAGTTGCCTTGAGATGCAAAGGCCTTAGAGAATCAAATGTATATGGAGAAACCAAATTGAAGAATTCAAAGCCATGCATACGCAAATCCAACTCAACTCCATCAATAGTAAATGGAATGGTTTTTGTTGCATAAAACTCTTCTCTTCTAAGAGGAAAATCATCAATGTAAGACGTTTGAACTCTCATATACAAATCAAATCCAGCTGAGGAAGAATTAATGGTAATGAACTCATGAGAGATAATGATATCTCCCCTGGCATCGCTAAAAGACCCTTCTGCTTTAGCTGCAGTCCATCTTATATCAAATCTCCTGCATTAAAAATAAGTTAAATTGAGAAAATTATTGATAGAAGAGATTCAATGAGGAAAGAAGTATCAGGAAAAAAAAAATGGAACTAGGCAACTTTAAGTATAAAAGCATAATAAACAGGAGGAAGGAAAAGCAGATGATATCACAAGCAACAATGTTGCAATTTAGAAATAAAAAATGGCTATTCTTACGGTTTCAAAAGAGATCCTGAAACTTTTGTCTCTCCATTTAAGTCCCCTAATTTGAAAGACATCAGGTGATAGTAACTGGGTATGTAACGAAGAATGATTTTATCAATGCCCAAATTTCCAGAGAAGTTCACATCTAAAGCTGTCTCATCCTCCTCACCCTGAACGGAAAAAACACAAAAGTATACATTAGAAGTGAGGCAGCAACTATAGGAGACAAAGCCTCCTTCATCTGGAAGGGGCGGTAAATGGGAAATGATATTCACATTTTAAGTTTCTTCCAGCCAAATAGCTGAAAACCCCAACTTCCGTAATTTGTGATAATTGGTGAATGCAAGATTCACTACATTTAGGTCTATGAATATCACTTCCTTGTGCAATGCTGCATGTAACCAAAGCTCGTGAGGAAGATCAAATTAGAACCCCTAAGAAACTTAAAGTGGCATTTTTTCCCAATTGAACATCATTAACGGAGCCTATTTGATGGCATTCCAACCTTACATGAGCATGCTAATGCCTCCAAGTTGTTCACGATAACCAAAACAGATTACAAGAAAGAAAAATGTGAACCCGTAGTTTAACCAAGGTATAGTATCTCATTGCTGAGATAAAAAAATACAGGTTCTCTAACAAGCGTCTATATACCTCTGGGCATATCCATGCATTTCCAGCCCCTCTAATTTCACCACCATCTACAATGCTTGCCCTAATTCCATATAAATCAGCAACCTGTTACATGGATAAAAAGTAACAGAACATAAGATGACAAATTTGCAGCGTGTCATTACATCAAACAGCCTTGTGCTAGTAATCATGACAGCTTACACAGTCATCAGTATTGAAAGTGAAATTGGCAGACACATGTGAGAAAGGAACACGATCAAACGCTGCTAGTGCCCCAGTCTCTTTACTTTTAGCAAGTACTTCAAATGCTGCAGATGTAGAGGTTTCAATATGTAATTGAGAGAATGTCCTAGAAACCATTGCACTACCCACAAATACAGGAGCATCCAATGGGCCTTGACAATTAAATAGAGCAGTAACTGAACCAGCAATCTGCAATCAATAAATCTTAATTGAGGAATATGAAAAATGATATTGGCCAAGCTAATACAACTTCATCGGAAGGAGGAATGAATTTGAAATTGATCATAGGGGTGGTTTTCATTTAGTAATAGAAAAAAGGAGCATTTAACCCTTACTATAAGTCATATACAACTTCCTAGTATTTTTGAAGCATCCAAACTATTTTCTCAACAACCATTAGCTACTATTAACAATTAGCTAGAAATGAGAAGTGCACTTGTAATACCAAAAAGAAAAGGCAAAGCAAATGAATCTTGGGAGAATGTTTATGGAATTAACCATTACTATTTTCGAATTTCAGAATTGCAGAGAACAAAAATACAAAACATAAAAAAGCAAATAACATTAAAGTATTGAAATCAATGCACTGAACTGAAAAGAAACGTACAGGGAATAAGAGAGGTCTCATCTTAAAAGTTCTCATTAGGGAATTCACTTCAACGCTTGGAACCTGGACATTTGAACATATAAATATTATAAGATAAAGGAAAACAATTCCAACTATCTGCCAAGACTTGAATGAGACATGGAATAAGCAAAGTAAGCAAAATATCTGCCATAAATAAATTACAATTTCTTGAACAAGTAATTGCTTAATTAGAAAGATCTATCTACTGAAAAACAGCATAGAATTTATGACTACTTCAAGCACCAATTCCACCTGACACATGAGATGGAACTCTCCTTCTTCAGGATGAATGCCAAAATCTCCTGATGCTTCTAGAGGAATGCTGCCAAACCAGCCATTTGCATTGTGCAAGAATATTCTTTGGCCGCGAAAACATAAACTAACTGACATGTTCTGCAAGGAGATTCAAAAAAATACAACAAATTAGGTAGGAAATCAATTCAAATTCAAGCTTACCATTCTGCATAATAATTAGTCTAGATTCAAACTATATGCCTAACCATTGAATATACTATCAAGCATAAGGAAGTCATCAACATTAATGGCAAGTACAATGTTGTCATACTATCTATAAAGTATAAACCAATCAAAATAAGGAAGTTTATTTCAAATACATGTACAGAGTACAAAACTGACAACATTTTAGAGGATGGAAAAAAAATCAAAAACATAAGTTTATGGAAATCAAATAAAACTAAAATTGAGGTTGAAGAGCTAAAATTTGAACCCATAGTAATTTAGCCTGATCAATTCAATGAGGAAAGCGCCTGATTACAATGCCCCAGGCTACCTCTTCTACTAACCTACAACATTTTCCTAAATTCTCAATATCTCTTAACAGCTAAAGGATATCACTTTGTCTACATATACCTTCATCTCAACAATATGATTTTCTCTATTCATGCTACTAACCATATAAACAATTCATTGTCTCCATGTTCATTGCTCATATCACCTTCACATATAGCATATTTTGTTTTGTCAAAGCTTATATTGGGCTTGTCAGACCAAGCTACATGGTTAACCTTTCTTGTTATTTTCAGATGAGACTTTTCTTCTCCAGCACTCCCCCACATACTCTACTTTTTATCTTCTAAGTTTAGTTTTCCATTTGCATGGGCTTGTATTCTTTGAGTCTCAAAATCCTCAGGTCACAACCTTGTCTCTCTGTTTTTTTTTTTTTTTTCACCTGAACTTGCACTCTTTAATTCATCCACCATTTGTTTTGAGCCCTCAAATCTTGCAGCCATTAGACTTGGCTATCATGTTAAGTTTTGTGTGAGCTATTCTTAGATTTGCCCATATCAACAAAATGGCTTAAACTACTTGGTTAAAATCATCACAAGTTTATACGCCCTTCACCTATCTTATTACTTTTAGATTTTAGATGCAACTTTTATTAATTGGTGAGCATATAGATGCATTAAGTAGTAACCATATTTCTTATCAAAAACAGTCTCACTTTTTCTTCTAATGATTCACAAAATCTAGAAAATCCAATATATGGCAAATGAGAGGATAGTATAAGGCATTATAGTACAGATGAAAGTAATACATACAGAAAATGATGATGGAGCATCCAATAAATGGAACTCCAAGCCCGTCAGATCTAGCTGTCCGTGAAAATTTGGGAAAGTTTCGCCCCTTGACATGCACAAATGAACCTAAGCACAGAAATACAAAATAACCAATAGGAGAAAACATATCAAGAAGCCAAAAAAATATGTAGTATTTATGTTCCAGCAAAATCACCATAAAGTTCACCATCAAGTAGTCTACTAAATATTTTTATACAGAGTGGCAAATATTTTATCCTTTGACAATTTTCGATGCATAGAGAGTAAAAAATTATATGGGAGAGAAAGCATTTTAAAGATGAGGCATTTAATAAGGATGAATTGAAAATTTTCTTTCTTTGTTAAAGAACATCAATAATTTAACCACCTCTCATCAGTTTTCGTGGAATAATTAGAAATGACTTGTAAATAAGACCGGAAAGAGTAATTTGTAACTCTAATTTATCAAAGCAAGTTGAAAATAACATCCATAAAAAATGTATTAAAATCTATTATATTATAACACAGAAAGTCCAATAGCCTAATTAAAGAATATGGAATGGTAGAGCTCAGCTGGCTTCAATCATGGCAGATCACAAATCCAATGTTTGTACTTTTCTTGCTTTAAAATCTGGTTGCGGTGGCAACTTATTGTGCTTCTTTAAAATAAAAATAAATAAATAATATTTTTTTATGAAGGAAAAAGATGACAGTCGTTTACAATGTTCTACTCCCTAAGGACTTTTAAGCTGAGAATTCTTTGGAATACAAGAGACAGCTTTTGGGCTTATATGACCACTCAGAATGATCAGCCAGAAGTATGTGCATATTAAATTTATATATGGGTGTCTGCATGTCTCTGTCTATTTATGTTTGTATTTATAAGCATACATACACATGCATACATGGCAGAAACTTACATTTTAGCTGGACTCCAATATGAATCATTTTAGAGGTCCGATGTCAAAATCCTAGACTTAAAAGAGAGTGTGAATTTGGCCAAAGGAGGGAGAGTATTTGAAAGTTAGAAAAGCACCTCACCGCTGGCTCTTCCCTTAGACCATGTTATCGGAATTTCTAGGATCCTTTCAAATAGCTGCACAGAACCCAAATCCAACACAAGAAATATAAGCATTCTATCAAACTTCAATGGCAAGGTAGGAATAAATTGGAATTTCAAACTAGAATATATCTTACCGGTACAAACAGATTGTCAATTTTTAAATTAGCATGCCAATTCTGCTCAATAATGTCAACAAAAACATTGGCAGACAGCCAGCCACCATCTCTAGACATCATATCTGATCTCCAAGTCTTGCAATTTCCACTCAATTGTACGTGAATGCGGCTATAGTGGTTCTGGAACTTCACAAGCCCACTGACATTCTCCATCTCCCTGACAGTTAAAAAAACTCCACATTTCATCAAGTAGTCATGCTAAAGACATAAACAGTCATAGATAATCATGAAATGATATCCTTCCTAATATGAAAAAGCCTAACTTGATGTAGCCCAGCACTTCTAATGTAAAAATTTACTCTTCATAAAAGCATTTTGTTGTGTGCAAGTGTGCAACAACTTGGACTTCAGACCCAGCCCTCACATATAAAATTACAATCTAAATATTAACTTAGAAATTCCATAACTCCACAAAAGTATTAAGAAATTAAATACTACGACGAATCTCATACAAGAAATGCAAAATAGTTTTGATACAATTCAAACCTTGACATTACCAAATATAAATCACAGAATCGTCCAAACTAACATGACTATAAAATACAGAAATTGAGAGTCCCCAAAAGAAGCACGTATGAACAACCAAAACCAAGCCTGAAATAGTAGATTGAATGAATCGTCGAATTTTGAACATCATGCCAGGGTATCCGAGAATGTTCAATCAAATACAACATATATGACATATATTTACTTTTGAATTTTAGGATTTTTATTTTGGGGAAATTTCTACAAGGTAGATATCCCATCTTTTCCGTTTCTTTGCATAGGCCTCTCTTTCTAATAAAATTTCCTCTTTTATATGAAACCCACATATAGATCGAATTCCTTTATGTGCCAATAAGGATAGTTCATCAAACATGTCGATATAATTTATTGCTATACCATAAGAAAAATGGATTTGACAGAACATCTTTTAGTTTTCTGAAGCAATATTAAAATCCAAAGCTAGTTGAGACATTTCATCATAAGATAGGATTGGCTCACCTAACTTCTCTGTCACCATATGCAAGCAGCATCACCGTTGCATCTCTGAAATGAACAGAGTCCAATGTAAAAGGAAGCATATTAGTAATTCCTTCAGACTGCTGGACACCTACACCATCAACATGTTCTGTAACAATATCTTCAACTTTCAGACCGGCGCCAGGCTTCAAATTTTGAGCGGGACCAGAAAGAAAGCAAGATAAGAACTCCCCAACAATTCTGAAAAATGAGACTGAGCTAGATTTCAGAATCAATGTTTTAATAGGAACTTGAAAACATGTTGCCAATCTAGGATTAGGCCGCAAAAAACCTGGAATTTCAGATGCTAAACCTCTTTGCACCCCTGGCGTGTTATCATCAGTTTGTTTGTCAGCAACATCGAGTCCCATCTCCCCATTTTCCTCTGCAGAACCATTAACATTAACAGGTTCTGAAACATCTCCGCTAGACTGCAAATTGTCGCATTCACTCTCTTCCGTCTCTAAGGTTGAATTTTGGTTACGATTGTCACAATCAGAGTGACCAGTAACATTTTCACGAACTGCAGGAGAACAAATTCCCGAATCTGTGACATGTGTCGCTATTTTTATACTATCACTTCCATTTTCATCAATGTTGGCAACAGATTCTGCACTTTTGTCAATCTCACTCATCACCGAAAGTTCATTGTGGTTCATAAAATGAAAACATTCAGAAGGTGATGAAGCGTCCCCAAACTTCCCATGTGGGCCAGAAAAATATGTATGAGCTGCTGATGCACTACGTTCAAAAATTCTTCGTTTAACGGCAATACCAGACGCACAAATGTCAGTCCCATTAGCCTTCCTTTTAAATTTATGTGCCTTGCCCCTTTTTATTACTCTGGACCAAAATCTAAGCCCAGAACCAGGAAATTTAACCCCAAATGATTTTTCCAATTTTGCATGTTTCATGTCATAATCAACGCCAGTGTCCATGCAATGATGATCATGCTTCTCCTCATTCATGCAGAAAAAGGATTTGGAATTCCCCGATACTGTGGAAGGAGTTGCAATCTCCTTTAAATCATCATCCTCATATAGACCAAAACACTCAGAAACAAAGTAGCCGGCCTCAGCAGCTTCCCTAGCTGCAGCATCCCTTTCTCTTGTCCAGCGAGCAGCTGATTCCTCTCGTGCAAGCCTCCTGACTTTTGCCCTATGATCTATCCCTTCTTCAGTTGATAAGTGTCTCTGTATACCACCTTCTGATTGTGGTATTCCTAACCAAGTAAAGTCCTTCTTTTGTGCTACCAAGACACTAGGTTGTGACAAAACAGCATCGATCACCCATTTTCCCCTCCTCAAACTTGCAAAGGGGCGAATTCGAAGCTTGACTGAGGGAGCCTCACCGCATGAAAATTCTTCCTTGTGTGGCCCAAAGGAACATGACTCCAATGTAATGCTTAACGGTGATATTCTACGAACCTTACCAAACTCAAGGTCACGCTGAATGTATTCACTGATTGCTGAACAAACCGAAGGTAATAACTTGGCTTCGATGAAACCTTTGGCCTTATTCTGCCCGTACCATGCCAGTAGACATATTCCAGATATAACGGCTGTATAAATAGATGCCCTTATCAAAAGGAGCCCCTCTTTCCATAAAGGGTTCATATAACTAAGCAGGTCCTTGTTTCGAGAAAAAGGTTCCTTGATGCATTTCAATCTCAACCCATTTCTCAAAATAGGGGATCTTCTCAAAAACTCTGCATTTTCTCCACAAAAATACGAAAACCTAAATTCTTGGTTGATTGGATTACTTTGTTTAGCAGATATAGCGCATCTACGACGATCCCTTTTTAGCAACTCCCTCGTCTCCAGATGAAAGAGGTTCCTACAGCTGCTGCTACCTTCCAAAGAACCGCGAAGCTTAATCCCAAGAAATGTGCAGTCACTTTTCATGCTCAACATCTTCCCTCATAAACCTCCACCTTCGTGGCTCATACAACAGGGACCAAGAAGCTGTCCTTCTCAGTCCCTCGCCAATTCAGGAGAACTCGAAGTCTAGAGCCATAAAGAACATGAGGAATTAGCCAGCTATCTGGCTTTATTGGCTTCTAGTACGAACATTAGAGCAAGGGACAACACTTCCAGGCTACCCTGATCGGAGCAGTCTAAACGTTTGCTGGTCGGGGAGCTTTGTTTCTTCTACTCATGGTCACCGGTCACGGGACTGCGCTTTCGAATTTTGTGAGCTCGAATCGTTCGGCTCTGTTTGGAGGTGGGATGAAATGAAATAGGAGCACACGTCGACGGGTGTTTGGATGCACGATTAAAGCCGAAATAAGGACCGGATTTAACCGACCACTTATTTAAATTTATTTTTTATAAAAGTGCAAGCTTAAAAATAATTTAATTTTAAAAAAATAAAACTTTTAAATCCAATCCTGTTAAGCTTTCAAAAAATAGACTCAGCTCAGGAGGCTCATGAAGCTTGAATCTCCTTTCTTTTTCATTTTACTTACTAAACCTGCCATTTTCTCTGAGAAAAAATGTTAAAGTCGAGTCACGTTCGCACAATTTTGACTCTACAACTGAGCCTCTCATCTCGGCTCTCACCCCTTGCAGCCTCACCACTCACCAGTCCCAACCAGTAGTAGCCAGTCACCTCTCCAATCTCCTCCTTCTCTTTTCTTGATGCACGACAGCGGATAGTTCACCTGAGCTCTCAGCCTCTCACCCCTCACCTCTCAAACCCAATTGTCGAGTGCAAATCTGGACTCAGACACCCCTCATACTTGATTGCAGAATGCAGATAGCTTTAGGTCTCACCATGCTCACTTTCAAGTATCGTCGTGCTATTTATTTTTCCTTATGGATTGAAAGAAAAGCAAAATGATCATAAATGTTGTCATCTTTCTCTCTATGCAATAGGGCTATGTTGTGATTACAGCCTCTGAAGACGTTTTGAATCATGCGGAGGCCATTATGCGGAATGTAGGTGGTTAAGTTCTTGGTTCCTTTCATTAAAATTAATCATTATGATGTTATTTTGGCTTGATCTATAATTGATATTAGTTGATAATATTGAATGAAATGGATTGTGAAATTTATGTTCATCATCTTTCAATTTGGTTTTCTTGTCTATTATCTCGTTACTTTGTCTTGTATAAATTTTGTATTTGTTCATGCTTGATAAGGGGAATGCATATTAGATTCTACTCATGCTTTCTTATCCAGCGGATGGTTTTTTCTCAATCATGTATTTGGTTTTTAGTTTTGTTGTCCAAAAAAAAGGCTTGAGGACCTGATCCTGAACCCTTCAAATAAGGGTCAGGCCTTAAATAAGAGATGAAAAATGAAAAATCAAATTAAAAGCTAGGTCTCAAATAAAAGATGAAAAATGAAACATTAGGTTTAAAGGCTCAGGCTCATAAAGGTCAAGCCTGCCATTTCTCAATAGCATGATTACGCTTGACGAAAAACTTATTGTGAACTCTTCAAAATGACAAAAATACCTCCCCTGAATCGAGGCAAGCTCTGGGAGGGAAGAAAGCAAGGGTGAAAACGGTAATGCACTTAAAAATTATGGAGAGAATGACAAATAGTTAAATAGGTATTAAGAGATTAATTAATTTAAGTTAAGTCTTAAATATTAAACTTTAAAAATTTGTAATTTTTAATTTTATAATTTTATTATGATAAATTTACAACTTGTATTCTAAATTTTAATAGAAAAAATAAACTTATTTATTTTTTAACCATATTAAAATTTAAAAAATAAATTACAAATTCATCACAATAAAATTATAAAATTGAGAGTCAAACTTACAAATTCATAGAATTTGACACTTGATATCTAAATTAAATTAATCAATCCTCTTGGAACCTCTCTATTGTTCTTCTAAAATTATACTGCCTGATTATTTAGAAAATATTTTTTAATAAGATTTCCTTAAGTTAAGCCAGCATACTTATTTTAATTTGGTAAAATATCATTTCTAAAAGCAATTTTCTGTTTTCATATGCAAAATGTATGTTTTGGGTTAATATTTCTTTTTATAAAAGTTAGTTTTAAGTCACTCAAACAGCAAAACAACTAAACAAGCATATATAAAGAGTTAGGTTTGTAACAAATCAGTTTGTCCCTTCAAATAACTCCAGACAATTAGTCAAATGCGCAGTGACAACCGCTTGCATTTCTACGGCGTACAAAATTTTGAGATAAATATTAATGTTTGAAATAATTCTATTATTATCGGCAAAAAATAATTCTATTATCAAATGAATTATATAATATTTTTAATAACTAAGTAACATAAAATTGTATTATTTCTTATCATATAATGTTACAATTTTGCAATAATTAAAAACTATTAGTAATTATTTAATTTAATATATTTTTATATTTAAGATATTATTATAAAATTAAATAGAAATGTTCCTGTTTGAAATAAAAAAGACTAAATACAAATATTCATTTCTTGTTGCTATATATTAGATATGGTTTAACTCTCTTTTTCAATATATATATATATATATATATATATATCACCAAGCAAAGAGACCTTTGAATTAAATATAAGGATGGAAATTTTATTAAAAAAACATACAAGAATTAAAAAAATAGGCTTACAAGGTAAATCACATGCCTTGCTTAAACTCTACCAAGACTTTATTCTGGTGGGAGAGGAAGCGGAGAACACTGACCGAAATTGCTTGAGGGAGTGACCGAGTGAGGCTGAGAGGCTGGTACTAAAAGATCTGTGGTCTTTTGGACGAAGTGAAATAAATAGAGCGCCGTGGGCTGAGGAAGTGAGACTGACAAGCAAGAATCTTGAAAAACTGACCGTAAAAGAGCGATGGGAGGATGGAGGCGCCAAGCTAACTGAGTTTGCTCAGGATGACTAGTGTTCAGAGAAGTAATGAGACCAGGCCCATTCAGCTCATTGATGCACAACCGTTAAGCTTTTCAAGCCCCCAAGTGCTTATGCTTAGAAGTTAGAAGCGACCACATGTAAATTTACCAACAAGTGAAAAATTGTTGCTCTTGCAAACGGACCTAGACATCTATGCTCGACTGGTATCCACACAAGTTGCATATCAGGGAAATCAAAGCCCCCTGCCAATAGGATCTCAACAAGAGATTGAGCGACGGGATTCGCAGCCACTTCAGATTTTCTAAACTTAATTTAAATATAATCCTACAAGAAAATAAAAAATAATGAAGTAAAGGTAATGACATGAAATAAACCACATAATAAAGCTCATTTTTGCGTCTCTCCCCCTCACAGTGTTCAACTCTATTTGAGGGCATCCAAAGTTGTTTGACACTAAAGCCTCCTCTTGAATGTAATGCAGCAAAAGTCAATTTTCGTCTTTTTTTAACAAATAGTTCTCCTCAGATACCGCCTATTTTCACACTTACAAATAAGAGACGGCTTAAAAAAGGAGTTTATGGTTTAAAAAAAAAACAGATTGTGAATTAAAAATTATCTCTTATTCAACTATATGATCCGCCCTAGGACAGAAGAACAATGCAAAGATATATTATTCGCTTACCGTTACACTGGTAAAATCTAAAATTTTCTGTTGCAAGAAGATACGTCCATAATCATTGAGCAACAGCAAAGCTCTCCCGGTCGAAAAAACGAAAATTTAAGCTAAAACTACAAAAAGATTTTTTTTTGGGGGGGGGGGGGTAACCCATGACAATACAACCAGAAACGTAAGAGCCACCTGTTTATTCTGCACCATCATATAAACAAGTAATACACATTCCTAAATGAACGTTAGCGAACAGATACTTTTACTGATGGCCCAAAAAAACACAGGAACAGATACTTCTACAGTTCTACCGCACAGGTTGTTGATTATAATGGTTCTTCTCTTTTTTCTTTGCTGCCACAAGCCTAGCGCTCCTCGCAGCAGCCTCTTGGGCAGCAGCCCTTGCAGCAGCATCCATTTCCTTACTTGATTTCTTCTTCTTTGTTGATGCGACTTTCTTAAGACGCCCTTTAACATCAACAGTTGACGTATCCTCCTCCGCGTTTTCTAGAGCAGTAACCTCATCACCAACATTGTTTGTATCAGCAGTGTTGGGCTGGTCCTGCGATTCTTTCACCTCCTTGGAGGCTTTATCCTTCTTTTTCTTCTTCTTGGCACTTTTGGACTCCACAGTGATGTTTTCTTTCTTTTCTCCATCAGCTTCGGCATCTTTCTTATCCTGAGGTGCACCTGAAATGCATTATGAAAATAATTTAGGGAAAATTCAACAAGTATCCTAGAATAATTGCAAGCCCATGCATTCACAGAAGTTTACTCTCCTATCCAAAGAAAGTTTTAACAAAGGTGAGACCGCAAGAGTTATAGTTCAACATCATCAACTTAATAGTTCGAAGAAGAAGAAGAAAGAGGGGAACAAACTTCAAGCAAAAACTGAAACTTTTTTCAAGGGATAAAGTATGATGAAGGAAAAACGCATGCCATGGCACTCAATGAAACTTACAAAACAGAGAGTAAACAATATCTAGATCATGAAGCATATAATAATGAATAATTACCTCGTGACTCATCTTGACCATTACTCTCTTTCTGTGTAACACCAAAATCAGCCAGAAGAGCCTCAAGCTCTGCAAGTTCTTTCTTCTTCCTTTCTTTTTTGGAGAGTTGTCGTTCTGCCTCCTTTGGTGCCAGAGGGGCCTCAGCAGGCTTCTTAACCTCATGCTCAGGTTTTGTGAAGAGCTCAGGTTCATGATCATGTTCTTCCTCCACATCATCATCTCCCTCATCTAAAATATCTTCTTCACTCTCACTATCCTGTAGTCAGAAATTATCAATTATGATATGTCAAATCCAGAACATCACATTCCTGAAATACAAGAGATCATGATGCAAAAAAACGACATGGAACCAATGGCAAAATATTTATCATGAGCAGGTAAAATTTTTAAGCTTATTCATATGAGATGTAGAATCTCTGTTTTGCCTTCGTATGCAACTAGAACAAACCAAGTGTTACCTAGAATGATATTATCCTAGGTAAAACATTACGTTTCGCTCTTTAACATACCAAATGTTTTGCCTTCATATCCTATAACTTTTCCTTTATTTATTTATTGAGTTTGGGCTTATAGGATGTCCCTTCTCTTTTAGACACGCACCTAAGGCAGCGGGGCAAATCGCCAAAGGCGCTCACCATCACCTCCCATGGTGTGAGAGGTCCTAGCGATGAATAACAACTCATTACAGCACCTTAAAGGCTGAGGCAAATGACACAGACATCACTGATAACAAGTATGACAACACGATCATCACTGCACTCGAATTATATCGATTCAATTTCAAAAACAGGTTTCGATCATGTCAATTAACAGAATATAAAAACAATTATCCCCACCTCTACATAACTCGGCTTCCCCTTACTCGGCTCCGGCTCGGAACCACCCCAGACAGACCGAGGCGGGCCAGTGGTAGCAAAATAGTCGTCATCGTCATCGTCATCAACGTCAGCCCAAGATTTAGCATTCAAGGGAGTGGGAGCCCAGAACACCTGGGGTTCAGGTTCCTTCGACTGAACCTGTGATTTAGAGGACCCCTTGCTCTTGCGTTCCTTATCGGACTTCTTCCTCTTCTTAAGAGCATCAAGCGCAGCAAAAACGTTCGTGTTGTTAATCATCAACGACCCTTCGTCTCTCCTGTTTCCCCCTCCTACCATTTCGTTGTATACTCAGATCAACCAAAGCACCGGATGTCGTGTGATGCGAATAATTTTTATCAATCAGATGTCGGAAATGTACACTTATCTAGGTAATTAAAATACAACTACTCAGAAAAAAGCAATTGCCAGATGAATATCACTCCTCTTGCGTATATAATTAACTTATGATACCAATTACCAAAGGATTCCAGGGGATCCGATATTCGGCCAATACTATTAAATTCTCGATAAAAAAAAAATACAAGCAGGGTTTCAATATAATTTCCGAAGGATTACAAGGAATACGATGGAGAAAGAAAATTAGGGTTTGATAACCGCGTATAGAGGAAGAGGGGGAGCGGAAGGGAACCGGCAAAGAGACAAAAATGGAAAGAGAGGTGCCAATTTATCCGATTAATGATAACTAGGTTTCAACGGAGAAGAGAGGATAACGTGAGGAGAGGACCACGAAAGAGAGGTTTTATAGGCAGTGTGGAATTTCACAGCCAATTGCTTTTAAATATTTTAGTGTTCGTTTCCTATGCATAAATCAAGAAATGTGGTTTTTTTTTTTAATTTGTTCGAATATCCCTATTTTAATTTATGATCCGGAAAAATCAATTATGAACTAATAGTAACTAATGATTTTAGCTTCCATGTATATTAACGATTCTGTGGCAATACATTTTATCCCCGATTCTGTTAAATTTAAATGAAAACTTAATTGGCAGATATCAACCTAAGTTACCAACACTAATTTAAATGAAAATTTAATTGGTAGACATCAACCTAAGTTACCAACACTGTCTCGGCTGGTAAAAATTAAATGAACAAATAACATTGGAAGTTGAACAAATTTAAGGAAGTAAAATAAAAATTAAGATAAAATCAAAATCAACTATAAATTATACTACCACATATCCAGCGCAATGCAGCCCAGTGCACATCTTCATCTCATTGGTCCTGTGTCCCATCTTCTGATGGATGTCTATCCACTAAGGCCATGTTTGATAGGTTGGAATTGTGAAGATGGAAATGGAATTGGAATAGTAATCTGAATAAAGTGATGTTTGGTAGATATGAATTACAATTTCTGGGAATCCTAATTCTATGGAAAAAAGCTAATTTTGATTCCTTATGTAAATCTACGAAATTGGGAGCAATTCTATGGAATTGTAATGTTTAAGACACTTTTGCCCTCATACAAATTCCAGAAAGACAAATTTGCCCTCAAAAAAAAAATAAAACCCTCATATGCTAGCAAAAAAAAAAAGAAAAAGGGAGTATAAAAGGGTGAATAATATTTTTTCTCATTATATATAAAGCGTTATAATATATATATAAGATGGTATTATATATAATATTTGTATATAATTTATATATTTATAATATTTTTTTGGTATAAGAAGTAGAATTGATTTGTTTGACATTTTTCTTCTAAATCTACATGTTAGTGTATTTATTTTAAAGTAGAAGGGATGGGAACCATTGTCAATTTTATTTTCAAGAAAATGTTCCCTCTGATGATAAAACTTTTTGTTTGGCCCAAGCTAGTGAATAATAGTTACAAATATAATCTATGATTTATATAATATTTTATTAATATATAAAATACATAAGAAAATTGGTACACAATTAAGTTTTTATTATGTTTTATTTTAATTTTTATATAGAGGTATTTTTGTCTTTTAAGTATAATTCCATTTCCATGTCTTGCATACCAAACAAAAGTAATGCAAGGATTCCATCTAATTTTTCTGACATACCAAACATACTTTTATAATTCAATTCTATTCCAATTCTGATTCCAATTCCAATTCCAATTCCATCAAAAACTATTACATCATACCAAACGGGGCCTAAGTAAAGATATTAGCTCATTAAATTAGATTTGATAATTTCAAAACACGTTAATTTATACGGTTCAAATTTAAGCATCCAATCACCAATCATGAGCGTGAGAAGGAATTACAAGCAGATCCAAGAGAGACAGAGAAGAGAGTGAGAGAGAAGATGAAGAGAAAGAAAGTAGAAGGACTGCGGTATGCAATTTTTTTAATCCCACTCACTGGTTGCAACAATTTTTTACTCCTGACTGACACAGCTAAGTTACTAATTACTAATATTATAAAACATAGGGACTCAGTTACTTTAGAGTACAAAGACTGATCCTTTGATTGGTTGGAGAAATGAAATTTTGCCTAATGGGACAAGGAGGGAGGAGAGGGGCTCTCCTCTCCTTGTTTTAGCAAAGGGATGGCCTCTCCCCTCCCCTTCAGAGAGTTAAAAAGTAAAAACTTAGTAAAATTATAGGCATCAATTAATTAATTTTTCCTAAACAAAATACTTTTTCAAAGAACCGTGAAACTAAACAATTGGTTATCCTCGGACAGCGCCCCCCTTCGCATTTAACTACAAATAGCTGTCTTTATCCCAAAAAAAAAAAAATCAAATAGAGACAATGATGAAATGGATTTCAAAACACATTCGACTAAATAATCCACCACGAGAACCAAAAAAAAAAAAGCAAAGCAGAGATGTGTTGGTTGTCTATCATTACATTACTAAAGTTCTCTGTCGCAAAAAGACATGTCCATAACAATTGAGCAACAGCTAAGCTCCCAACAAAAGGGAGGAGAGAAGAAGAAAGCGAAAAGAAAAGAAAATTTCAGGTCTATAACAATACAACCAGAGTCCTCAGAGCCAACTGTATATTCTGCACCATGATATGAGCAAGACATGCATATCCTAAATGAACGTTAGCAGACACATACTCCTACCGATGGCCAAAAAAACAAGAGGCAGGTACTTTTACCGCATAGGTTGCTGGTTATAATGATTCTTCTCTTTTTTCTTTGCTGCCGCAAGCCTAGCGCTTCTTGCAGCAGCCTCTTGGGCAGCGGCCCTTGCAGCAGCATCCATTTCTTTACTTGATTTCTTCTTCTTTATGGATGCAACCTTCTTAAGACGCTCTTTAACATGAACAGTGGACGTATCGTCCTCCGCATTTTCTGAAGCAGTAACCTCATCACCCACATTGTTTGTATCTGCAACGTTGGGCTGATCCTGTGATTCTTTTACCTCCTTGGAGGCTTTATCCTTCTTTTTCTTCTTCTTGGCAGTTTTGGACTCTGCAGTGACGTTTTCTCTCATTTCTCCATCAGCCTCAGCATCCTTCTTATCCTGAAGTGCACCTAAAATGCATTATGAAACAAATTTGTTTAAGCAAAATTCAACAATAACAACTAACCCAGAATAATTGCAACCTCATGCTCCGCACAGAAGTTTATTTTCCAACCAAAGATCAAGTTTAACAAAGGCAAGAGTTATTGTTCAATTGCACGAACTTAATAGTTTCAACCCCAAATATAAAAAAAAGGGGGGGGGGAACGACAAGCAAAAACTGAACATTTTTCAAGGGATAAAGTATCGTGGGGAAAAAATGCATGCCATGGCACTCAATGTAACTAAAACACACATGGTAAAGAAGAATATAATAATGCATAATTACCTCGTGGCTCATCTTGATCATTACTCTCTTTCTGTGCAACACCAAAGTCAGCCAGAAGAGCCTCAAGCTCTGCAAGTTCTTTCTTCTTCCTTTCTTTTTTGGAGAGTTGACGTTCTGCCTCCTTTGGTGCCACAGAAATTTCAGCAGGCTTCTTAACGTCATGCTCAGGGTTTACAGAGAGCTCAGGTTCATGATCATGCTCTTCCTCAACATCATCATCCCCTTCATCTAAAATATCTTCCTCACTCTCACTATCCTGTAATCAGAGAAATTATTGATTACCATATGTCAAATCCAGATCAGCATCGCACTCCTGATAAACAAGAGATCATTGATAATAAAAAAGAAAATGACATGGAGCCAACGGCAAAATTATTATCCTGGGAAGATAAAATGTTTAAGCTTATTAATATAAGTTGAAGAATCTCCATGTTGCCTTCATATCCAACTAGAACAAACCAAAAGTTACCTAGAATGAAATTATCCACTCTTTCCAAAAATAAAACCCCAATACATCGCATAACATGCAAGAAACACAATAAGATTTTATATTCTTTCTTTCAAACGTTAGCCATGCACCTCTTGTTATGGAGGAAGAATGTTACTAAACCCACCTTTATTTGCCACCACTTTTCATTATTTATCATCATTCATCAAGAATTAAACCTATTGTCCATGGACATATGACACTTACAGAATTCAGTCACAAGCAAGCAGGTTACAAAAAACGCCCTTATAGCCAATATGTCTTAAACACCTTCGAGAGGTACTAGAAGGAAGTGTTCCCAATGCACTAAAATAACTGAAACTCAAAATGTGGTCGTAGTCCACCTATAATCACCAATTTATATTGTAGCTACGGTCCCTGCTGGCTTTGCCTTCTTGTGTTTGTATACAATACCCTAAAAATACAACTGCCTAAATGTCAGAATAAGAACAGCAATCCCCACCCCCCCAAGGGGGAAAAAAAAATCTCCTAAACCTCTAAGACTAGGTTAGATTTTTGTTACTATATATCTTATCCCATAACCCTTTTTTTTTTCAGTTTGTGTTTAAAAGATAAACGTTCTCCTTTCAGATACTGACACTGAGATGGCCGGGAAAATTGCCAAAGGCACTCACATGGTGTGACAGGTGCAAGCCATGAATAACAACTCATTTCAGCACCTCAGGAGCTGACGCAAACGAATTTGACATCACTGATAACAAGTATGACAACACGATCATCACTGCACTCTATTATACCGATTTGATTTCAACAAACGATTCCGATCACAACCATGAACAGAATATAAAAACAATCATCCCCACCTCTACATAGCTTGGCTTCTCCTTACTCTGCTCCGGCTCGGATACACCCCAGACAGACTGGGGCGGCGCAGTAGTCGCAAAATAGTCGTCATCGTCATCAACATCGGCCCATGATTTAGCATTCAAGGGAGTGGGTGCCCAGAAAACCTGGGGCTCAGGTTCTTTCGACTGAACCTGTGATGTTGATGACCCTTTGCTCTTGCGCTCCTTATCGGACTTCTTCTTCTTCTTAAGAGCATCAAGCGCAGCAAAAACGTTCGTGTTGTTAATCATCAACGAACCTTCGTCTCTCCTGCTTCCACCCCCTACCATTTTGTCGTACGCTCAGATCAACCAAAAGCACCTGATGTCGATTGATGCGAATAATTTTTATCAATCGGATGTCCGAAATGTAAGCTCGTAATGGTAATGTAAGTCCACCTACTCAGAATAAAGCAATTGCCCGATGAAGATTACTCCTATTGCGTCTGATTAACTTAAAATAACAATTACCAAAAGACTAGGAGATCTCGTATTCGACCTGGACCATTAAATTTTCGATTAAAGAAATCAATACCGGCAGGGATAATTTTCGGAAACCCGATACGAGACAGAAATCGAAATAGAGGTGCCAATTTATCCGGTTAACGATAACTAGGGTTTCAACGAAGAAGGGAGGAGCAGAGATGACGCAAGGAAAGGAACATGTAAAAGAGCTTTTACAAACAGTGAAGAATTTACAGAATATTGCCTTTAAATATTTTACTTGATTGTAAGGATATTTAAAATTGATTCAAATTGATAAAATCAAAATGAATTAGTTAAAATTAATTATAAATGAGATTTGGTTTAATTTTTATTTTAATAAAATTAATTATTTCAATTTGATTTAGATTTTTATTTTTAAAAATTTGAATCAAATTAAATTAAGTTTTATTATATTTATTATATATATTTTTTATAAATTTGTTAAAGTTTTTTTTATTTTTCAAGCTCAAGTATTTGTAAATCATTGTTAAAAATAAGTTACAATTAGCTAAATATTATTTATTATTATTTAAGATAATTTTTAAATTTTATAATTAACTATTTTAAAATAATACATTGATTTTTAATAGTTTAATATGCTAATAAATTGATAAAAACATTCTTTTGTGTTCAAGAGTTTTTATTGCAAATAATAGTTAACAATTAAAAATTATTGATGAATATATATTAGTGATTATGAATAATATTATTTTAAAAAAGTTCAAACGCAATCTAAACATAAATTAAATCAAATCAAAAGGTTCAAGAATTAAACAAAACCAATTAAAAGAGATGATATGATAAGTCTTAAATTATAGTGAATTAATTAATTTGGTTGGCCTGATTTTTTTTTCAAAGTCAAGTTGAATTTGTGAACAACCCTACTTGTAAAATTGAACCTAGAAAAATTTAGGGCTAGACCCTAATTTAGGATGTAAAGTAACAAATTAGGCTTAAAAGAGGGCCAGCCTTTTAAATTCTTTTTCAATTTTTTAAAATTTTAATATTAATGGAATTAAATATTAAATAATATAGTGATTCTAAAATTTTAGTCTCATTTCATGAGAATGAAACAAAAAATACATGAAAAGCTTAATATTTTTTTCACTAATGAGGTTCCACTAGGATAAGGATAAAATTATATTGATGTTAATGTCAGTAAAAATCATCAAAATTTAATAAATGATGCTAGTAAAGCTTGATTGTTATTGGTGTTGTTATTTTTTATTATACTTAAATTTATTGTTATGTATATTGACTTAAATTTATTTTTCTAAACATAATTATGTGCTTGGCTTGCACATGAAAATAAAAATGAGAGAAAATGAAGATGATGGAAAAGTTAAAAAATGCAATTTTTTCTCATTATTTTCGCTGAGCAAAAGAAAACTAGGAGAAAGGGAAAGTTGGCAATTTTATATGAACAATAATAATCTTATTATTTATAAAAATATTTATATAATAAAATTTAATATTTTAACATGTTATATATGTAAAAATTTTTAACACATATTATTGATTGAGCAAAAGCGTAATTAAAAAATATTTTATCCAATGCTGACAAAAAATATTTTATCCAAATTAAAATTTTATTTATTAAATTATTAAATATATAATAATTTAATAAATATAAGGTATTTAATTACAAATTAACTTAAAAATTAAGAATTAGCTTTTGTCTAATTAGTCTACAAATTAAATATATTGCTTGTTTAACAAAATTTCAAAATAAAATTGCAACTACACAATAAATATCATGATAAAAATAGATGAAAGCAAGAGGCAGCAATTTAAAAAATTAGTTAGTAAATTTAGATATAAAATTCTCTCTCCAAAATCTTCTCATATTTTAAAAGAAAAGTTGAAAGTTAAAACACGTAGGACTCACATGTTATTTTTCACGCACCTTTCTCTCCTCTTCATTTTTCTGTTGATAGCTAGGCAAGGAAAAATGATGTTTCTCCTCCACTTTTTCCTTCTACTTTTCTCCTTTTTTACTTTTCTATCCTGCCAAGAATATCATTAATATTATACTCCTTACGTTAAAAAATACAAGATATTTTTTGAGTATGTGAATATTAAAAAATACGAGTCATTTTTAATTTTTTAAAATGTAATCATTATTTTATTTGTTTTTCTAAAAATTTCTTTATTAGTGAATAACTTTATATTTATCGTAAAGTGTTTAGTAAAAGTAAATATCAAAAAATAGAGTTGATTTAAAAGTAGGTAATTATTCTATTGAAGTGTGAAATTTAATTAAAAATACTTTATATTTTTAAACAGAGGAGTATGTAATAACTTTTTTTAAAATTTTAAACATGTTTATTTAGATTTTTAAGTTAAAAAATTTAAAAAAAATATAAAGATGAGACTCTAAGGGCCAGAGCTGGAGCGACCAAAATAAAATTTTAAAATATAATCAGATTTAATAAAATTAATTTATTTAGACTTAACTTTTTAAAAGTTAGGCTGATCTTAATTAACAGTTTTATTCATTTGGTTGCTTTTTCTGAAGATTGGGGGGAAAACCACGGAGGTGACATTTGGTCAATGTCAGCCCATTTTGAGACGGACCTATTCATCCCTTCCTGCTGGACTTGCAGCCTGCTGGCACTTGTTTTTGCCCCGAAAAACATTGTTGGCACTTTTTATTTCCAAACTGCGTTTGCGAGTTGATTTTCAGATATTTTTAAATTCAGAAAAAAGAAAAACTGTTTTCATTTAAAAGACTTTCATTTCTAATAAAAATAAAGAAAGCGACGGAATAAATTAGCAAATGGCAAGGCTGTAGTAATAGTAGCAGTGCGATGAGTGATAAATCACATCAGGAAGAAAACGAAGCGTTGATATATCACAGATTATTTCTTAAATTCTTAAATTAGACATTAGTTTATTAATATGTAAATTTTTTTTTTAATTCCGTCGTATGTATATTAAAGATTTTGTGCCAACATATTCTATCGCCAATTCTAATGAAAATTTTATTGGCAAAACATGAAACTATGCTACCAACACTGTCACTGAATTAAAAATTCAATTAACAAATCGAGTTAAAATTAAATAATTTCTAAAAATAGAATCATTAATGAATCAAACAAGAACTAGATAATTTCAAGGAGTGAAAATAAAATTTAAGATAACATTAAAATTTTAAATTAAAATCAACCAGTGATTTACACTGCAGCAACCAACTGATGAAGTGCAAGCATCCCTTGGATTGTGGAGTTAGATCCATCACAACTTAAACAACAACCCCTTGAGACGGGATTAAGTGCTTAGCGAGTTGATGAGCATCGTACCTCTACTAAAATTTAAATTATCAATATTTAATTTGAACGCTTCACATTTAAATTTGTTAACTTTTTTTAAATACTCTTTTAAAATTTTATCTCCTTTTTTAATATTATATTTAATAAAATAAAAGTTATAAAAATAAAAAAATGTAACGTTAAATCTAGATAATTTAGGATAAATTTAAACAGTCAATTTTAAAAAATTATAAAAAAATTTAATGTCAAATCAAGATTGTTTATTTTAAATTTGGACTATCCAAATGGATAACATACAAGTTTATTTAAAACTTTTATAAATTTTACAAAATTTTTATTTTAATAAATGAATAAAATTAAAAGTGTGATGCTCATTTTAAATCGAACCCTTTCAGTAAAACAAATTATAAATTTAAAAAGTTAGTAGCTAGCTAATAACACAACATTAATGTTCTATTTGATTGCTAGAAAAAAAAATGAATGGATTGAAAAAATAAATAAATGATTAAAATATGAAAGAGGATAAGTGAATCATTTTCACAAGAGAGAAGGGTAATTTAGGTCAAGAGATTATAAGTCATAATTCATGATTTTTTTTAAAGATATAATGATTCACGTATTTGTGATATGTAATATTAAATTTTATTGTGTTTATCATGAAAGAGAAGTGTGATTTAATTCTTTTTTTTTTTAATTTTTATAATCCATTTCATTCTCATCCTTTCTAAGCATCAAAAAAGACCTAAAATTCACCATATGCCAAACAACCATCAAGCCTAACCATTCAAAATCATGTAATGCTACCATCACTAGTGTCCCAAATAGGTGTATAAAATCAAGTTCTCATGGATCATAACCCTATTACATTAATCATAAAATACTTACACAAGTATCATGAGAAGACTATCACTTTCATCTACGTGTTCACTAGATTGTCTTTTAACTGTGATTATGCCACAAAAAATAGGAAAACCATAGGGAAAAATGAATAGTTCAAAAAATATCTTGACCATCAACCACCTATTAGAAGAAATGTTGTTCAGATACTTTAATAAAGCCCTTTATGCCCCCTCTACATTTTCCAATGTATCATCCATGTTCTTGTCAATCTTATAAGTAGAAAACTTTCCTCAATTTGAATGTGCCTTAAATTCAATAGCCAATGCCATATAGAAGGCGAGGAAACAATTATCAAGCACTAATAAATTGAAGCTAGTTCACCTGGTCAACAATCAAAGCATATTATGTGATTTTCAGGTGTTAAACTATGACAATTTTTAATAATTACAAGATCTCCCACCCCTAAATTTTACTTGTCTATTCATCAAATTGGCTTTACTTAGAACACATTGTCGTGATGATAAGATAGTTACTACACATTGCTTTCTTTCACAATCAGGAGAATGCACTTAGTATAAATCGAGCATTAGATAGGAGAAATAAGCATCCAAAAACAACTTTTACTACCTCTAGTACTTTTGGAAAATATGAACTACAAGTCAGTCCTCACTAAAGACTCACTGAGGACCTTAGGCATAGTGGTAACTATTTAACAACACCCCACTTATATTTAAAGTCCAAGATATTAAAAACCAAGCTCATATAGTATCAATTGTGAGTTACTACCAGGAAATGAAATGATAAAAACACAAGAGAAATAAAAATTCATAAATAAAGAAAGAAGGGGAGATGAACTAGAAAATAAACACCTAGATTTTCTTTATTAGTAAAAAGAAAAACCTGACAGCAATCCCTCCTTGTTGGGAAACAAGTGTTGCCAATTGATTGAAGATACTGCTTAGTTCATGAATAGTAGACTCGACATTCCGAAGAGCTTCAGCTCTATTTTGCATGTAGCTATCTTGCAATGGAACTAACTGCTATTGGTGTTGTTGTTGCAACAGCAAAGGCTAATGGTCCC